GAGTAGCCTGCCTCTGTTTCTCTGCAAGAGCTGATATGCTGGGTTTGCTTCTTCTGAGTGCAGGCAAATTATGCTATATGTAGGCAGGCAAATCATACCTGATGTTGTATTAATAGTTCCCAGCAGAGCCATATGGGAAAGAGGCAATGCCAGAACAATGTATCATACAGAGGCACAGCAGGCAACCAACTCTGAGGTCTTGGAAGCTCACAGGAGTCTTTTACTACTCAAATTTATTAGGGCACACTAACTGTTCTCTGGCAATGTATTACAAATGCTTAAGCCCTAAACACTGGGGCAAGGTTATCCAAGGAACTGCCTGTACTTATACCTATCTTCCCATTGTACTTGAGGTCTAGCTGTGGTACACCAGTAGGGCTGGGCAATATATCGATATATCATTCAAAACCGGTTTGAAGTCCGTATCGTGTTATTGGTTTCTTAATTTTTGACCTGGCAATATACTGAAAATCATGATGTGTTCATGTGTGCGCACACTATGCAAAAATAAAGATGTGAAGCGAGCCAATGCCTCTACATAGCTCCATCCTTATTTCAAACACTGTGATATTGCGATGTTTAGCGGTGATATTATCACCTGGTTTTCAACATCGTATCACTCAGCCCTATCTATCAGTGAAAGCTGTTAGGTTGGCAAGTACTGGGGCAGGGACCTTTTTGTGAAGACTGTTTGCCCAGTATCTCTGGAATGCCATCCCTAAATAAAATCTTATCAACCTCTAGGCAGGGCACAAGAATTCACTTAAAATTCAAACCCTCAATTTAAAAAAATTCTAGTCTGTATTTATGCTTACTTATTAATACATGAAAATTTTCAAGCGTTCAAAGTGCTTCACATGTATCATCTAGTTTACTGAGCTGGTGCCTCCACCTACAGTATTTGCGTGAATCATGTGGATCACCCTGCAAGCATCTTCTGTGATGCTATGTTTTGCTTGTAGCACAAACTGCATAGCTTTCATAGGTGGTGGGTGGGTTAGGAATGGTTGTTATGTGAACCAAGTGGCCAGGACAAATAGGTATATGGTTCATTTCAACTCTGATCTTTTCCCTCTCACTAACTTTACCAAGGAACAGATTAAAAAACGAAACACAAAGGGGAAAATATAGCAAGGTGTCACTCCTCCGGCTGTGATTTATTCACAGTGAAATGGTCTCCCAGAAAAGAAAATGTGCTACCCTCCCAGGCTCCATTTGCACCTAGCTTACCATCAGGCATGTGATGAATGCAGGGAGCGATGCTTATTCTAGCAGATGTGATAAAGGCCAGGGCTTTCTGGTGCCTGATATTTTGCAAGACTATGTGGGAAAACAACCCCATGGGCAGTCTCAATAAGGATAATGTTGTCAACACATACTATCAGGACTTTTCCCCGCCATCACGCCTTGGCACATTTCCTGAAATCTTTAAGTACCCTTGGCACTTAAAGAGAAAGGCGTTTCAAAGATTTTGGCGGCGTTCCTGGACTCCAAAGACAGTGCAATGAAGAATGCAGAGCAGAACTCAAAACCTGCCAATCACAGTAATGCCAAGCACTTATCACACACTTCTAAACTTTCATCCATAGTACTGACCTCAGTCTGAAAAACCACAAAAAGCAGAAACTCCCATAAACTATACTTAGCTTTCCCAAATGAACTGTTTCTCTTAAGGCTTGCTTCAGATATGTCAGCATTCATAAGCGATTGGTTATTTCATCGCCATCTTATAATGAATTTCAGAATGTGAACTCTGCCATGAGACCTAGTGTCTACCTCAGATGAATGTAACTGTAAGAAAACAGATTTCTGGCCCACATGGTTGGAAAGATAAGCTTTAGAAAGCGGACAGTATGCCTCCTAAGTGTTGCAACACTAGGAATCAGCACACAGCTTCCAGAAGCCACAGTGTACAACTTTCCCTGCCAGTATTCCATGTGATTTGTATTTTCTTCTACTCCAGCATTCCACTAACATAGTGGTTCACACATTTTTAAGATGGTTCCTTAGAATTAATGCCAAACCATGGATTCTGAGTGGCTGCCAAACCAGGATTTGAAGCTACAATGCAACATTGAGTTGCAAACCAATTTGGGCAAATTATGGTTTTACATTAAATCCCAAACAACCCAGAGTTTCAGAGGCATGTAGCACCTGAATATTAGGTAAGGTAAGACAAGAGAGGTGGAAAACTGCACAAATCATGTTTTATCTGTTTGGAACATATATCATTATTTGGATAGTTAGTATAGTTTCTTTATCATTTGGATTACGTCTGAAACAATACTTTGTCCTAACTGACTCTCCATAAATCTTGTTATCAAAAATGTGAACTCACAAGGCATTGTGTGTCTAGTTCTGCCAGAGATGAGTTCGTTCGTTCGTTCATTCGTGTGTGTGTTTAAATCATTTAGGTTTAGATACCCACAATACACAAAGATGTCAAATCTGTAACCCCACTTCCACAGATATCTCACAAAATTTGTACAATGGAAAGAAGGGCTGGGGGGAAATCCTAGATATGATTGTGACCTAATCCCTCTCAAGACGGCAGGGAGGGAAGATACTTTTCTTCTTCTTCTCATGTCCCAGTATCTGCAGAAGCAAAAGAAACTTTATTATGTGCCAGTCACAAGATCACTCCAGATCTTTCTTTCGATATTGCTAAACTATAGAGGGCTGAAAAAAATCTCAGAATAGAGAGCAAACTTTTACCTTCATCTTCATCTCTAGTTTGGACTGCTAGGCTTTGGAGTTTCCTAACCAACTGTTTTTGGGGGACTTCAACGTCCATGCTGATGCCACCCCCTCCTCACAGGCTCTGGACCTGGTGTCCTCCATGGCAACACTAGGGCTATCCCAGTTTGTTTTGGGCCCCACACATCAAGCAGGCCCCACACTGGATTTGATCTTTGGCGCAGGTATAGATGTGATCATGTCCTCCCTTGTAGAGGTGCCATGGTCTGATCACTACGAAAGCTCATACAAGCAGACATGAGCATCACACTACTTACAGGCTTTCCTGGTAGTGAGAAAATCTGTCCTCAAGTGTACTACAGCCATACCTCTTGTTACGTTTGCTTCATAATACATTTTTTCAGGTTGCGTCCCGTGGCGACCCGGAAAGGGTTACTTCCGGGTTTTGCCACTCACGCATGTGCACAAAATGACACCACACGCATGCGCAGAAGCGGAGAATTGCAACCCGAACGTGAAGACGCGGGTTGTGTTCCTTTCAGGTAGCGAACGGGGCTCCGGAATGGATCCCATTAGCAATCTGAGGTACCACTGTAATCAGAATTCACAGTTACATCATACATCACGGTGCTTTTCACAATTAGGAACACAAAATGCAAAATTACATGCTTGCTCTGTTTCAGGCACTTTCAAGATAATCGTTTATTTACTGTAGGTAAAAAGCTAGTATACAGATTGGGGATCCCTTTAAATTTCAACTACAGTTAAACGCCATCTAGTAATTTCTGCTTTCAATGTTAACCAAAAATTTCTACATACCTGCTCCACTATTAGTGTGTTCTGTTATCCAAAACAAAAAGGTCAGTCTTTTATTTGTTCAATGCATAATATTTACATTGTGAATGGAGCTAGAACAAGCAATGGTAAAGAGGTAATAAACTTTAAAAAGCCAGTTTATATATTTTACAATAATGTGCTAATCAGCATAATTGTATATAAAAATTAAAACATAGTAGAGCTTCCTACTACAGAAGTCGTAATTGGTTGAACTGTAGTAATTACCTGCTAACAATTTACATGCAACACTTGTTAAGATTGACAACTGATTTTTGTTTAAGTGTTAAATTGATTAATGGCATGAGACACAATTTTAACTTGTGTACAAACAGAAATTGAAGTCTGCAACCAAGAACTGTACTCATTACAAGCCTCTTCCAAAAAAAAAGGGGGGGGGGAATGATAAAATGTTCTCATCATACAACGAATGTTATAAAGGCAACATACAAGAAGAATGTACCTGGATGGCACAAACTCCATAGAAGGAAAGGTCAGGCACGCACACATGCACACCTTTTTTTTATAGGAGGCCCATCTTTCCACCAAGAGGCAGTGGCTGAAAGCAAATGATAGAAAGCCAGATGCACAACTAATTCAGATTTGGAAATTTACTAAAATGTGCTTGAGTGTTAATATACAATTCTATATACAGACCACACTGGAATGTATCCCACCCCTTTGCAAAACAACCAGACTTTTTGATACTAGCCTTAGAATTCAGTTATTTTTAAAGTAAACAAACAAAAACTCAATAAAGAGTTACATGAACAGCAAAATGCACGAGATGGCTGAACTATTTATTGAGTCGATCTGGGGATATTTCTGCTTTAGAAATTGTTTGAGCACTTCCACATGTATGTCTAGGAAGAAAGGGGCAATCTACTAGGTTTTGTTGTGGCAGCAATCACCACTCCATTTCAGCAGGATTCTGTGCGAGGTTCCAAAATAACCCTCAGTGATTTAACGGAACCTGTTCAACTGCACTCCAAAAGGCTCACTTCGGGCGATTCCAACATGCCTTCGTGATTTTAGCCAAGGATAAAATGCTGCACTTCGCTGAGGCAGATGATACAGTTGGATCAACTTGAAACCAGATGCTTGATTCCCTCCTGGGATGTGCTTTCTGCGTGAAACCATCCCAGTGGAAAAAAGAGGGGTACAATAAAAACCTAGACACAGTAACTTAGATCGGATAAGAAACAGAATGTCAATGTGGCCGTCAAGCATGTTGAAGAGCAGGAAGCTCTCTTGAACCAGCAGAATCCTGTAGTAGACACACACACACACACACACACACGGAGAAACAGAACACACCACCTACCGTTCCCATGAACAAAAGCTTGAACAAGAGCTGATTTTCATCATATGAAGAGAGGTACAAGATGACAGAAAACATGAATCGTCAATAGAAGATAAACTGATTGACATGAAATGGGGAAAAGAACACTTGAGCAGTCTGATTGCAGTTATTTTGTGAAGGCTGCTACTACAGCCCACAGGACCTCATTTGTGTTGGCCTTCATACATTCGACTTCAGGGTCTAAATCCAGGAGCTGCCGCACTCTCTTTGTGGCTAGGTCATACTGCTCATCCAAAAGGGGGGCAAAAGCGTTCTCAAGGACATCTGATGCATGGGCTAAGTAAATGAGAGCCAGCAAGCGCTTGTCCATGCGGTGGGGGTCATTCACCCATCTGTCAAGAACAGCTTCTTGAACTTTCTTGATGAGGCGCTGCTTAATGTTGTTGTTGGTGAGAGGGTGTGTGGTCATGTCAAAGAGGAGAAAGTTCTGTTTCTCTGTAGTCAAAACCCCCTTTTCCACCAGGTTTTTGGCTAATCGTTCACGTACGTTTCGTAACTGGTAGTGCAATTTTAATGGATTCCATGTCTCACCTAAAATAAGGCAAAAGAACAAACAAGCCCCTGAATGTTTTGCTGGTATTCTGTTGGTTAGCAAGGGTAAATGAGACAAAACAGGACACAGTAACACAGCAACAGAGGCAAAAATACAGTATTAATTGTCACGTTAGGTAGAGAAAGAATGCTTCACTTACTGACCAGCTGCTAAGACGATCCACAGAGCAGCTTGCAAATAATACTTTGGATGAGGAGTTCCATGCTTCTAAACTAGCTAACAAGGAATGACTCCCTAAACTATTCCCCAAATAAACCTCAAAAATTTCCCGCGGGATGAAATAATTTTCCCTGAAGTTTGACACCTATTCTAATGTCAAGAAAAACTTTCTGCACAAGGCAGTCAATTTGTACCATGTCTGCTTACAGTGAGCTGTGTTGAGACAAATATGGTGACCATCTAAAGGGGGGGAGGGAATCAAAGCTACTATTTGGAATATTCACTAAATATTAAAAAAGCTTTATTATGAAGGTTGAAGAAAACTGTGAAGGGCAGTTGCCTGTTTATCAAAACTAGAATGAAAAACAAAATGGAAAAACAACAGTCTCCTAACATTCAAAATACTTGCTAGCTTCTGAAATAAACTGGTATCTGTCTTATTGGAGTACACTGAGGATAGATCGTTCATTTCAATTAAACTTTGAAGTGTATTCTATGCATGTATGGGGTGTTAAGGGATGGCTAATACCTCTGCTGGAGGATGCACCACGCTCCTTTTGGGGCAGTTTGTCTACCTCTGCTTCCCATTCCGTACTCTGCTCTCAACCTCCTAGAAGTTGACAGCATGCAACAATGGCCACACCCCAGGAAACGGCTTTGACCGGCCAGCTAAACCAGGTCAAGGTAGTCAATGGGTCTCAAACCCTTGGTGAGCTAGGGACTTCCCCTGCATGTGAAGATATGCTTCAGCAGATTGAACAGATGAGACCAACAGTGGGTCCAACGGTCAAGAAGGCAGTAGGGCTGGGCACTTTCTGATGAAAACACCACACTATATCACCGGCTAAATATCATATTTTGATATATCACAATACATATCTACAGCGGTGTACATATCTACAGTGGCAGAGGTCCCGCCGTACCTCCCTGCGGCGGTGGAGGGTGAGCTGCGCTTCCCTGCAACAGCAGGGCCTTGCCACACCTCCCTGCGGCGACAGAGGGTCCCGTCATACCTCCCCGTGGTGGCGGAGGGTGTGCCACACTTCCCAGCAGCAGCTGAGGGCCTTGACAAGGCTCCCTGTGGTGGTGGAGGGAGGGAGAGAGCAAAGCTGGAGACACCATGCCTGCAAATTTTTTGCAGAGTATCTGGAAAGTATCCTTCAGCTGAACTACCCCCTGGTAAGCTGTTCCTTTTGTTCACCGGGTATATAGTCTTGTTGAAACACTTATCACAATGTTATTTTATAACAGGTATTCAATGTTATGGTGATTTATTGCACAGCCCTAAAAGGCATTTACTGCACATGCTGTAGAGGGAGCTGAGGAACAGATGGGGCTGGGAGAAGGAGAACTCTGATCTTAAACCTTCACTGTCTTGCAACTATACTCATTCATGAAAAGGGCTTCAGAAGTAAACCCCAAAGAAAAATCCATACTTGCTGCCTTGCAAGATGTCTTCAAGAGAAGAAAAGGCTACAAAATAAACCCTTTAACAAATCTGGAGTGAGTCCCTAAGACAGTTGAGGGCGCCTTGTGTGCTCCCTTCCAGCAACTTCTGCAGTCAAGCTGGTGCCAAACATATTGCTCTGCTTTCCTTTAGACCACATCAGCAAGGGCAAGAGGGAGTCTTGCTATCCGGGGAGCCCAGGACCTCCATACACATTGCCCAGGCTTGTGTCCTGGAGAAGTTATTTTGGTACAGCTAATGCAACAGAAACAATGCAGGAGGCAGCAGTTACGAGTTACCAGTCTCTGCACCCACAGCAGGTGCTGTGATTCTCCAATGGTTTGTCTTCACCCCCAGAGGTGCACTCCATTATCTACCGAGGTAAAAGGGTGCCAACAATAAAATTTCATTTCTATTAAGTGACACTACCTGCACCTGCTAAAAGAGACACTATAGAAAAAGTCACTGACCAAATGAAAACCTCCAACCAAATTAGTCTCATGAACAAAACATTTCTAAAATGCCCCCCAATATACTGTGTGCTATAAGAGAAAACATAGGGCATGCATTGGCTCAAGGTGTTGTGAACCCTAAGACAAGCAATGAAGGAAATGCATATTTGCTCCAGCAAAAATAAAGCGAACTTTTAAAATAGATTGTTTTTTTATCCATTTTGATTTTCCACAGTAGCTTGGCGACACCTTGTGACCAAACCTCCTAACTACAAGGAACTCTGATCAAGCAATTCAGACAACTATTTTGCGTTCAGAAATTGTAACTCTTCAGAGATTTCTGTAAATGTTTTACAGGACTCACTTTCTTATGATATGCAGAAGCATGGTACAGAAAGCTATCAGGATATTTTATCAAATATCGTATTAGTTTGCTTTAAGACTGAACATGTTTAGCCAACATGTCACCCCTGTTAGCAGAACCAGCAACCTGTGGAATATGAGGGGTGGTGGCATGCTGAGAAGACTTTCTCTGTGATGGCCCAGAGGCCATGGAATGTCTCCCCTGCCAGCCGCTCCTGTATGAGGTATAGTGCAGTATGCTTTCTGTCAGCTGGTTAAAGCATACCTCTATGCCTTTCGGGATGATGGACTGAGATTAAGTGAATGTTGTCCTTTCTGCTGTACTTTAAGTGCTGTTACAGTTTTAATTAAAGTTCTTTTATATTGTAATTTATTTATTTATTGTTTGTAACCCATTCTGGGACCGTTGGCAAATGATGGGCTATAAATAAATAAAAAACATTCTGCAAAAGCAGAAGGGCCATTATTGCCCACTGCAAGTACCAGTCCCACCCTGAGGCTGAAGTCTGCTGACGTTGCTGGCCCAAGAGGGTCAAACCATGTCAGAAAGCAGATAGACTTTGAAAAGGAAACCAACCCAAGAAGTTGCTGCCAGCATGCTGATGCTAGGAAGGAACAACATGCAACTGAATGAGAGTCCAAGTTTAGTTCCTATCAGGACGGTAAGCCCATACCTGGTCTGTGCCACTTCAGACTGTGGGTATGCCTACTCTATACCTATACATAAATCAATTCCTGCTCACAGAAAGACAGCATGTCAGGGAGAAGACTGGGCTAGAATCCTTCCCCCTGATATTCTACATTTATACATGGAGGGGATTGCAGGGAGAACATTCAATCATGAGATCCCTAACCACTGGTACAGACCAAAATTTATTTATCCTTTGAGTGACAACTTCAGTGGGAATTAGGGTGACATTTCCATTTGCAGAAATGCTTCTAGAATAATGATTTGGGGGTTTGTCACACATAAAGGAATGGAAGTATGGAAATGTGATTCAAAATTCTGCACAAAGGCATTGCAGGTTTTAAAACTAAAAGCACAACACATCCACAGAGTACATTTGGAAATGTATAGAGCCTAGTGTTCAGTAGAAACCACCAGGGAACTGCAAATGGTTTCCACGAGTCAGGGGTAGAGGACCTCGTACCAATCCCTGCCTCTCTTTTTGTTCCCAGGCAGCTTCTCTGCCCCACCCCCACCCCAAATTCCCACACAAACATCAGTGCCTCATCTTCTTTTCTGGCACTCTTCCATTCACATCTCCAAATAATCTAATTTTGGAACCAGAATTGTGCAAAGTTTTCCCTAAGTGGTTACAAGCATTCTCACTGATCTCAACTAGACTATTTTGCTAGTATTATCTACAATTGTACTAACCCCCTTTTATGGTTGGAAGGTTTGAGGAAGCAAATTATTTATGAATTACCTTCTGCATATATATCTCAAGGTGATATACAAAATAAAATAAAAGTAACTAAAACAGTTAAAACAGCACAAAATACCATATTACCGTATTTTTCCATCTATAAGACACCCCCTATTTTTGGGAACTCAGATTTAAGAAAATGGGGGGAGATTGCCCCCTAATTTTTGACTTTTTTTTAGGGGGGAAACCTAGTCTTGTACACAGAAAAATACGGTAACTGCTAGACAACAGTTCATGACTGAATTCAGATTTCAACAAGAGGCTCATTCAGTGCTCACCTCACCTCTCTAAATGACTATTACAATGTCGGCTGTACTGCAAAAATTACTTAATTTAAGAAATGAACTTCAAGAACAGAATCTGATTTTCTTGAAAACTGTAAACATTGCCTCTGCCAGAAAAGCTCCAGGTTTCTCTCATTTTCATTAGTCTCTCTGTTCTTCCTCTCTACTGCTGAACAGCCAAAGCAGGAGGGAACAGGAATGTGTCACCAAGATATAAATATGCAATCCTAAACTCATTCACCAGGGAGTAAGCCCCACTGAATTCACTGGAACTAACTTGACTACATGAACATTACTACTAATCAACATGTTGCAGACATAGGATATTTAATGAAGATGTAAGAATATTAGTATAAAAAGAACGAAGAGTGGGAAATAAGAGCTAAGTACATACATACCGTGATCAAGGTAGTCAAAATACAAAAGGCGCAGTTCACCTGACTAAACTTGTGTGTTAAGATTTCATGAAGTAATTAACACTGACCAAATCTCCCACACCCTCCCACTGCTGAATCTAAACCTGGTGATCCTGTATACTGCTAGACAGCAGCTTAATTCTACTCCAGAGATAGCGAGAGCATTAACTATTTCCTTCCACCATTCCAACACTGCCATCCCAAATTTATTCGACCGAACACTGGTGTTTAAATTTGATCTTCACAGCATCCAAAGTTGTTACTCATAATTTGGACAGAAGGCATCACTTGATAAGGAACTTATCAAGCCCTATGCTTGAAAACTCGCTCCTTAAAACCAGTGACGCATGGCAGCCCAAAAGTTTGTTAAACATTAAAAAATGTTAATTTCCAAATATTTATCTTACCACTAAGCAGCTCTATCCAGTTCTGCACTGTTTCAGGAGGTTGTGTCTCCTTAATGTGCTTCAGAGCTTCATCAAGTAGAACATCCCCTGTAGGAGCATCTGATTTGCAGATCACCTGATAGGAAATATAAGAGTTCACTCCATCACCTCAAACTTTTGCTTTTAACTCTTTAAGCACCAAGTGGAGAAAAAGTGTGTCTCAGTACTACTTTTTTATATCTTGAGGCTCAGTGTTGGAATATTCCCACTTCTTGAACCAATGTCATTGTTTTTCGGAAACCAAACCAAATATCTTGCTTTTGAAAAGGAAAACATCTGAATCCATGGGAAGGTAATGCTCCATATATACCACCCCATTCAAGTCAACCAAGAAATAAAAGTCCCAAACCATTCCCTCTAGGTACATTAGCATCCTTTTTTATTTAGACAAATAGTTACTTCATGAAGAACACATTATATTAATAGCATACTACTTTCTGTTGCAACCTGAAACCACAACATACAGGGCATATGGAGTCACATTTACCTCAAAAAATGCCCAGAAAAAATAAATACAGAGAGATAAGAGAGCTCTCCAATTTAAGCACTAGAACTTCCAAAGCTGCTGCAGAGGGAAAAACAGTGCCAATGGAGAGACATAAGAGAGCTACATACAATATCCAGGCAACAAATGAAAAATCAACCGAACAGATTCATTATATTTTTACTGTTATTTTTATTCATAATTAGAATGCTCTGAGCTAGGATTATCAACCTGTATAAGTTACCACTGTCACCCTTTTTTACCATAATGTTCTAGTTCCCTAAAAGGCTGTAGGTGATGCAGATATGAACCCATATCACCTCCCTTGACAGGAGAAAAATAATAATCTCCCTGCCACCCTAAAGTCCCTTGCATATGGACAGCAAACAAAGTTATGGAGATTTGTCTGGAATGTCTTCTGTTCCCTGGCCCCCTGTACATAATACTTAAGAGAGGACAATCTGTCAATAAACAATAATCCATTCCTAAACATACGCTTTGTGGTCATAGAGATAATTAGCATGCTTCTCAGAAGCAATAATTCCAATAAAAGCCACATTAAATGTCTGTTAAAAAAATTTTGATGATGAAATAATTCCTTTAACAGACATTTTATTTGACAACAATCAAGCTCACTATAAATTTATATTACGGAGGACAGCAACAAAAAATGCCAAAATACTAAATTTAATAGACGTCATTATTTGGAGCTTAGAAATGCTAATTCTCTCATTAGATCTGTGCTCTCACTGCTTGAGCTCCAATTCTTCTGGGAAGCCAGTATCTGGCTATTACGGCCTGGCTAATGAATGTTTATTAAGTCCTTCACAACACTGAGGGAAATTTATACCATCAGATAGAAGAACACATCAGCCAGAATGCATAGAATAAAAGCCAGTCAGAGTTTCAATAGAAACTTGGTTTCTAAAGAATGGCCTAAGCATAAAACATAGGAGGATAATCCAACTAAAACATGCACAGTGCAGAACCATTGAAATCAGTGAACGTTAATTGTCCATTGATTTCATCGGCATAACAAATGGATGCCACCCAAACTCTTGTAGTACCAGCTTTAATATACCTAGATATATATTATTTATTTGGTATATGTGGTCCAATAATATGCACTTTGCTACTATGTATGAGCAACTCCACTGATTAGCACAAAATTAAAATATGATGGCTGAAGCTTTTTAAAAAGCGTAATACATCATTTCAAGCAAATGTCTTCTCTTCATGGTGACCCCAATTTAGTACAAGGTTACGGCATGTTAGTACTTATTTTGGAAAAAGCTTTCAGTACCTACAAACAATAAAAAATAATTTGGAAACCAAACAAGAACAAACACCACCACCCCAATTTACATGGGGGTTATGTTCTGAGGCACCACATGCATACGTGATATCGCATATAATTGAGGCACCCATTGGAAAAGCCTGCAAACACCCTCTAAACCTCTGAAAACCCTAGAAAAACCCTTTAAAAAACCAGCACATGGCTGGCGACCTTGGCAGTTGCAGGTGTGCTCGAAGATGCTGCTGCCCAGATCTCCTTCTCCCAGATCTTGATGGCATGGATGCTGGGCACATTCCTAGACATTCCTGCCAAACTTGTGTGCCACAGCACACACACCCATGCCTTCTTGTAAACAGTCCAGCACTTTCAGTTTCTGCTCTAGTGTGGAACCAGTCATTGCTTCTTGGGTTTTGGGTTTGTCAGCACCTGAGGAAGGTGATGATGCCTCAAAACACCTCTCCCCAAAAGCTCAAAAAAATCCTGACTTAAAAAAGCTCCCCCCAAACCCACAAAAGATCTATTTTTTTTAAAAAAAAAAACCTCAAATACATTCACCAGACATTCCTCCTCCCAAAACTCCTCCAATGTTCGTGACAATTGCTCTCTCACAACCTCCTTCCTTAAACTCCAGCTTGCCACAATTATGGCCAATAAATAACATAGCTTTTAGGTCTGACTCTTCTTAAAATCTCCTATGTAAAATATTCTAGAAATAGTCAAGCAAGCTATTATATAACCTTGGTATTTCAAGGAACATTCCTGCATTTCTGGCACACCAAAGAATCTTGGAAGCTCTATGGGGAAGGGAGCAGATCCATTTCAAGATAATCATAACTAAATGCAGCTGAACATAAGCAGTAACTGTCTACTAACACAAAGACACAATTCTTAACAGCGAGGTAGTGTGGAAACCTTTCAAAACATGCTTTTTAAAAAAGGTGAGCAAAAGATAATATTGACAGGGCAGACTGTGCATACAACAGCATTTTTTCATCACAAGATCCCCTCAGAAAAAATAAATTGCCCTCACATAATGCCAACAAAATCAACCGCAAAGAGCAACATAGACTGATTCATCTCCATAGTAGGCCCTGGATTCAGCAAATTGCATAAGCACCACATGTTTAATATTAAATATGTGGCTTAAGGAACTTATAATTGATTAGATACAAGCGTTCTTGCCATCTCTTTACAAATATTGAATTGAGTATGTAAAAGGCTTGGTACAGTTTGAAGAATTGTATGGGATATAATTTTTAAGACCTACATGTCATTTTACCCTCCGATTCTTACCTTTCTAGTTAACAAACTTTTGCGTCTCATTCCAAATGCCTCCAGCTGAAGACGCCCTCTCAGTGCTAATTCAATTAACATGCAGCCACGCAGCCCAGAGGAAATGCAGTCATTCCAAAATGATGTATAACCCTGATGGGAAAGAAGTCTCTGTAAATTTTCTTTTATGCATGTAATAATAAATAATATTCATTATAACACTTTCAGACAAAAAGAAGAAAAAGAAATCTGCCCTCTTGACATGCTCCAAAATAGCTAAGGAATTTAAGAATAAACTAAATACTGAAGAACATATCCAAGCTTCCCCCCTTTTTTTTACTTCTAAAGTATAGTGATAAAAGCTTTCTAAGAAACTTTCATGAAATGTGATTCATCTTTACAGAGATTTTGAACTTTACTCCAAAATGTTAAAATATTGTTTTCTTTCAATTTAGGCAGTCTAGTTTGAATGAAGTGGGTCTATTTTCTAAGAGCTGGAAAACAGACTTTTATTTTCAGTTCACATCTATTTCCAAGTCAAACCATGGCTTAGCCCTGTGAAGCGTGGCAGTAGGAGTGCAGCGGCTGAAAGATTTGCTCCGAGAATCCATACTTTTGTTTCTTTGTGCTAAGTCATGGTTTGGCTGAGAGTTACATGTGACCTGAACCAGACATCTCAAAATATACTTGTTTCAAATGGTTCATTTTACCAGGCTTAGGATTATGCATTGTAGGGGGTTGGACTAGATGACCCTTGGGGACCCTCCCTACTCTTCAATTCTATGGTTCTATGGTAAATAGTTGCAGGAATCACAAGTTCAGTAAAAACAAAGAAGCTTCGAAACAGGTATACTTCTTGCTTCACAAGAATTTGCAGTTAAAGCCACAAAACTTCACATGCTGAAATACTTTATTCTGGTTGAAGGAAATTTAAACCAATAAAATAAACACTATCAAACTAACTCTAACATTATCCTTACAATGCTGGCCAAGGAATTTTTAACACATCTTTTCCTCTTTCCACAAAATAACATTTTATCATTTCAAAATGCCTGCTTTTCAAACCAAAACATTAAAATACTCTGGAAGCAGTGTGTGTACACCTTCAAATATGCTGTCAAAATAAAAGAGAATTTCCCCAACATATTGTAGATGTGAAAGTTTTTGAATTTCACTGGGGCTGTTCGGTACCCTCGACTGCCTTTTTTGTGAATGGAATGTGTTCTTGAATTGTGATGCCTCTTGCTTGTCTGAATGGTGGGTGGGTGTAAAAACCGACTTTTGTATGGCTAGGATGTATATAGCCTACTGGAGAAAGCGAAGAGCCACATATATGTTTCATTCAACTTTGCCTCTAACCCAGCCATCCCACTCCAAATTTACCTTGTAGTCCAAGGAAAGATTTTGCAAACTATTGTGGTTTTTAAAATGTTTATTAGTTTATTATTTACAAATTCAGTCTACCTGCCCTTCTCCCTCCTTGGGGAAAAGCCCCGAAGAGCCGCACACACACTCCGTGCACTCTTTAAAGGGAGTGCGGCTCTTGGGGGAGCCTTAGCCGCGCGCAGCCTCTCCCGGGCAGGGGATGAAGGCTCCCCTTGCCCGGGAGAGGCTGTGCGCAGCTATCCCATAAGCCAGGACAGCCAGCGGGATCGTTGAGCTGCAATCCCGCTTGCTGTCCTGGCTTCTGGGATTCAGAATATCTTTTTTCTTGTTTTCCTCTTCCAAAAACTAGGTGTGTCTTATGGACTGGTGCGTCTTATAGAGCAAAAAATATGGTATGTTAGGAATGAAATCTCAACCAGCAGAATTACATGAACTACAAAATTAGCTGCCTGCATCATAGTCTTAATTTTCATGAAGACAACCTAAAAATGAGAAAGGAAATGTCATGGCCCAGGAAGTAAGCAAAATAAAAGTGAATCTTAATCTGAGGAAGAAACAGCCACCAACTCAAATATTTCAGTTTAAATACTTCTGTTTGTTGAAGGAACTTTTGAGCGATCGCTGAGTGACCACTTAGTAATTATATGTATGCCATCATGAGTTTCATGGCGGAAGAAAGTTGATATAATGTAAGAAAATAAATATAAATATTTATACAGCACACTAAATTAACAGTGTACTTTGGTTTTGTTTATTAAATGTAGGACAATTGCATGCACTAAGGCTACAACCTGATGCACTTACTGATGCACCCACTGAGCTCACTGGAGTTCATTTTTGACACAAATGCCTGGTTCACACGTCAATCTAACCCAAACCATTACTTAGCACAAACATGAAAGCGCTCAGGCTACCAGGAAGGATAACACAGGTGCTTTGCTTCTCCCCAATTGTTTTGCCGTTATACTATGCTAAGTTACAGTATAGTTTAGTGTGTCATCCGAACCTGGGTTTGTGGTTTAGCTCTCTTGACTTACCATGAGTCATAAACTAAGAACACACTTTGATTACACAGCTACACAGACATGTTTCATTAGCAAAAATAAGGCAAATACAAATTATGGAAGCAAAGTGTATCTGAGTAACAAGTTGAAGAACAACTTTCGAGCTCCCAACTTGAGTCAAAACTACACTAAAATTATTCAAATACAAAAACTTATCTCACACACACACACGCACACACAATCATGATTTTTCTTCCCTCAGGCCTCCCACTGTCATATCTATTCAGCACTTTGCTGTGACAATAATACCCCTCTTCCCTCACTCTGAGATGCAATTCCTCTTCTCCACTGGCTTCCTGTCCAAATCACAGATGCTTTACAAGCTCCTTCAAAACGCTTCATGCCCCCACTCTGCCCATCCTTATCTCTCTGTGTTTATTTCCCAACACATCCCTGCCTGTGACCTTCGCTCACCGAGATCCACCTCCCTCAGCATCCAAAGGTCTCCTGCTCCCTGAAATGACTCTGTCCAGTTTTCTTTGCTGCCTCTTGTCTCAAACTGCCTTCCAGAAATAATGTCTCTGTGCAGCCACCTTTATCTCCTTTAAATCCTTCTCCAAAACTCATCATTTCTAGGAAGCCTTTAGATAAGCGCATTAAGATCAACAATGAAACTCAGTTAGTTTCTGCTATGACCTGATGCTTATTGGTATGTGGCAACACAGAGGTAAACATTTTCACTTCAGGCACCAGTATTGTAGAATGAGCTCCCTGCTGAAAAACAAAAGGCCCCATCAGTATTGGCATTCCACAGAGTACTGAAGACACACTTGTTTAAACAAGCATTCCCCTGATCTCCTTACTTGAACCTCCGGCTTTAACTGTTTTAATTTTTGTTTTAACTCTTTAAAGGACTTATTTTAGTGTACATTTAAATTATGGGTGTTTATTTTACTGTTTTGATAAAAATATTTTATTGTGTATTTTATTTATGTGTACAGATTTTTTTTGCAATTGATTTTATACTTGTAATCTGCCTAGAAGCCACTTTGACAATTAAGCAATATATAATTCATCATGGTCACACACACACACACACACCCTTGCCCCAGTCCTGGATGCCCTACTATAACTAAGCCAAAGCATGTGTAACTAAAGTAATCATGTATTATTCCTCTATTGTATCCTGTCTATACTTCCTGTAATAAGCCCCTTGGAGTAAGGAAGGACCTGTCACAATTATTTTGTATGCATACAGATAGCACTATAAATAATAATAGTTAGCAACTCCCACCACCCTGCAATATTGTAGTGTTTGTCCCTCTTTCAGCTGAAAGCACAGTTATCTAAGAACCACCTTACTCTGAAGGAAGCGGATACAGTGGTACCTCGGGATGCAAACGGGATCCGTTCCGGAGCCCCGTTCGCATCCTGAATGGAACGGAAGATGCGACAGCGCGTCTGCACGTGCCGCGTTTTGCCGCTTCCATGCATGACGTCATTTTGAACGTCTGCGCATGCGACGCAACCCGGAAGTAACACGCTCCGTTACTTCCGGGTTGCCGCAGGGCGCAACCCGAAAGCGCTCAACATGAAGCACATTCAACCCGAGGTATGACTATCTAGTTTTCAGAAAGACACCCCCCAACTTGTTTTATCCATTTTATTAGTTTTAATCCAACGCCTAAAAATTTGGTGTTTGAAGAACACATTATCTGGATGCAAAGTAGTAGTACTCCTTCTGTTATCTTTGGGACAGTGTCCTTCTATTGAAAGTTGTGCTACTTTCTTCTCCAAAACAATTCTCTCCCCATACCATTATAACAAGCAAAATATTTTGCTTTATATATTTTCACTGTTCATTCTTTTGACAATGGAAGCCGAATAAAAAGGTTGTGTGTAACAGCAAGAAGAGCAGTGCAATTCTTTCATATCCTTGATGAATCAATGAATGATGAATCTATGAATCTGATCTTATGCTTTGGTTTACACAGTAGTTGCTGCAGTTAAGAGATACTGCAAAGATATATTTCTTGCTGGAAAGAGGAAAAACTGGTTCAATCTTCATGGGGTCAGTGCAGACTAACACATGATAGCACATTACAATGACTAGGAGCTGCAAAAAGGTTTCCTCCTTCTGCTCAGCAGCAGAAGGAAATTATGGCTATGACCTGTAAGGAAATCTTTGCATTGCTAAGAGATGGCTAAGCTGTAACTTTCTGTATACCTGAGAAATTCACCTCCACACCAAGTCTCTGTGTCTAAGGTTTTGTGCGCATTATTCATCATCACCTTTGTTAAAGCTTTGCTTTCAACAATAAACAAATTAAAGCATATATACAATCAAACCCGAAATGTAATAGTATCCTTGATGTTATATAAGGCATTTGTGTTATTCAAGTCAGCCAGTTTTACTTTTAATAGTGATACTAACAAAACAGAAGGCTTTTTTACTTTTACTTTGCTTTGACATTCCTTAGGGTCATTTTATTCCAGCAAGAAGGGGTTCCTTCTTGTCATTAATATACTGTTCACTATTAGTACAGCTGCAACATTTAGCCAAGTGTTAATGAACCAAAGGGTTCGTATGTGACCAGCAGAAAAGAATTACATACCCTTCACTGTGCATCTCTTATGCGCTCCAAAGAATGCCATCAGTTTCCTGCAAACTGTAAATTTGCTTTCACTAGGATGAAGACCTGATGCCTACAAAGTGCCACAACTGGTGTGTCACTGTACCATCTTTTAAGAAATAATAGACTAGCAGTTCTTCAAAGATGATGGAAAGCTTGCCTTCAAAAATCCCCATGGTGTTACTGGACTTTATCCAACAGAAATTAGTATTACAAGCCTACAGTACCTAAGTCAGACTGGGGACTGTGATATCCCACTGCTGAAGACGCAACTCATTGGAGATTATTTAGTTCATATAATTTGGAAGAGCTTCATTTCAATCACAATATGGCATGGGGAAGGCCTAAAGAATGTGCTTGGCTCAAGCTGTAGGTTTATCTTTGTTTAGCTCATACAGTATTGGGCTATTTACCTATGATTTAGGCCATATGTATTAGGAGTGAGGAGCTTAAGGCAGCTGAAAGATGGTTAATAGAAGGTTGCCTCTTAGCCATGAAGCTTAAAGGGCCTAATTCAGCAGAAGACCTTCATATTGTCTCTATATCTCTTAAGTCTCACTTTTTAACACTCTCTCTCTGAACACACCCCTTTGTGGCTTCCCTCAATTACAAGAAATCTGAAAAAGCAGAAGATTAATACATTGCATAAGACATTATAAAAACAAATAAAAATGAATTTATAAATCTCAAGATGCTATGGGTGCCTTATATGAACTGTACACATATGCTTGCACTGTCAAAATAGTCTGCAAATAAGTAATAACTAATGACAATAAAGCTTGACTTCATATTGCAAAATAAGTACAGTATTTGTTCCAAAATTTGGAAGCAACCACAAAGGACTGACATCTATTATCTGAAATTCATCAGAACAAACAGTACTTTGAGGACTGGACTACAATCATTATTGTTAACTGAAACTCAGAATACATCAACCAACCACAACAATCTTGCTTATTAGAGAAGTTTGCAATGGCTGGATCCAGTCATCAAATTATGCTTTGACAACTGGAAACACCTCCTTAGCTTGAATATGCCTCCCTCCCACAGTTTAGATAACCCAACCTAAAAACTCTAATCTAAACTCTAATGAGCCTGTAACATGTTTCTCAGTATAACCTAATAAAAACTACAGCAGAAACCCTCAAAAGCCTGGAGATGAAGTATAGAGTAATGTACAGCAGCCAAGCTACAAGTGGATGACTTTTCCAAAGATTAATGAACTCTGGGAAAGAGTGCATATGAGCACGATCCTTTATGTAAGCCCATGCAAATACACTGTGGGGTCAAAATAGAAGCCAACAACTATCATGAAAAGGGCAGCAAGTTTTATTCTACACATAAAAAAAAACACCATGCATTTGATAAAAGCATTCCCTTTCTTGGCCAAATGTACCCATAACATAAACCAGAGCTCCATTACTTTGCAAAATTCTGAAATAGCACCTTACAATCTGCAGCACAGGTTTACAAACTTTTCCTCAACTAGGTATCCTAAAGAGAGTATCTTGCTCAAGATAGTACTACACTCACTAATAAGCCTGTAGTATGTCAACCAACCCATTCTGCCTATCCAAGTTTGTTTCTTAAATGATGTAAAATGTTTATAAGCATACCCTGTGAGTCATGTGTTTTTCTGGAAAAGAAGTACATTTTAACTTTGCGAAAGGTGTTTTTAAAAATTCCTAAATAGCCATATGGCTGCAGCTGGAACACTACAGTCATACCTCTTGTTATGTTCGGTTCAGGTTACGTTCTTTCAGGATACGTCCTGCGGCAACCAGGAAGTAATGGAACAGGTTACTTCCAGGTTTTGCTGCCCGCGCATGCGCATATGCTCAACATGACGCCACGCGCATGCGCAGAAGTGATGAATTGCAACCCGTGCGTGCACAGGTTGCGTTCTGCTCGTGTTGTGAACGGGGCTCCGGAACGGATCCCGTTCGCAACCAGAGGTACCACTGTATAAGAAATTCTCAGATGACTGTTATGGCCCAGTTGTTTGAATTTACTGCACTAACAAGTAGGTGCTTAGACTGCAGCATTCCAACTATGCCAGTACATGGTTCCTAAACATAAATGTTAAAAAAAACCCAGCTATTAACAGTATTCCAGTCTGAGAAAGTCCAACTACATGGACCTCTGCTCTTAAGAAACTTGATGCCCCTAAGCCAACTTCTACTGAGGGGTTTCAATGCAACTTTGCTGTTTCTCCTGCCCCATTAAGCCCTTCTGTCAAATCCAAAAGCTTTTCACCACAACATCCTCCTCCAAGTTTTGCTGACACCACCACCTTCCCTAACCCCTTTACATCTAATCCTAAAACCGTTAGCTGCCTCAGTTTCAGTCATACCTGATAAGTTATACCTGGAAACACTTAGCATAAAACTATGAGCACTCAACTAGCATGTCCCAGTATGTGGGTAGAAGGCGGTGGCTGATGCCCACTTTCAAATTCTATTCCATCTTCATATCCTGTTCTTCTCGCAAGATTCTTCTTCTTCTTCTGTATTTCTCATATCTGATTTATTGCCATATACAGTGGTACCTCGGGTTAAGTACTTAATTCGTTCTGGAGGTCCGTTCTTAACCTGAAACTGTTCTTAACCTGAAGCACCACTTTAGCTAATGGGGCCTCCTAGTGCTGTCGCGCCGCCGGAGCACAATTTCTGTTCTCATCCTGAAGCAAAGTTCTTAACCTGAAGCACTATTTCTGGGTTAGTGGAGTATGTACCACTGAAGTGTATGTAACCCAAGGTACCACTGTACAGTATCGCAGTTTGAGAACTGGACTGAAAGCTGCAGTGGGGGACGAGGTGGGAGGAAGGGGTTGCCTTGCAGACAACATGGCATGCTGGGGAGTGTGTGTCTTATATTTCACTGCCAGCTTTCTGGCATTTTATTTTTTTTTAACTTCCATTCTGACACTTGTGTCTCCTTCGTTTTAATTTGTTTTTAGGGTGGCCCTGAAAGGCAGCATGCAAAGCCCTGGGCCCAACCACTTTTGTTTGTGTGTGTCAAGAGACGCCCGCCTACCTTAACCCCTAATCACATATACTACACAACACAACACAACACAGCCAGACAGCCAAGGAGCCCCTCCCCCTCAGACATCCACCAACCCCCGTAGCAACCTCCAGGCCCCTCGACCGACACCACCCCTCATTTTGACCTCATAATCCCGCCCCCCAGCCCCACATACACAAGGGCAACCCTGGGGGGGGGAGGCCTTTCATGTCCCCTCCTCACCTCACAGACACCCCACCCCACCTTCCCGGGCCCACCCCGCCACCTTTCCCCGCTCGCCAGGCTGCGGGCCCCGCACCTCTCGGTCCTTGAGGCCCAGCAGCAGCACTTCCTCCATGAGCGTGAGGCGCGTTTCCTTGGAGTCGCCCTTCTCGTCGTCGCCCTGCTCGTCCCGCCGGCCTTCTTCCTCCGCGCCTCCTCCGCCACCCCCGCCGCCGCCGCCGCCCCCAGACGCCCGCTCTTTGTCGGCCGCGGCGGCGCTGCGAGAGGCCTCGGTCCGGCGCTGCACTAGGCCCGAGTTTCGCTGGGTCAGGGAAGTCATGGCGGCGGCGGGGGGCCCCGGGAGGACCCTGCTGGAAAGGCTGGGGCTGCGGCCTCCCTGCCGCTCTCGCTCGCTCTCTCCGCTTCCCCCACTCCGGGCGGGAGCTGGGGCGGCCCCAAGCGCTCAGGGAGGGGAAAGGGAGGGAAGGGAGCGGGGGAGAAGGAGCTGGGCCAGCCTGGCTCCCCCTGCGGCACCAGCGGCGGCGGCGGCAGGAGCACCTTCTCCTCCAATATGGCGGCGCAGGCTGACGCGCCAGCAGCTATAGCGGCGGCGGAGGATGTGGCAGGAGGAGGAGGAGGAGGAAGACTCTGGAGGCGCCGGAAAGAGAAAGATGGGGGGCGGGGGCGGAGAGGAAGTTAAGTCGGTCAGTCAGTCGGCGGCTCAGAGGCAGCGGAGGTAAACTCTGAGGTAAACTCTTCCCCGCGCTAGCCCTCAGGAAGGGGGAGCGTGTTTTTGTTTCTGTATCTTCTGTTGGAGTCGCTTTTTAAAACTTTTTTTTATGGTGAGGAGCACCTTGTGAAGGAAAGCGAATATGCAGTATACTCTCTTTTTTTGGACGAACGTGAACACACACATACATGCCCAGAACATTTTGGCACCTGAGGCAGACCCCAAAATGGCGCCCCCATTCCCTCACACCAGGTGAGGGAAGAGCTACATCAGGGGTCAGCAACCTTTCTCAGCCGTGGGCCGGTCCACCGTCCCTCAGACCATGTGGTGGGCCGGACTATATTTTGAAGGAAAAAATTAACGAATTCCTATGCCCCACAAATAACCCAGAGATGCATTTTAAATAAAAGCATACATTCTAATGTACAAACACCAGGCAGGTGCCACAAATAACCGAGAGATGCATTTTAAATAAAAGCACACATTCTACTCATGTAAAAACACGCTGGGCCGGATTGAGAAGGCAATTGGGCCGCATCCGGCCCATGGGCCTTAGGTTGCCTACCCCTGATCTACATCAAGGGGAAGAAAAAGCTACATTGGGATCTGCGGATACTGCCTCAGTTGCCTCCTTTTACCTCATGGGTGGGTTGGCCCTGAATGAATACAGTGGTACCTCGGGTTACATACGCTTCAGGTTACGGACTCCTCTAACCCAGAAATAATACCTCGGGTTAAGAACTTTGCTTCAGGATGAGAACAGAAATCGTGCTCCGGTGGCATGGCAGCAGCAGGAGGCCCCATTAGCTAAAGTGGTGCTTCAGGTTAAGAACAGTTTCAGGTTAAGAACAGACCTCCGGAACGAATTAAGTACTTAACCCAAGGTACCACTGTATTATCATGGAGATCTGCTGCCCCTGTGGATCCGGCTGCCTGAGGCAGTCGCCACACCTTCCCTCCTGAGTGGGCTGGCCCTGCACACACCACATTGCTCAAGGGAAGCAAGTCAATTCACTGCATAAAATGCCTCTTGAGCATATAGTGCACACCCCTGAGAGTTTGGGCATCCTGTATTGTTCTCCTCCTGGGCCCCGTTTTTGTGATCATGTTGTTTCAGCCCCAGTGTTGTGCCCCTGTGATTTGCATCAGATTTTTATTGTGCTGGTCTCCTCACACGTTTATTGTGGGTTGAGTTTTATGGAATGCCTTTGGATTTCCTTGTTCCATTTTTCACTGTTTAGGGGTGAGCAGTGAGGTGGCCAAGTTCGCTAACCCAGGGTCCATATTTCCTTTTGAGGCACAGCAGAGACTGGGGTGTCTTTATGATAGATTATTTGCAGATTTATACAACCTGAGCCTATGATGGAGGGGTTTCCCAGCACCACCCTCCAAGAGGATCATTCTTCTCCCATAGGTGCCTTTCTCTCCAACCCACTGCTTTACTATCTGCATTACATCACTCCTCTAGGCTACATTGCTTCTATTGCTTACACCCTCTCTGCTATAAGCTCTCTTTATCTGTAAAGGGAGGGGCCCTACTCAATTGGTGTCTTAACTCCCAGTTCCTTTGATGTCTTAATGGTCCATCATCCCAAGTGATCACCTCATGCAGGAGGTTATTCCTGGCTTTATTAGGTTTTGACATTTGCTAATTCCAGAGGATTAGATGTACCTACTACACAGCTGAAATATACACAGGTTGAGCACAGTTTTAACACTAAGTCTTAGTTAAATTCTAACATTAGCTTGATCCGGGAATTTTAGGGCAAGTCTAGCACCCACAGCTCCTGAAAATATGTGCGTGTGTATAACACACACAGAGAGGAAATGCAGGCAATCATACAGCTGTCTTGTAAGAAGCTGTCAAAAGAGAGATTGTGCTGGTATTTGTATGGTTAGTCACTAACTGAGCAACCCTAACCAGGCAGATGCATTCCTGGCTACCAAGGCAAATCTCACCTCCTAGTCTGAGACACCTTTGTTCATGTCAGCAGTCTATTCATGTTAGTGTTGCAGTGGCTAACTCATACATCTATTTTTATTAGCTTTTTCTTCTTCAGAGAAGCTGTGTTACACGGCTCCAACTTTTAAAAAGGTTTTTTAAGTATGCACCTCCAGTGGAGTCTTTCTGTGATCTATAAGCAAATAAACCGCATCAGGGAACTATATACCATGTAAGTGTCTATATGTATCAGCACATGGAGTTTCTAATATATACAAATGCCATCAGCCAGCCATGTTCTCTTCTAATGTACTCCACACTATTTCTCCCTCCAGCAGACATTCAGCATTCTGTAGCCACTGAGAATTGCCTCATTAGGACTATCACCTCGTTTTCTTTCCTAAATATTCCTAAATAATTATTCTCTCTTTTTTATTTCTCTTTCTCTTTCTTTCTTTCTCCTTTTCTTCTGGATCTATGTTTTTATTTTACTTAATGTTTTAGTCTGGATAAAAAATATATTTGATAATCTTCTTTATATTTCTCTTTATAAACTCTAATAAAAATTTTCAAAGAAAAGAATAGAATCCTATACAGCACCAAAGGCAGCCTTAAGTGCTTGAGTGCCTGTTCTTTTTATTTAAGCTGGAAATGTTGCAGCACATCCTTAGACACTCTGCTGCAGGTACCATAGAAAATATCCCCTGCTATGTTTATGATAGAAGACTAGAATTATTGGCCCGGATAGCTGTCAAAAACCTGGGGTATCAGCTCATAGTCACTGTGTGACTGCTATTATCCAAAAAAATACTCTTAGGACCAGTTCACATTGCTCCATAAATGTTATACCCTTAACCATGCATATACATACTTTAGGAAACTGTGATTGACTGAAGTTCCTTGTTAAATGTACACTTAATAGCACACACAGTTTTGCCTTTGCGTAGGTGAAATGGCCCTGCCGTTTTTGCGATGGAAGTCTAATGTTATAAAAAGAGAGAGTGCATGAATATGTCAGTACAGTATATCTTATCTTTACTGCATTTGACCACAATGCCTTCACTGTGTTTTCCTACTAATATGCATAAATAATAGTCCAGAACTCTGGAGTGCACATGGCACAAACAGAATGCTCCTGTAAATGTAGAAGTTTTCACATAAAGTGATAAGCATGAAGAATAAATTGCTAATCAGAAAATGGCAGTGTTGGGGAGCCAGTTTCAAGCTGAATGAATCTATATTTATGAAATGACAGGATAGGCAGCAATGGCAATTCCAAAGAAGGCATATAATTATACACTCATTAACATGCATTAGTAGGATTTCAATCAAACAGTGCAAAATTACAGTGAACCAGAGGGTAGGGTTTAATAATGCCCAGCACAAAAAAACCCTCTTAAAGTACATTCAAATGTCCCTTTTTAAGGAGTACCCCCACATGAACAGTAAAGTACTTAATAACTCCAAGCATTTAGAAAGCACACTTTAGGGGTCCAAACACTTTCTTACCTCATCCCTGTAATCCTTAAAATAAATCTGCAAGGTAAGCCAGCATTATCCCCATGTTGCAAATGGAAGACTGAAGCAGAGACAAAATTGTGACTTGCCGAAGATCACTTAGTTTACTGTTGAGAAAATTGACTGGCATCTTACAGATACCTGGGGCACAAATCCTTGTGACCTGCTGCAAATCTCTCTGCAGCAAATATATTTAACAGCATTTTATTACTTAAAGCAGTTGTATCCCACTCTTTATTCAAAAAGGTTCTTAGTGCAACTCATAATCTAAAAACCACAACCAACAAGGAAAATAGGTATTGGCTGAGGGAGGAAAAAAGCAAGCTCAGGTTCTTAAAATTAGTAGTTCTTAAAATTACCAGATAAAAACCCATTATCTTATGTACATATTCATGGACCTTCTAATCTGGCAACCATTACTAGTGATGATTGCACACCACAGATGTTACTGCTTAATTGGGTAAATTACCCCAAAACTTAGATCAATAATTATCTTGATAATCTTCTCATGTAGAGGAACCAACAACGTTAACACAAACTGATGTGATTGAAATATTTACACAACATGGCAATCCATTGCTGCTAATGGGAATGAGCCTAATAGCAGCATGACATGTTTTTTTGGGTGTGTGCATGTGTGATGTCTTTGTCAGAAACAAAAGAACCAACATACCAAGATGAACATAAAAGCAAAATGTAAGTGTGGCCATTAGTATTAACAGAGCATGTATATCACATCCAGGAATACACTGTCATCACAATGCATGTTTATGACATATTCAGTGTTCATAGTGCAGACATATGGTCTAATTTCCACTTCTTAAACATATTAGCCAAGCCAATGTATCCCTTCAAAACAATATTTGAGAAAGGGGAATTGGGAGGGGGGCTGGGGGCAGCGGTTAATATATGAAAGGAACTCAGCATTATTTTTGTCTGAACCATGACAGGAATAAAAGGGTTAAGCTTCCCCTGCCCATGTTCTGCTGTCCTGATGAAAATTGGGGAAAGGAGCTTTGCACAACAAGTTTTACAAAACAGATGCAGTTTGCAACACATGTTTAGCATCATGTGTTCAGCTATTAGAAGGGATGCCCAGCACTTACAGAGTCTCGCCCACCTAACATTTTATTTTGAGCATGTGATCCGGAAAACTGTTTACTTGGGAGAAGACACTGAACTCAGCAGGACTGAGTTAAAAAGCATTGTCCTGCCACCCTACCAGGATACAGTGGTGCCTCGCAAGACGAAATTAATCCGTTCCGCGAGTCTCTTCGTCTTGCGGTTTTTTCGTCTTGCGAAGCACGGCTATTAGCGGCTTAGCGGCTTAGCGGCTATTAACTGCTTAGCGGCTATTAACGGCTTAGCGGCTTTAAGAAAAAGGAAACAAACTCGCAAGGCGTTTCATCTTGCGAAGCAAGCCCATAGGGAAATTCGTCTTGCGGAACGACTCAAAAAACGGAAAACTCTTTTGTCTTGCGCGTTTTTCGTCTTGCGAGGCATTCGTCTTGCGAGGTACCACTGTACTGAAAACAGGATAAAACCCCTCCCACACTAGATCACACTGACAAGTGCAAGAAAATGCAATATGCAATTCTTGCTGCTTACAGCTGGAAGGTTTCCATGCAGTTTCACATTGGTGATATGTGTGCAACAGTAATACACTATGATTGCAGTGTGACCTGTTGGGATACAGAACCCAATATTTAATCCCATTTAGAGGGGAGAATTTGCCCTCTAAATTAACACTTAAATAGGCTTCAGTTCAGTCATACCTATCCATTGGGTGGAGAAGGACAATGTATTTACCCAACATTCCCTTTGAAAAGCAAATCTGAATTTTAAAACCGAGCAGAAGATTTATGATTTAATTCAGATTAACATAATCAGATTAACATAATTACCAGCAGTTCCTGGACAAACAGAATTTGCACACTCTTCTTTCTACATACTGCATAGATCAAAGTGACTCTCAACTTCAAACACAATTTATCCTTTGAAGTTAGCCAGTGAAGTATGTGCTTATAATATGGATATACCTGTTAAGAGCATTGCGGTCTCCCCCCTTCCCCATTGCAGCACTGTAACAGAACTTTTAGGGGTCCTGCTTCAACCTCTGCATTCATAAAGGTCTTGGTCTCTCTCTTTTTCTCTCACCCACACATCTATGAAAATACCCAGAATCACAGACAGCAAAACCTAGCACATGAAAGTTGAAAAGGCGTTTCCACAAAATTGCAACTTGCTGCATAGTTCCCAGGGTATGGTCTGAAAGCACACAAGGTGCTACATTGCTGGTGTGGGTCTGGTTATTTATTGCATTTCTATTCAGCCTTTTCTCCAAGCTCAAGATGGTGTACAAGCTTATCCCTTTGTCCATTTTATTCTCACAACCACCCTGTGAAGTAGGTCAGGGTGTGCGTGTGCAGCAATGTAAGGCCAGTGTGGGAGCATGATCTGAAAACTCCCCTTTTAGTTGCCAAATGCATGCCCTAAATCATGGGTCGGCAAACTAAGGTCCATGGGCCGGATCAGGCCCAATTGCCTTCTAGATCCGACCCGTGGACGGTCCAGGAATCGCCATGTAGATCACCAGCACGTGCATTCTTTCCCTCTCCCTCACACGGCGGCACTTCTCCCCTCAGGGATGGAGCAATCTTGTCCCACGACGGGCGCCATTGACGGCAGGAGTCAGCTCACTCGCCTGCTTGCCTCAGCAGGGCAGTGCTGTGAAGGGGGCGTGTGATGCCAGTGGCTGCTGCATTTTCCTCCTGCTTCTCCTCCCTCTCCATCAGTCTGCCCTTCCTTCTCCACGCCCCTTTTCCACACCACTTCCATGTGCGCTTTTTTCGTCACCGCCTGCCTGCCTTCCTCCATTTCTCCCATGGCATTCAGGCGGGTTGTTGTGATGGCTGCGGCCGCCGCTTGTGGGTTGGTGGGTGGCTCGGTCTACTCCGCGGTGCCTCTCGGGAAGCAGCAGCAGCAGGTGGTGGGTAAAAGCTCCAGCGACACCCTGGTTTCCCTACCTCCATCTACGGCTCCTCTGCCTTGGCTGCTGCTTCTGTCTTCACCAGCCAACACAGCCTGCTACCCTGCCATGGCGCCTTGCTGGCTGGCTGAAGCCCAACTGCGGATACTGGGACAGGTAAAGCCAGGCATAGACAAACTCGGCCCCCCAGATATTTTGGGACTACAACTCCCATCATCCCTAGCTAACAGGACCAGTGGTCAGGGATGATGGGAATTGTAGTCTCAAAAACATCCGGAGGGCCGAGTTTGCCTATGCCTGGGTAAAGCAAAGCATTTTCAGGCCTCTTTGCAGGTGGGAGAAAATCATTCATTTTTTTCCCCAAAATAGTCCGGCCCCCCACAAGGTCTGAGAAAATCTGCTGACCCTTGCCCTAAATGCAAGAGATAGGGATAAATATGAAAGAAAAAAAAGCTTTGCATCTAAATCTATAAATTGACTAGGTTTTTAGGCAGTATCCTGGCCTTAAGAGTTTATGCACCCTGGGGTGCTAGGGCACACTTTCCCATTGTGACAGTTGCTAGGAAGCAGTATTGTCACTAACATCTCCCAAATAAGAAGTTAAAAAAGGAGCTTGAGAAGGGAATCTAGCAAGTAGTATCAGCATATCAGCGCCATCTGATGATATGATCTCTCTCCAAAAGAAGGCTGTGTGCTTCCATTGTTATTTGTTGAAGTACGTCAATTATGTGTACACAAAAAGTCTTCTGCAGCCCAGCCGAACAAATTGGTACATTTTCATCACCCTTTTCCATTCCATGAAGTCATTCATGAGATAAGGAAGTCTCTAGCACATCAGTTCAAACTTTTCCCCACGCACTCCTTGAAAATTGCCCAGGGTCATGGCCGACCACTCAATGATTTTTCTGCCTGTTATAGCAACTGAAATGCACTGTGGCAGCTCGTACATGCTGTTGGTTTTTAATTATATTTCTATTCCTTGTATTTTTTATGTTGTATTTCATTGCATTACAACTTGCATGCCATAGAAATAACATTGGAAGTGTCCTTCACATGGACCACCTCAGTGAAGCTTGCAGGCCATTAGTGGTCTGTGGAACCCCTGCTCTAGCAAAAGAACCCTAAAAAGAATGACAATTTTTCTTCTACAGCTTATTGCACGGTAAAATCTCTGGAAAGAAGCACCATTTGCTACTTTTCCGTAGCAACTGGGATTTGCTTAAAATTCTCCCATCTTTGTGGATATATAATTCTTAAGTTATGAGGCTGCTAATTTTGTATTGGCTTTGTGCCTTCAAGTACACTGGGGAGAAGGGATCCAACAGAATGTGGCTACAAAACAGAAAGGCACTGGGTGGGAAAATCCTAGCAAATGCTGACTGCAGGCTGGCCCTGGGCCCAAGCCGAGAGAGCGCTTCCTGTCCTTAAAATAAGGTCTGCCTTCTGAAGAGCTACTGTTAAAAAGTTTGCAAGCCTTCAAGTATCCCTCCCCCTCCCTGCGAATCTTTAAGAGGAAAAGCCACTTCAGATATGAAGCACAACAAGAACAGGAAGCAGAAACAGCTGGCTTGTGCTTCCTGTTCCCTTTTCCATCTCTATTGCATTTGAGCTCCCCCCCCCCATGCATATGACATGGGAGTAGGCTGTGCAACTCCTTAGGACATAAGTGGAAAACTGCCCTCAAATGGGGCAAGGGAGCAGGAATCACAAGACCAGAAATCTTCCAAAGTCCTATCAGTCCAGTAAACCCAAGTACATGTGCCTGCTAACTGTACTTCAGCTTGTTGCTGTTGTCTATATAATATATATATATATAGAGAGAGAGAGAGAGAGTGTGTGTGTGTGTGTGTGTGTGTGTGTGTGTGTGTGTGTGAAGGCCGCTTACATATGAAAATGGAAACCTTCAAAAACAGGTTATTTAGGTTTAGTTTCCTGCCATGTGACGTAGACGCAGAAGAGGTTACAATAAATATACATATATTCCAAACTAAGCTAATCCACCTCAGCTTTTACAAAATCAGCTCTTAATTCATCTTAATATAACAGGAGTCTAGTGAGTTAGGTCTTGTAACACTGAGTACTTAAAGTGACCTTTATTTCCAAATCCACATTTCTATTGATATGAGTTGGGGGTGCCTGATTTCCCTAAATTCCTGGATTTAGTAAATGTTAGAATTTAATGAATCTTTGGAGTTAAATGAAGTTAGACTCTTAATACCTGGACCCAGCTTCCTGTGTTCATGAGATCCCCATAGCAGAGAACAAAGACAGGGAGATGACAGCTGGCAAATGGGAAGAGCCCTGCCCTGAGCCAGTTACAGACAAAGTAGAGTTTAGAATTTCAGTGGTGGTGCTGTGACCTAGAGAGAAAAAGTGGCTGCTGAATGCAGCAAGCTACAAAGTCAAAGCCATGGCTGGCCAATTGAAAAGTCCTGCTGGTTAGGAGCAAACACCTCAACAGAAAAACCTTCCAACACACCCCTTTTCATCAGAAAGGGAGGGTACTAGCAGCCCCATTGCTGAGCAGGGGCTGCAGGAGTTTTTCCTCCCCTGATGTAAAGAGGTGGGGGACATGCTTCCAGTGGCCCCCATCCTCCTTCAAATGGTAGATCCAGATTGCTGCAAAGCTGCTGGGATGCTCCCCACTTACTTCTGCAGCTTCCAAGTTAGGAGGCTTTGGTCTCATTTTTGCTTATGGTCTTGTTGGTGTGGCTAGTAGGACAGTGGCACAAGACAAATATTCTGGAGCAAGCTAAAAAGGACACTTATTTGTCCAGTCATTTGGGACTTAAAAGGATTTGAAGCAGATGTCTGCTAAGCTGATTACTGTGGCTGTGTTGAAAAGTTCTTTTCAATTGTTGTGGCTTTTAAACATCGTTTCATAGTACTGTGTGCATTAGCTCCTCTGTGCTCCAGTTCAGAGGAAGGGCAGAGTACAAAAATGAAATAATAAATCATGGTTACCTGGCGGCAGGGCCACATGTGACTTTATAGAGCGTAACTGTTGAGGCCTGTAGATCAGGGGACCTGGTCTACCAGCATAGATCAAATTGTGCTCCAACATCTGGAAGGCTACAGGCTCCCCATCCCTGCTGTACATGGCAGTGGGTTACATGCATTCAAAGGTATGACTACATAGAAGGCAAGTTTTGTATGGATCTGCACTTCTGCTGTTGCTTATCAGGAATCCTGAAACCAATGGTAAGGTTACTGCATCCATTAGTACCGCAAAACACTACAGCCAGGGATTCCCCAACTTGTAGTTCAGAAACAGCTAGACACACAACTTCCATCATCCCTAGTTATCAGGAACAGTGGGTGAGGGTGATGGGAATTGTAGTCCAAAAACTGCTGGAGACCCAAGTTGGGGAAACCCTGGACTAGACTATGCAAACCTAACCGTTGAGATTGACAAAGACACTTTTCAAGTTAAAATAGTAAAAGTACACTTTATTAAACAAATACATTTGTCCAAATAGTCCATTAAAGTAAACAGGAAGAGTTTTTTTTCCTTTAGTACTGTTAATGTTAAGCTTGTATTCAGTGTAAAACTGGGAGGTATAAAACAGAATACCAGAAAATTCAGTATAGCGAATTAAATACGTTTCCATCCACAGTGGTGTGTTCTGATCATATCAATACCATACTCGTTCCTATTAGAGTGGAGCAGTTCCATAAGCCATTATAAAAATCCCTCCATATCCATGAGTTTCCTATATACACAATACTTGACAGCTTAAATATAAATACATTTCCACGACCAATATATTACAACTGTTTAGCTGTCAAAGGAAATGCTATTTTTTTAAAAAACAACCTTTCCATCGTTAGTGTTTTTCACCCAAAGTGAACTCAAAATCATAATCAAGTAGCTATAAAATGTACAGCCTGTACTAATTGGAGAGAAACTCCTGTATAAATGCTAAATAAATTTGAAGAAACAAAAGTGTGCAATGCTAGCTTTCGGAAGGCTCATATACAAATAGAATTATTGTGTTTTAAGAATACTGAAAGCTCAAGGAGCTTACAGTAGCAAAATGCATAAGGCAACATAGATTCTGAGGTTTCCATTTGGCATTCATCTATACCAGGGTAGCTCTAAGTAGCTCTCCAGATGTTGTCTACAACTCCCATCACCCACAGCTTAGGCTGATGAGATTTGGAGTCCAATGACATCTGGAGAGCCACAGGCTAGCTACCCTGATTTACACCAATTCATTATCCACTCTTTTGGAAGTCTAATCTTAGCTCCCAATACAACGTAAAAAACAAGCAGGTATAGCACACTGGATATACTCCAAGCCAATGCTTTAAAACTGTACCTAGAATCTCATTGGGCTAGTACAATAACCACTTGTGCGCTGTCATATCCATGAAGCTCCAGCCCTCCAAGGAGGAAGGGTTACTAAGAGCCAATTCTATCTTGTGGGCTACTTCTGGATTTATGTACATTAAGACTTTACCCTCTAGACTTCTCAAAGCCTCTGTTTCAGAGCTGAATTATCTGCTTGGTATAGGCAGACAAAACTTAATAAGCAGTTTTCATATGGCTTTTATAACTGAGGTACTGTTGTGACAACATCCAGCAATTCAACTCCACTGCATAAACTTTTACATTCATAGCTAGCTTTAATGTCACGTTTATATAAAATAGCAGTACTGGATGACAAATCCAGTTTCAAAGCTGAATATAGCTCTTTAGTTGCCTTTCGTAAAGTAAGGACTTGAGATTCAGTGCAAGCTTCTGGCGCTAGTGAGGAAGTTCAACATGAGCACCCTATGCAATCTGGAAGAAAAAGTCTGGCTTATTGCCATCTTTTAAGTTCTACCCCATCCTGTACTTGGTAGTGTGTGTTCCAGACGTCATGCACCAAGGCGGCAGGATAATAACATGATGGAAACAAAAGAAGACTGGCACAAGAGATTGTTATCTTAAGTTACTGAAAACTAAGACACTTATTAAGATACAACAATGAACTATTATTCTGCAGATCATGGATGATCAGAACAAGTAGGATGAATGAGAGAAACACCTAGTATTTCTCTAGTTGGGAGTTTTAAAAAGACAGGTATGACCCTGTCAAGTTCATTAAAAACAAAAAACAAAACAAAACATGGCACCTGATTCTTCTTAGAAACGCCGGGGGGTGTCTTTCAAACAGCACACGTTTTTCTATGCATTATAAGTTGTGCCTGGAAGACACACTTACCTGACTAGGACATTTTTAAATTCTGGTGGATATTTCTGAGACCACCACCCCTTTATGTTCCAACAAGAAGTTTATTATGATTTTGAGAGTGCCCCAACACCTTAACTCTTTCCATGATTGAGCAACTAATTTGTATTTTACTTTATTTTTCAACGGGGCCCTATGCAACACAGCTATGTATCTCCCATGCTTATGGAAAGAACTAATTAAAATGCTTGATCAAAACTCATGTAGAAAATATTGCGGGTGCTCAAGTGAGGAAATCTTCATATGCTAAAAGCTTCATCGGGCAGAAGGGAAAGCCACTGCCAGGAAACCAATTTTATGTTTGGAGAGAAGTGTGCCAGTACTTTCATTTCTGTTTGTGAGCATAAGCCTCACATCAAACATCCCCTAAATCAACATACTCATCATCTCTCCTAGCCAAGTCCTCACCTTCCAAATCTTTCCAGGTGCTCGTAGGTAAAACTGGCTTGAGAGAATGTCTTTGAAGCCCAGCAAATGGAAATAAAGCAGACAGGCGAGCAGGATTTCTCTGGAAGGGAGACTCTGCTGCAGCGCCCTCCTCTGAGAGACTCTGGCTGCGTTGTTCATCCATTTGCTTCTGCAAACCTTGCACGTCCTCCATCACATCCCAGACTTTTGTTGCAGTGGCAACTGTCCCACCACTAGGCAGCTGAGCTTCAGGGATCCATCGCAAGTATCTCTGCGCCCACACTTTGATTTCTGGTCCTTCTAAGCGTGGCAGCAGGATTCCATGGAGATCAGCAGGTTTGGAGTGCCAACTCTCATAAAATTCTCTGGAGGTATTCTGCAGTTCGTCGGCAGATGTTATCAGCCTGCTGATCCTTTTGCCAAGGAGGTTTTTTATTAACTGGTCCGTTTCTTCCTTAAAAAACCCCCTTTTGGGGGACGGTTTTGTTTGTGTCAATGGTAAGGAAAGCTGCCGTTGATGCTTTTCGTAAAAAAAAGAAAAAAGGATGAACATAGGCAATAGTTTAGTTTAAGACAGATTTAAGTTGCATTTTAACAGCTATCATAGCCTACAACTTACCAGTGTTTTGGTAAAAAAATAGCTAAGCAGCTATAACACAACACATTACTCAGTCAAGTAAGAAAGCTGCTGAGAATATCAACCATCTCTTCGCAACTGAGATAGTGTTTTGAGAGAGGAGTGAAATTAGAATTAAATTTAGTTAACTAACAAAAACATTTAATGGGTCAGTAAGTCAAGACACTGCCCCTCCTCAGAAAACAGGATAATTGGCCACATCTTTGAAAGTTTTTACAAGTTATTAAAAAACTACCTAAATCTGCTCAGCAAAACAGTTGCAGATTTCAGATGCATACCAGTCAGGCAACTCACTAAACCCCCTGTTGCAGTTCAAAAAAGGATTACATCCTTTCCCATCAAATTGTGAAATAATTCACCTAGCATGCTTAAGACTGCAAATCCTTTAGTGGTTCTCAAATGAAAAATTATTTGAGGGCACATACAAAATATACTGATGTATACTTTTTAATTAAAGGACTATTTGCATTTTTTGTTATTGGTTAATTTCAAAGTTAATCCCAAAGACCAGAAAATGACTATGTGATGCAGCGGGTGACGCTGTGGGTTAAACCACTGAGCCTAGGACTTGCCGATCAGAAGGTCGGCGGTTCGAATCCCAGCAACGGGGTGAACTCCTTCTGCTCGGTCCCTGCTCCTGCCAACCTAGCAGTTCGAAAGCACAAAGTGCAAGTAGATAAATAGGTACTGCTCCAGAGGGAAGGTAAACAACGTTTCCCTGCGCTGCTCTGGTTTGCCAGAAGCTGCTTAGTCATGCTGGTTACATGACCCGGAAGCGGTACACCGGCTCCCTTGGCCAATAAAGCGAGATGAGAGCCGCAACCCCAGAGTCATCCGCGACTGGACCTAGTGGTCAGGGGTCCCTTTACCTAATCATATGTTAACACTATTTTACTTAGCTTTATATGGTTAACTCATAGCAATCAATTAAGGCAGCAAATCATGGCAATGATTGAAGTATCTGATGCTGAAAATAATGCAGCAAGGTAAGCTGTAAACCTTGCTTTTGATATTGGCACTGAGAAAACTATTTGCAGAAATCCACAGGTTCTACCTTAACTGAACAGTGGGTGACACAAGTCATCAGCCACTGTTATTTACATAAGGCAGAAAAATGATATAGAGTTTTAAGGATAAGAGTTGGACACCATACCTTGAATTGTGTAGGTTTTTTCTGAATCTTATCATGTTTTGGCTTCTCAGCATAAAGAGGATTATTCAGCAAGGCTTGTGCCTCAGGTCCAAACTGCACAGACCAGTCCCAAACGTGAAGATAACTAAGTTTGGTGCCTTCTGTATTAAGGCTTCCTCCATACTATCAAAAAAAAAACAGACAAGAATTAGAATCTCGAATATATTTCTAATAAGCATCAGTTCATACTAGCTCTTTACTGCAAGTAACATCTTTACTTCAGCAATTTCAGCTCCCTCAACCACCTCTCTAGTCTGCGTAGACTTAGCAGGATTTGAACACATTTCTCAAAATGGCATTGTATAACTTCACTGTACCAAGCGTATCTGTACACCTATTCTAGCCGAACAGAAAATCCACTTGATCCAGGACATGGTCTGAAGGCATATGACAGTCATGGGTTATCTAAAGTTAAACAGCTCTGGTCAGTCTGGATGGGAGACTACCTGGGAATCCCATGCTACCTCAAATAGTATGAGGAGGGAAAGGGTGGATATGTAAAAAATAATTTCTTCAGCCATTGGTTTTTAAAGACTTAAGTGGTAATACTGCACTCAAGTATAACCTTCCTCCAAAGAAGGATCCAGTTAGATCATAATTATTTTGAAACTGTGGCAGAGGAACAACTTTCAAGGTATCTTGTTCACATCCATCCTTGAGAAGTGACACTCTCAGGATTCCTATAGCTCATGAAAGCACTGAAGGAGAGAATTGGGGGGTCTCCCCCCTCTGAATAGGATAGAAGGTAGTTTGCTGACGTCTGTGCAATACAAGACAGATACTACACCGTGTCTGTACAGATTCCAAAATTTTAGTTCTCTTTTTTATATGAAGAGTAACCTTCATGGCTGCAAAGAGTTGAAAGTATGTGAGCAATGTCTGGCGAGGTATCAGAAGCCAGAGAAGGGGTGAAAAGGTTTCCAGCAGAAAGAGGCAGTGATTCAACACGCTGCACAACTTTATATACCATTGTTAGAATGAGTTATACACAGAAACAAAACAAAAACACACTAGCATTTGTACGTTATAAAAACAAGACTTTTACTGGCACTTGATTGTACTGCTGTCATAAATCCAAAGAGAATTCAGCTGCACCAAGACAACCCATCTATAATTCCCCACAGCCCCCAGTCTACGTACCCTGGTAGTGTCTCTTTGATGCGGAGAATTGAAGAAGAAGGTGCTAAATATTGGTATGTACAGACTATCCGACAAGACAGTTAGGTAAGTCTCTGTAAATTCAAAGGCTAGTGAATACTGTTGAACCAACTGCCATACACAATCCAAGAACAACAAGAAAAGTGGTGCCTAAAAGGGAAAAAAACCGACATTATGTAATAGATTACTTGGGGTATTTGATGCATTGAGTTCACCAAGACTAAACCTACCCAAGGGGGTATTCCATGTGATACCCTTTCCTTACTGACCTTTGTCAACTTAAGTATGGCTGGTGGGGATGAGAAGGAGTTGTTTTTTAAATTGTGGGTCTTGGCCTGGCCTAGTCTCATACCCATTTCTAAAGGCAGGCTCCTTATTTAGGGCTCTTAAGGTACGGAGTTCCACTATACTGTACTATCATTTTGCTAAAGTCCAAATTAAGCTACTTCAAAAACATACTACGTTGTCACTGTTGAATAGCTGAATGCAGTATTTCCATTATGATTCTCAGCCTTCCCCCTTTAATACCATCCTAGAGGATATGGTTTTGCTCAAAGACTTCAAGAATTTCATTTTGTCATACCTCCTCTCTATCAGTTTGCCACAGATGGTTACACCGATCCAGAAACGCATGTCCTCCCATGATCCATTCTTTTTGAATAAGACTCTGAAATCCCAGCTTAGTTCTGCAGTGTGCATCCATCATAACTTGAACCAGGCAGGAGATTACACAACACAGGTCAGAAGCATTCTCTTCTGAAGAGGTAAAAGGAAATGGAAGCATTTGAGACACGACAAATCCTTTTATAAACACTTGAAGGAACTATATAAATTGCAAAAATTAACAGTTCCTACTTAAAACTTGGTACCTACAATAAAGGATTGGCCACTTCAGGATTCTTGACAAATGGGGTTTACTGAACCCCCCAACTCTGCACCTTTCCATTAAGAGACCTTTTACAACAAACTGACCAAGAATAGCATAGCGTAGCATAGTGACACTAGATGTAGTAGTAGTGACCAAAATACAGGCGCCCCACACGCATATGTGAAAATCATGTAAGTGGGGAGGCACCCTTTATGTTTCCTGTTTGCTGATCTCTTCTCCAGTCCATATACAAAATACTGTACCCAAAATATCCACAACTGGAACTGAAACTCTGGGGGCGGCCGGAGGCTGGAAGACATGCGGAAAAGTGGTGCTGCACCACGTCCACACACCAGCTGTTAGGCAAGGAGGCTGAGAAGTGTAAACAAAGCCCCGCTGGACCTCCAGTCTCTTTTCCACCTTCACTAAAGTCCAATTATGGCTCTGGGAAGGGTCTCCTCGTGAGCCAAATGTGTTCTCCAGCTCTCCTTCCATTTCCCAGTATGAATTAAATTATTCCCCATCACTGCCCATATACTTGGTTGCACACGAGTTGATCGTGCATAAGTGGAAGGATGCCTGTATTGCTTTCTCAGAAACACAGTACTTTGGCTATTTTTACTTCATAGTCCTTTGGGTGAAATTTCATATTCACTAGTAGAACAAATTTCAGATGTTTCCCTTTCATTCTTGATTATGTCAACTAGGGATATAGATTCCCAAAGCAGCACACAAACTATTTCACAGTGGTCAAGGCAAACACCAGCACCACAGATCACAGTAAGATGTCATAACACAAAGCTGAAGAACCTCGAACAGTGAACTAAATGCTGCATGAGGAAAGAACACAATTGTGTGCAGGATGCAAGATTGAAGAAGCAAGTTTGGAAAGATTGCATAACGTTTTCACCAAAGAGAAAGCTACTTAAAAGTAGCCAGTTTTGAGCTTGCTTAGTGTAGGGGTGGGTGAATCAGTCCATTTCTGGCCTGTGTCAGTCTTCCATGCGTACATTCATAAGTCTGTTCTAGCCTGTTTGTACAATAATCCAATGTTTAAGTGTGCCAAATATGTATTTAAATACATATTTTATCTTAATGCATGCATTTCTAAACATGTTTTATCCCAAAGTGGGCATTTTACTACAATCTTTAAGCCAATAACTGTTGCAAAATTCAGAGACGAGTGATAATTATGTCAATGCACTTAATTGTTGGGGAGTTGGTTTGCTTAAAAATGCAGACAGGATGAATGTTCCCAGCCCTAGCTGAATGGCACAATTACCAATTAGCCACAGTGCTAAATGCCAACCTCCCTAATCTACCCATCTGTAGGCTAGCCAACAGTACTCTACTCACAGGTGGAGAAAAATGGGACAGCAGAAAACAGGGTCTTCACTGAAAGAAGGAAAATAAGGAGATGAGACAGAAGGAAGATGCAGGTGTCCAGCCAAAATAAAATCTCAAAGTAATATGCTAAAGTGATTTCCAACTAAGCCCACATTTCAGGATGTAAGGAGGTTACTTAGTAAAAAGCCACAGTAAAGACCCCATAGGCATGCATACAGCTATCCAAGATTTACAGACCCAACTTCTGCAAGGGTGCTTATTCTGTTTCCTCTAAAACTAGTTACACTAATGATTTTCAACCAGTGTGCCGTGGCACCCTAGGGTGTCTTGAATGATGGTCAGGGGTGCCGCAGGCAACACTGGCCTCTGTCCCTCCTTCCTTTCCTACCTCCTCTGGTGCCCTCTTGCATCTCTGCCTCCCAAAGGCTTGTGTGGCTGGCTGTTGCATCAGCCCTGGCTACAAGTTTCCCAAGCGAATGGTGCCTCTGGGAGGCAGCTCTCTTTGGGGCAGGGAGGGCAGCTCAGAAACCAGGGGCAGCAGCAGAGGCTGCCCAGAGAACTCCCATGGAGAGGGAAGAGGAGAGAAGGATGAGGAAACACCCCACAAGGGAGGGTGTTTGAAGAAGGGTGAGAGATTGCCAGCCCTGCAAGCAAGGAATGACATAACTGGGCTCCTGAGCCCCACAGGGGTGCCAGAGAAAGAGTGTAGTTGGTCAAGGAAGCCATGGACTCAAAAAAGTTGAAAACCTCTGTAATGGTTCTAGGGGTTGCTCGTGCGTAAGCCGGTGCAAACACTTGGCTGGGTTGCCTAAGTGACCACTCACCCGTGGCTGCCTCAATCGCTGGCAGAATCCGTCAGTGGGCGTTTCTTAAACTTCTTCCAGCAAAGAAGCTCTTTGACGCCTAGTCTCCTCCTACTCTCTCTGCGCGAAAGCCTTCTGCGCAAGGAGGGCGTAGGCAGCGGAGGACCTCTACTCTCCCCGCTGGTCCCCGGCAAGGAGTCATGGGACCGCCTCGCCGCTTCCCCATCTGCCCCCCTTCTGCACTGGTGCTACGCTGATTCTCTTCCCCAGAAGATGGGCTGCCTCTCCCACTCCCGGGACGCTCTCCGGAATCCCTCTGGATTTTGCTCTCTCCCTCCGGCACTGATGGCAGTTCCCTGACAACCTCCAAGTTACACTATCAGGAAATGAAGCATCAGCCCAATGAAAGAGTCCAGTGACCACTTACAGAGAGGGCTTATCCCATTTCTTTAGGGCATGACATATATACCTCAAATTCTTGGTACAAAAATCTTCCAGGGAAGAACAGATAAAATATGAGGAAACTAAGGCACATAGTGTTTTCCCATAAACCATAATTTCACTCAACATGGTTTGTAGAGCTAGAGCAAACTCGGAACCCTAGGAAGTACCATTTTGCTTATCCAGGGGCTGCAGGTGGGCTTTTCGGTGGAAAGGACTGGCCAGTAACAGTGGGGCAGCACTGCTCACCTGCCTCCCAAATACTGAGAATGACTGCTGGTTCCTGAAACGGAGGGGGGGGGGGAAGCTCTGCACAGCTGAGGAGCCAATCCAATACTCCTACCACCACACTGTGCTGAGCTCCTTCACCTTGCAGCTCTCCCTCTCAGGAACTGGCAGCAACACTATGTTCAGGAGGTAGTGGAGCAATGTTGATTTGCCTGCACAGCTCTCGCCACCTGCCACAAGGCTGTAAACCGCAGGCTCTGTAGAACAATGGGACCCTGATCTCACGAACTATGCTACATGGAAAACCACCTCTGAAACTGAAAAGTAAAAAATCCTACAGGGATTTTTGCTTGCAAGCTGTTTAGTACAGTTCAAGGAGTGCTTAATTCTGTTTTATATGTTACACTTTAATGTAAATGAGCTGGTGAGAAATAGTAAGACCTACAGCTCAATCCTACACATGTTTAGCCAAAACATAAACCTTACTGAGTTGAATGGTAACTCCAACGCAAATGATTATAGGATTGCACTAAGGCATTTAGTGAATCAAAGCTTGCTCTTTGAAATCTTAGCTGCTTAATAAATGAGACCCATTCCAGCAAGACTCTAGGAAAATAAAATTAAAAAATTCCTTCCAGTACCACCTTAGAGACCAACTAAGTTTGTTATTGGTATGAGCTTTCGTGTGCATGCACGCTTCAGATACATGCATGAAGTATTTGTTTTGACTACGGCAGACCAACATGGCTACCTACCTGTATCTAGGAAAAGAGTTGGCGAAGACCATGAATGGTAGATACGTGCTAGTGGAAAAGACTTCTGCGTGTGTGACCTTAGGCACACAAATTTTCAGACTTTTCTACCTAGTGCAGCCCCTCCCACACCCCTTAAAATGCACGTTTGGGGGTTATGGCATAAGAGAGAGGGGTATCAGTGAGAATCAACCACCTTGCCTCACAAAAGCACTTTTCAATAGCCCAAAGCAATCTCTGAAAACAACCAATGGCCTCTTGGTCACTTACCAGAGTTTCTATCACGCCATGGAAGCATGCATTTCCTCCCTACCATTAATAATTCTTCTGTCTAAACTAGACTTGAGATATACTGCCACAGACATTATGCACAGTCAACATTAATAGCCGTTAGGGTTGTGGTTTGAATGTGTCACGAGACCTATGAATTAGCAGTTGTTCCACCTGGCTGCAGCAAAGGGGAGAAAAGGCAGCAGGCCATCTACAATCCCTTGGAGTAATTGCCAAAGACCTTCCTTACACAGAACCAACTCCTCCAGTAGCCATCCCACCTGGCCAGACAATTAATGCAACTAAGAAATACTGCCAGAGTTTGTTCTCCATTTTTATCCCATCTCTTTTGCTTATATTATATTATATTATATTATATTATATTATATTATATTATATGCCAGCTGGCAGGAACTGTTTTCTTAACCTTGTACAATATCCAGAAATCCTAGGAGTTTAACAAATAATCTAACCGTCAGAACAACTGAACCAACTTCTAGAAAAAATTACCAAACATATAAGCAAACTTGCAATGCACTGTGTTGTAAAGCTTTATACAAAGTGTATCATCCCAAGTGTGAAATGGACTCTTCTCCCACAAGGATCTGCAAAATCAGCACCTGCACTGTGGAAATTAAGCATTTTGCATGCCCATTTGACAGCCCATGCTGTGTACTTCAAAGTAAACTTCAACTGCAATACCCATAGAATAAGCTCTGCAAGCATCAAAACAATTGCTTGTAAACAACTATTTTGGGAAGTGAGCATACTCTGGGCTCCCTCTGAGACGATTTTGACCTGTTCTCTTTTGGTGGGGAGGAAGTCACCATGAGATCTTAAAACTGCTCACGGCAAATTAATGCCCAAGCACCTACAGCGCAGCTTCACGAGAAGACCTACAAATAAATCTGGGTGCCATCCAAAGCTAAGGTCTATTTTATTAATTTCAGCAAGAAACCATCTACCACTGAAGTCAGTGGTCCTTCAATTCTCTGCTTTGGCTTGATTGTACTCCAAGCATACTGTAGAGTAAGGCTCAAACCCCCTCACTTATCTTCTGAATACATTTAACATATGAAATGTACTCAGCTGTAGACCTTAAATATTCAACTCTTCCTCTTTGAATAATCCCCTTGCCTGCCAAGGCTATGTGTCAGGTGTCAACTAGAGAAGGGATTGCAACAGCAGCATAAATACTGTCCAACCCTACAACTTTTAATAATTCCAGGGCAACTCTAAATATAGAATGCAGTTCATGAAACTCAACTCCTTTCTTCACATATGTTTGAGAACTACTCTACAATTCAGCTACTTAGAAGCAGAGCAGCTATGTGGAAGGCGCACTGGAAAGAAGGATGTACACAACTTACCTATAAGGAGAACATTTGTATTCTCTGCTTCTAGCAAATCAATAATCTCTACTGCTTTTCTCAGACATCTCCTAGAACATGAATACAATGCTTTAGCACAACTGACAAACATCTCCCACTTCTGTACCCATTTTGGCTGATTCCAGACACAATGAACAGGCCCTATAGTTGCATTTTTCTCACCACAATGGAACAGAATTAAACATTTTTAAAAGAGGAATAAAGGGCATTTTTCTAACATCCTTCTAAAATGGGCCACAGACTTACATACCAGACTGGTATATCAGTACCCCTGATTTCCTACACTAAACCAATAACCTCGTGTCTCCTGTTGAAATGGCCTGACTTAATCTTCCTTTATAGCTTAGTGAAACAAGCTGTGTTCACAACAAATGCTATTTTTAACATTGATACAGTTAGTATTTTAGCCAAACACTCCTGTATTTAGGTTTTGGGAATATATGTGTAAATTCTATCCAGATACACTTTCCAAAAATAACAATTCTTTATATTTGATGTAGTTTTATTAGATGTTACTAACATTTTGCTTGCTAATAGTAAACACATTACTAACATTGTTCAAGATGATGCAGTGAATTTGGTGCATATGAGTTATCAAACCTTTACATTAAGTTGGCTATTTTGTGGAATGTAGTCTTGTTTTTCTTTGATAACAGAGGGAAAAAATTCTAACCTGTCTCCTTCAAAGGAAACATTGGATATAAATCCTTCCTTTGAGCACCCCTCACTCTTTCATTTGGGAAGCTCACATCACTTTGCTGCCCAATTCTAGCCTTGCTGATTCAGGCAATAATGATTTAGAGTTTCTCAGCTCTGCATCAATAATCAATATTTTAGAGTTGTGGTGCTAGTATTTTACAAGGTTTTTATGCTTTCTTTCCTGTAATAAGGAAATGTGTTTGTTATGTGCCTGAAGACTCATCCTTGAAAACTAAAATTATGTGTTCTAATATGAAAGGGGACCAACTCTGACCCTTAATGCTGCTGTAGAGGAAACGGAGGAGGAAAAATTAACTGTCAGACTCAGCATCTGCTACATGAATGGAAAAAAATTGTCACAGTAACTTAAATGGAAGGTCTCAATTATGATATGAAGTCCATAAAGCCATTGTGTTATCGTTTGATCTTATACGGGTGATTACATCTTGGAGCTAATTCAGATTAAGTTTGGCATTGCTAGCTTATTACAACATTAACTTTTTAAGATGCACTACAGTTGAAGCAGGGTTTCACCAACCTTACGATTTCTAGCCAATTTGTACTCTCCAATAATGAAAACCATTTCACATCAGTATCCCAGAAGTCTGTACTGTTATCTGTAAAAAGAAGATAAATTGTTTTTAGTTATTTCTGGTGGCAACTAAAGTACGTTACATCAAAAGAACAGAAGATTTCAAAAGGCACAATGATATTTGAGATATGTATTGACTGTTATGTTTGCACCCACTGGAAAAAACATGAAGCAGAGCAGTAAGTCATCAGTACAATAGAGCAGCTCAAATGAATAAGTAGTTGTCAGAGCTGGCTCCAGGTCCCAGCTCACAGAGGACCAACGCTAGCCGGCAGTAATGTACAAAAGTCTTTATTGAAGTACAGTTTCCATTTTCAAGCCGCAGCGCCCCAGCTCTACGTCTAGGGGTTAGATCGGCGAAGCTCCATCTGAGTCTCCGCCCCCCTGTACACCAGTTTAAGATTCTAGCCTTACTCCACCTCTTACGTCTCTCCTTTCTCCTCTGGGTCCTGCTACCCCCCGGGGTCCCTTCCTTCCTGGATTCTTCTGACGCTGACGTTGTCCCCCCTGACTCCGCCCCCGCGTTTCGGCGGGCTTTGGGACCTGGCTCCCTAGCCGGGCTGCCAACTGCGCCGCCCTCCTGTACATTTGAACTTGGCGCGCGCGCCCAGCCTTCAACCTTCCTCTCGACCGTTTCCTCGCTCCCCGATGGAGGCGTGGCCAATCCTGACTCATGTCCTCCCACTGGCAGTGCGCCGCCAGATCCCGATGCCTGGGACCCCTCCCCCTCCTGCACTCTGGTGTGGACGCTGGTCCTGATTTCCAACTGCTGCTCTCTGAGTCCCCTCTGGCCCCTTGTTCCTGGGGTGTCCCCTCGGCACCCCCTTGCTCTGACCAAGGGAGCCCCTTTCTGTGAATCTTCCGATTCGCTGGAAAGACTCAGAGACCTCGGACCGCTGTCATCGCTAACATTTCCTTCGGACTCCTCCCCCTCGCTCTCTATTTCCTCCCTTTCCTGTGCCTCTGCTCCTGAACCCCTGACAGTAGTAGAGCACTGGAACCAAATGTCTGACACTGACAGCAAGTGGGAAGTTATCAGAGAAACTCCTTGAACTCAAAGGGATAGGATTGAACAAGGAGAACAGAAAGAAAAAACATATGTGGTCAGTAGTATCAGAAGCAGAAGATAGGTCTAGGGGTAGTGAAGTTAGATGTGGCTCTCTTTTGTAAAGTGCTATTTTGCTATGGCTCTTAGTGCTGTAGAACAGTATATCCTTGGCTTTAGACATACTACATGATTTCACACATTTGCAAACAGCTAATTCCTCTCAGCACTTCATGTATCAGAAAAGCAAAATACAAGTTTAGTTACAAATTTCAAATGGAGACTTCAGCCAGTGGGGTGGTTACTGGAGAAAAAGCATATTTTTTGCTTTAGCAAGTCTAGATAGGATATTCCTCCATAGTGCCCTCAATATAGTTTCCACTTACCTATCAGAAACAGCTGTTTAAATCTGGTGTATGCAATTTGGATCTCTTGCAGAGACGGAAGACTACTTGACAGGACATCAACTTTCATGGCTTCATAAGGAGGGTTATCAAGTGTCTTATACATACTGAAAAACACATTAAAACTTTTGATTTAAATGGCTTAATAGTGACTATTTTAAAATTAAAAAGCAAGGAAGTTTACAATCCAATTTCTTACATGTCAATATAACTGTCAGTTTTCTAGGGTTCAGAGTATAAGATCAGCTATAGCATGTGTGGCAAAGACAGTCAACAAGAACACAGTTTTTATGCAATTACTTTGGTAAAAAACAACATGGTCTTCTTGATTGGTTTTTTTCACTCTATAATTGGGGTAAAGAACCTGTGGCCACTAGTAAGATATTGTGTTACAACTTCCATCACCCCTGACCATCAGTCATGCTGGCTGGGGCTGATGGGTGGTTGTACTCCAACAGCACCTGGAGGGCCCTAAGTTACCTATTTCAGTTCTAGATAGGAGGAACAATGCTAGATTTACTTGAGCTCTTGGAGACTTTGCTGTATCTCCCAGTTATATTGTTAAAACTGTACCTCTAATTTTTATAATGGCAGTGGTGTTTTACATATTTATAATCTTCCTCTTCCAAAGTTCCAGGGATGCTTACAGAACCAATGGTGAAGACAAAGTGATACATAGGCTTTGTTTGTTGATTTAGACCTGCTCCTATAGACAAGCCCTATAGCTACTGGCAGTTAGATGCACCCTGCTGTTTGGGAATTTCATCATTGTGCTCTGGGTTAGCAATTGGTTTTTTGTCTGTCCAGAATGCATTGAAGAATGCATAAACAACATTAACAGCCATCTATGGCAAACAATCACTTGTATTGCATAAGTCAGTCAACATTGGGGGGGGGGGGACCTGCAGTTCACATCACCCTTGTGGTAATAGCACAATGAACATAGTCAAAGGCAAATGTTTGTAACATGCATATAAAGTCGGCATGAAATAAAGCCTGATGAGAAGATCCTCACAGACGCTTAAAAATGAAAGAAGCTACTACTGACTCTTCTAAGAAGATTTTCTGTGTTTGCAGAGCGTTGTCATCTTGTGCTTTGGGCAGAGTAGACATCTTGAGGAGAGCAGTACCATTGTGGCAAGACCAACACCAAATCTGCAACACACGTTTATTCTCATCAGTAAATATTACCCAAGGGGCATTCATTTTGTTATAAGGTAACTGCATCCTACAACAGCATGTTACGAGTGAATATTAGATCACTACAGCATTTCTGCATTACATTTAGTTTTCTTAAGGACTGCCAATAATAAACTGCAATCATTTTTAAACATCTTGAGTTAGGTTAGATGATCATACGATAACCTCTAGCTCACGTGCTTTCTGCCTACTCATTTTCATGTTTGTACAAGACATAGGTTGAATCAGTCTCCAAGTCTGGTTTGAGGGAAGCCACTTTTTTTACATCACCCAAGTGGGAGTGCGCAAAGCCCAAGGCTCCACTTCCAGTTCTCCAAACCATGGAAAATTCTCCAACTTCATTCACAGAATGTACAGAAATTTCATTCTGAATTCTGTGGTGTCAACATTTATCCTTATTTAATAGATAGAAATTAACATCACACAAAATTACATGACCCAATGTTCAGGAGTACAAAACTGTCTCCTTTCTTGCTCAGCTTCTGTTCTTAAACTGCACTCATTTGATATATTACTCAGATTCTTCAGCTGTGCCACAACAAGTCCTAAACACACCCTGTGTAAAGTTCACTTCATTCCCATACATGTCTTCCATAAATTCTTGACTACGAATATACTCACTGGAATTCCTCTTCCTTCATATTCCAAAAGGTCCTCTTCAGAGACAGACATGGGAACAACGAAGTATGCTGGCAACCTGAAAACATTAATTAAAAGTCAACAGCAATTTGCACTTATGATGTGGAACACCACAGGAACTGTACAGTTTTTTAAAAGTTCTCAAAATAGGAACCAGAGGCAAACAATATTTGGAGGGCACCATGTAGGGCACCCCACTATAGAGTTTGTATCCAGAGACAAGCTATCTAATGGCTCTCCCCATTCCTCCAGGGGATACACTCCCTGTATGTATGTCATCCTTTAAAATAACATGCTCCAGCTTGCTTCCTAGGTTTCTAGCATTAGAATATCAACATTTATACACTTTCTCTCCCCAAATGTCATCTGCACTTACTTATGGAACTTTGGTTTATATAAATTGCTATCACCTCTGCACCTCCAATGCCTACTGCAACCCCTCCCCCTATTGGACCAATGTTCTCATCCCCTAGATTTAGGTTGAACCCGACGCTCCTCAACTCCTTTTGGCTTTTCCTCATGAATCAGTTTACAAGCTTTTCTGCCACCTTTATTATTTTAGGTACCAACCAGTCTGGTTCCATTCTGACTCAAGTGGATTATCAGCCCATTTGTGCAGGTCTAGCTTGTCCAAAATGTCCCTCAGTCCAAACACTTCCTACAAACACTACAGTCATACCTCACGTTACATTTGCTTCATGATACGTTTTTTCAGGTTGCGTCCTGCAGCGACCCAGAAGTACCAGAAAGGGTTACTTCCGGTTTCGCCGCTCGCGCATGCGTGAAAAATTATGTCATGCACAGAAGAGGCAAAGCGCAACCCACGCATACGCAGACGCGCTGCTGCGGGTTGCATTCTATTTATGTTGCGAATGGGCCTCTGGAACGGATCCCGTTCGCAACCAGAGGTACCACTATATTGGCTAATCCACACATTGAGGGCACTTAGCTGTGTTTGTTTTGCTAGCCCTGTGTATGGAATAAGTAGCATTTTTTAAAAAAAGCTATCTTGCAGGTTCTAGCTTTCAAGCTCCTACCTAGAAACCTGAGTTTTGCTTTTAGGACTGCCTAACTACATTGCTAACTATTCGCACAAGGCATGATGGTTAACAGCAACAACCAGGGGAAAGAAAGACATAACATCTTACAAGGACAGGAAGAAACACCACAGACAGAATAATTGCCACACACAGGAAGAACAAGGATGTAGTTTGAGTTCCTCACTTGTAGTTTTATATCATTTAATTAGTCAACACAAATAGAAATTATTAGTATTACAATTGTTGTATAAAGATTATTATGACCTGAATGTAATAGAAATTAAGATTTTGGAATGCAGGAATAAAGCAAATAATCAAGCTGTCAATTCTAGCACGTGGAGAGCCACCTTATCTAAATTACCGTATTTTTTGCTCTATAACACGCACCCGACCATAACACGCACGTAGTTTTTAGAGGAGGAAAATCCATAGGCATGCCACCTGTAGGCATTCCCTCCATAACACGCACAGACATTTCCCCTTACTTTCTAGGAGGAAAAAAGTGAGTGTTATGGTGCAAAAAATACGGTATGTAATTCAGTATTTGAACTATTGGTATTAATAATTGTATTATAAATTGGTATTGTTATAATGAGGCTATTATTAGATTGTAATTTAAAACTAATAAAAATTACCATAAAAAAGGAAATGCTATATTTATGGGAACCTCTGTTTGAATAACCTAATCATTGTTAACAACTGCAAACACCTTAAGAGAATAAATTCCCAAAGATTGCTATTCAAATTAATCTGTTCAGAGCTTTAGAGAACAGATATAAAAGAAATCAGTTTACATTTGTTAATTTGTTCAATAGCAATAGTATGTGAGCTATACTTACTTTTTAGAAACTTTGTAGTCTTCATTGGAACTCACTGCTTTGAATTTCAGGTTTCCTTTGGTTCGTTCCAGTTCCTGACGCCAGTCGTTAATAGAATCAAACATCACTGTCTGATTCTTTTTTTCTGTCAAAATATAATTTGTTAGTTCTAACCAATCTAACAAAAGAACATACATTTGGGGTGTTTTTAGCAAGAAACTAGAAAGTTTAGCTACAGGACTGGCTGAATTTAGTTTTGTGATTTAAATGTAGAAATTAGCATTTCATCATATTTACACAAAGCTATTGATTTGACCTAGAGACTACACCCATAACCCAAAGCGAGAAGCTTTCACACAAACTTGGCAGTTTAAAGTGAAATTTCTGTTTCTACATGCTCAACCCTTTTCCCTCTTTGAATTGCTTTCAATATCCTCAAACTGCTTTTTGAACTCAGGTCAGCTTCAAGAATAGCTTGGAGTGCCACAAAAGAGGCAACCTAAAAAGGAAACTGCCAAAAATTCAGGTGCAAATGTGCCCATTTGCAACATGGTCTGTACAAGCATCAGTACTCCCTCATAACCTAACATTTTCAGGAATGCAAGTTTAAAAATGAAGGATTTTAAGCACATACAGAATATGCCATTTAAAGCAGTAGTCTCAATTCATACCAATACATCCACAATACAGATTTTCCACATAAATCTAATTAGGTGGTTATAAACTTTTGATGAATTTCCATAAAGAGCAGTGGAAGTACAAAATACAGCGTCAAACAATTCTAAGTGCAGCTGTAAGTACATCAATGCCAGTTATGAGAAATAAGCATACTTTAAAAAAAAATATTTTTTTCCGATATAAACATCGACCACAAAAGATACATACAACAAAAACCATGGAGTGAACAAAAATGGAGTGAAGAGTTAGGGGTACAGATAACAAGTGATGTATGGGAGTCAAGTATAAAATCAACAGAAATAGCCACTATGGATCTAAGACTAAGACTTATTCAACAGAAAATATTCAAAGTCCACTGGACTCCGGCAAAATTATACCAGAAGAAAATAACAAGTGCAGACAACTGCTGCAGATATGGGAGCAAAAATGTGAACTTAGTACATATGTTGATTAACTGCCCGATGATAAGATCATTTTGGTGCGAGGTGAGGATATTTAGAGCAAGAGTAATAAAAAGAAATTGTTATTTAGGGAAATTGAATTTAATTCTAAATTATATTCTGGAAATGTGCGAGATTTCAAGGGGTCAAAAAAAAATGGATGTACTGTGCTATATTAGAAGCAAAAAAACCTTGTTTAGATGAATTGGAAGAGCCGGAAAAAGATTCCATTGAGCACATGGATTGATAATATGGACAGATTAGCTACATATGAACAAACTGCATGTCGACGTAAAACAAGAATGGATAAAAATGGAGAAACCTGGAATGAATAATCAAGCACACATTTAAAAACTGCATTATAGCAAGTCAGTCTAGCCATAAGAATTATATGCAAACACATGGCTATCGGATGCCAGACACTAGTATACCAGCAGTCTGGGAAGTGACTGGATAACTATCTCATTGTTTCACATCCAACCTTTTTCCTGCACCCAAATAATCCCAGTGTTGGAAAGAGTATATATAGTATCATTCATGAAGTGCAAGGTGTTTATTTTGCCATAAACACACCAATGAGGGAGCTGCTTTGCCTTTGCACAGTGGGACACTAGTAATGTTAATGAAGACCAATCATAGGGACACTCAAATCATGCAGGAAATATTTCTACGAAAAAGGAGAAGCTACCCTTAGAATACCAACCGATTAAAAAAAATTCTCCTTCCTTCTTCTCATTCATAATGTTTCTACAGACAGGAAGTATATACCAAGGAGCCCATTGGATTAAAATATTTCTAGGGCTTAGCCAAAATGAGGAAGGGGAAGCATTTAACAGGAAGCTGCACACCACCATAAATAACTTTGTTTTGTCATTTTAGGAGTGGTTTGAAAAACAGGCCAAGATATTCACGTATTCATAGCAAGGGTGGGAAGCACTGCCCTTTCTGCTTCAACTTTGTGACAATATCAAGAAATCCACGCTGGCTAGGAAGAAAACTGGCACCAGAGTTACAGCTTAAGAAATACAGAATGTTTTAAAGGTAAATTAAGGTAGGTATGGGGTATGTTTTCAGTTCCAAGATATTCATACTTCAGTCTTGGAAAATAACTGTGGGCAAAGACTTAACATAGTGCCAAGTTATCACACAGGCAAAATAATGTTTTGGAATAGTTTTCACTTGCGTTGCAGTTACATACAACTTAGGGAGTGCTTACTGTGTGATGGTACAGAGTACTGTATGGATGCCCTAGTACCTTCCTGGATTTTACCTAAAGGTGTTTGGATATGAAATTGAAGAAGATCTTTGTTGCCGTTTATCTTTATCCCTGGTTAGTCTCACCTCAGTACAGTTAAGTGACACTGCTTCTACCACTTGATTAAAACAAGACACACACTACATTTATATCATTTCAGCAGCTAGAAGTAGCAGAAAAGTTTTTCCCAGTTATTCTCAGGCTAAACACAGCTGCTTTTAGTTTTATTTACTAGATAAGGAATCCAAGCATACAGAAATGAAGCCTGTTGATTTCCTTCTCATAAGTTCAAAATACTTGGACAAAAATTCAGACATGCAGCCTTCCTAGCAAATCCTTTTTTTCAGCAAGAGAGAGAATTCAGCACAAAGTGTTGAAGAGACTTATACAGACATCCACTGAAGTTCCTCTCTTTGATTCCATACAGGTGGGCATTTTATCACATCTCATGATTCATAGTAAAATAGCTTACTACTTAGATGACCATGCTACTGCCATTGAAATGAATGGGAAATGAAACCACCAAACACCTAAACAAATTTAGTAAGGAAAATAATTTGACATTTGCCAGTATCATAAATTCCACTTCTGCATGAGTAGTTATACCACCTGAAGAACAAACTTGCTTCAACAGATAATCCCCAATTATACTGAGAACCAAACCAAGTAGATATATGCTTACCTGCTTTACTTGGTACAGCTGTTGCATAAGAGAACAGAAACAAGCGTTTAAATAGCTTAGGAGTCTGTGTTTGATGAACTATGCCACTGACGATCTAAGAAAGGATCAACAAATCAACACATTTATAAACCAGAACAAGGATTAGCCAGAAAGGAAGTCTAGTCACTTACCAAGAAGCTCCATCCTTGTTTGGGGCAAATGAGGCATGCAGAAAAGAATGAGTTAAACCCTGCTACTACTCAGGAAGGCAAGGAACATGCTACTAGCTCTCACCTTTCTGCGACTGAAGCAAAGGAAGCGCCCAGAAAGGAATGGAGTGTGTTTAAGGTACCCTGATCCTAGGAAGGGAGAACAGACTGGCTGGTTTGTCAGATCAGGTTTAGACTGCACTGCCTTTAAGTTTAAAACAGAGAAAAGTAGTGAGAAGTTAAATGTTCAAGACTCCCACACATTTTCGATATATATTAAGGTCACTTTTTAAACTTAAAGGCAGTGCAGTCTAAACCGTTATACTACTGCAATGCTTTCCATACACCCATGAGTATGGACAACTCCCAGTAGGGGACCAACTCCATAAACAATGTACCAAATGTAGAACTATATGATGCGACATAGGCCGAGGCTACATTATCTAGGATGGGTGAACAGATGAAGCCAATATCAATTTGTGTGTCATTACCAAGTATATACACTTCTGCAATGTTCAGAACTAGATGTAAAAAGGACTTAAGGAATTCTAGCTTCTGCACTCAATGTATAAACGGAGCCACAGCCAAACTATGGCCTCGCCATTGAGGAGGTGCTGCATGCATGAACACGAACTCCTCTCCATTCTATTTCCTGGTTTGCTGGAAGGCCATCCAAATCAAGCAAGCTATGTTCACCATGAACCAGGAGCTGGGGGAAGGAACTGGAGCAAGCCTGAGGCTCTTTATCCCGACATCTGAACAATGGGGCTAGGGTGCGATGTCAAAGCAGTTCAGACAAACCGAAGGAAAGAAGCTTCACTATTATGTAGACTGCACTTTTAATGCTACTAGAAGCTGTACATATTATAATAGATACAACCAGTCACCTGAGGGCTTTTGTGTGAATACAGAACATGCAAACACCGCATGCCATTTTCCTGTGATTTCCAAATCCTCAGTGGCAATTCTGAAGTAATAATTTTTTAAGTTTTAAAGAGTGACTAATTTGGGATGCTCCCGCTTTCTCTAAATGTGTCAATTTTTCATTCAAATACATAAAAGAAGCCTACTGCTGCCATTAGAAACAAGACTTCCCGTATGTTCACACAGTATCTGTCAGTGTGTGATGAATGTATCAATGCTGGATAAAAGCACTAGCTGAATATTCCTTTTACTGTTTTTCTTTATATTTACATATTTCTTTTAACAGTACTATTTTAATACTGTATTTCTATTCATAATAGTTGAACATGAAAAGTTCTCTCTGTGCTCCTTTTCCCAATTCTCCTGTGCCACTGGAAAACAAGCCAGAATCTGGCTTGTTCCAACATCTGAACCCAGATTCATGCTTTCCTTTATTACAAACCATCTACAAGCAGTAAACAAAGAACAAACCTTGGGTACTGCTCATTGTTTGAAACCACGAACTCAGGTTTCAAATGTCATGACAACTCTGACTTGCTTCCAGGTTTCATAAAAGCAACAGGAGAGAAATTTTCAGAAGGGTGTACCAAGATGCTGCACATCCACATTAAAACTTTGTAAATGCCCGACGGAAAAAGCTTAGTCACTCTATTCATGAAAGTTTTGTCATAGCTACTCCCAAATGTTTTTGTTCTAAAGAAAGGGAATTGAGGCTACAGTTACCCGTTTTACTTCTTCCTCCTTGGTGTATCGCAAGCAGAAGTGAAACACTCTGAGATCTTTGCAGTAGATTATCATCGTCTCTGGGTATTTTCTCAGTTGACCATTCAGGGGTTTCTTTCTCTCATCATAAACTTTAAGGGGGAAAAATAGTTTTAACATTTCTCCATGCAGTGAGTTAGAACAGGGAAATCTACCCCTTCTCTATCATGAACAATTCTATCAATAATTTTAGATTAGTGACCATAACGGGAGCTGACATTCATTCATCCTGATATAAGGAATGGAAAACTATCTGGCCAGCAAGGCTATTTGAGAGTTGAATATGTTGGAATACATGCTTCATAGCAAGTGATCTTGACACATTATATAAGATTTACAAATTAAAACTCAAACAAGTGGCACCAAAACTGAACTTTAGATTAGGATCACCAAGTGAAATAAGTTGTTTAGTTGACACCAAATAGTCACAGGAAGTTGTCAGCCTACCTCCATAAAGCTGGTCCACACACTGAAGAGTGATGTCATTTTCCCCAATGATTTTATTATAAAATTCTAGTTCCTGAAAAAAGAAAAATGTTTTGTGTGTTCCTTAACAGACACTAGTCTTTTCATTTACTTTCATTTACTTATACAAAGTATAAGGTACGTTCATAATAACAGGACTGGAAGACTAGGGTACACTCTCAACCATAAAGCTCAGTGTGTGACCTTGAGGCAGTCACTATCACTCAGTCTAATCAACTCACTTGTGGCTACGAGTTTTGAAGTTTCTTTTTCCTATTTCCAAAGCCTCAGTCTTCCAAGAGCACCAACAGACCACCATTACTCTCCATTGATGCCTAAAAATGCCCAATTTTAATGTCACATCCCTAACAATGTGCAATCTAATCTTACCTAAAAACAAATCACTTTACTACAGAGACTGCTTTGACATCGCTACATATTTGAAGTTGTGGATAATTTAATTGTTCACCAGCAACTTGTCCATCCTAAAAGAACTAGATACACATTTAATATTTGAAGACAATTGTTAAGCCTCATTTTTACCTCCAGTATTCTAAAAGCTACATGTTTAAGGGAAACCTCTACCTTAAGACTCCAACCTAAATGGGCCAGAGTGGTGTTTTGCAAAATATTTAAATATCGCATGCAGAGCCAGGCAGGCAGCCATCCCTGGCCACTGTTGGATGAAGCAAAATATCTAACCCCCGCCTCATTTCAGGTGTCTCTAATTCTGAGGTACTGTTTGGGCCTCTCTGGAGAACAACCTTTGCTAGGAGAAAGACGGAGTATTACTCTTGATCCTCTCAGACATCTCAGTGGCTTTCAGTATCAGCCACTACAGTATCCTCCTGGACTTCCTTGCAAGATTCAGGGCACCATTTTTAGTGGTTCTGCTTACTGGAAGGTAGGCTTGAGAAGGTGGTACTGGGAGACTGTTCCTTCTCAAGCAAGTTATTCTGTAGGATTCCTTGGGATTCAATATTTTCCCCCGTGGTATTTGGCATTTACATTAAACTGCTGGCAGAGGTTGTCAGGTGATATCAGAGTAAGTCAACATATTCCAATTACAGCATGCTCCATTTCTCGTTTTCAGTAAACCAAGCTAAAGTCCATGAACCTGTGCCTGCAATCAGTGACTGACAGAGTGAGAATGCTTAAACTGTTTTATATGGATTATGAATTTATTTTTATTTATTTAGGTGAGGAAGCAGCTCAACAGACTATGGATACAACTCATTCTGGATCTGATCACCCTTCCTTATTAGGTCAGATTTGTCTTGGGGCACTGCTAAAATCAATTTTATTCCTGGATTCTCAGGTTGCAGCTGTAGCCCAGAGTGTCCTTATCAGTTCAACTAGAACATCAACTACTGGAAACTAGAGATCTCGCTACTATCATTCTTGCTTCAACAGTTTCTAGACTGGACTCTAAATGCACTCTGTGGCAGCCTGCCACCATATAATGAAGAGGATACACTCACAAGATAGCTTAAGGTTAACTTAGATTCCTTACATCATCCTCCAAAGCAGGTTCTTCACCAAGGAATGAAATCTTGAAATTTGTGCATATAAGTTTCCCATAGGTGCCACGGTTTGATCCATCATCTTGTGTGTACTTCAAAACCATATTTGCCTCGCAAAGCAGCAGTTCACCTGATGGAAATCAACATGCTTCTTAGCACAGTGTAGTGAACTACTCAGGTTCTTTAATGCAAAGCTTCTCTAACAAATTACAAATGAAGTTGTCACATGTAACTTCACTGCAGGAAAGAGTACTTGAATTACAGATGCGAAATATTTAAATCAACGACTGCTGTTGAGTATTATTGGTCTAAATTACAGAGCCCCTAGTGTTCATTAAATCCACTTTCAATATTTTAAGTACGCTCTGTATTACATGGCTAGTTACCTACACTGCATAAATGGAAGGAAGGATGCTAAAGCCCATTAACACAGGCATCCTCAAACTCAGTCCTCCAGATGTTTGGGGACTACAATTCCCATCATCCCTGACCACCGGTCCTGTTAGCTAGGGATGATGGAAGTTGTAGTCCCAAAACATCTAGAGGGCCAAGTTTGGGGTGCCTGCATTAACACCTGGAGCCTTTAAAACAAGCTTGTTCTACATATAGCCATTTTCCACTACCTTCCCATTCTCATTTACCTGTAGCCCTCCAGATATTAATTGATTTCAATCATCCCTGACCACTGAGAGTTGTAGTCCTATAACATCTGTAGGCCCACAAGTTACCCATCTCTACAGTTAGCTGAATGGCAAAGCAGAGTCTTCAGCTTCCTTCACATTTGGGACCCGCCTTTAACTCCACTAAACCTTTTACCCACAAGGGTGGCCAGATGCCAGAAAATAGGGTTTCTACACCTAATATCTCCATACAGGGCAATATTGGCAGATGCAGTTCACCATACAGGAACAAGACAGTAGTCTTCATTCTATACATCTTTCAGAGATAAAGTTGCTATTCCTTCTCCCCACCCTTGCTTACTTTCTCCAAAAATATCAAAGTAGCAACTGTGCTCAGATGCTGCAATCAATTCCTACAGCAGTCATGTGGGGGTTCTTTTTGACAATGCATTAATGTGGTGACCATGTGAAATAACCTTCCAGCACACACAAGGCCTCCACATTCCCTCACACCTTTTTCTCTCTTCCGAAGTCGGAAGGGAATAATCACAACCTTGAGAAATACTTGGAGAGGAGAAAGTGAGAAGCGTGTCACGCTCTTTGCTTGTTGAACTATGAACTTTTCCAGGCTGAGAGCAGGACCACACCTGCCCATCTCAGCCTTGAAAAGTACAGAGAGAGGAGTGAAAGTGCACAGTGTGCTGCTCCTCCCCACTTTCTTTCTCAGTTCTATGAGCATTGGCTGCTCAGGTGCTTGATTCAGTTCACTTCAAGCAGGAAGAAGGAAAAGCACCTTGTAAAAATACTGAAGACAACAGAAAAAGGTAAGTGGGAGTAGCAGCCAGACCCAATGCAAGGAGGAGGTGGGGAGGAGAGTGAAGCAACCCAAGAGAGAAAAATGAAAGGGTGGATCGTATCTGCATTTTCTCAGATTGTGTGCCCCTCTTCAGCCGAGTTTCTGCTCTCTATGGCTGTTCTCTCTCTCTCTCTCTCTCTCTCTCTCTCTCTCTGGGTTTGTATCTTGCCAAAGAGAGACTTTGCCTTAAACAAGAATGTTTGGTAACAGCCATGTCTACCATGGCAGTCATTTTATGATGGCACCCAAGGCGCTTTCTCACAATTCCAAATATGTCCATGGGTCCAAAAACAGTGGCAGCCTCTGTTGTAGACTACCAACCATTCTGCAAAGGTTCCAAACTGTTCTTTCTTGGCAACAGTTTGCATTGGCACAGGAGTTTTCTCAGCCACAAAGCTTTAAACTTTCCCAGACATCATTCATCAAAGGCTCACAGCTCCTCTTAGTAGCAAAGTAAACATCGAGCCAGTCTTCCTCATCCCTTAAAAAAGGAAGGTGTTTGAGAGAGACAGTACTGCTGTGAACCTAATAGTTACTGTCAACTTTCACCATCTGTTACAGAAATTGTGGAGGCATTCTACAAAAGAATAAAAATGCAGTTGGACAAATCTTGACGCATGTCCTTTATCTCAGGTCTTCTAGGCAGGTCATGCGTATAACATTGATAAGATTCTACAGCATTGTCTATATGTTACCTGGCAACAAATTTGGCTCTACTTCCTTTCCTGTGGCTTCCCTCACATATACCTCCTAGAAGAAAAGACATTGCATTAGTCCAAATCAGAAGGAAAAAGCTCTGTTTCAAATGCTTTCCAACATATATTGCTTTAGGATGGTTCAAAGTACCATATTGTTTGGCAAATAAAGTTATACTGTAACTAGAGATTGGCCAAGCAAGCAGCTAGTCCAGCAAAGGGTTCATACACACAAACACAGGAAAGCAACTGTGTAAGTTGCTATTATAAGATAAGAAAACCATTATTCTCTTGTTGATTGCCACTTAAACTATGCAGGAATTTGAGTTCCTATTTTACCACACAAGTAGCTGTTTAGTTTTTGTTGGGATATTCTAACTGAAACTGAAACTCTGGCCATCTAATATTAGCTGAAAGACAACTTGAATGTCTGCCCCCATTTGGTTCCAAGGCTGTAGAATTAAACACAACACACTATCCTCCTGCCCTTATCCTAAGTTACACAAGCCACTCAAAAAGGAAAACAATTACCACATTGCCAATTCCCAACTCCTGGTCACACCTGCCATCTACAGAAATATTGTACATTGAGGGCTCAAATACACTGCTATTCATAATTAACAGTATCTTTATTTTTCTGGTTCCAACAGTAAAAAATGTGTTACGTTTATATCAATATATACATGTAACTGTTATTTTAGGAATTGCATCAGCTAGCCATCATTCCCTATTTTCCTAATAGCTTAAAAAAACAAACCTAGCACTTTAATTAGTCTGCCCGTTACTTCTCCAGGTACCTATCTGTGCTTTCTCCTCCACTGGGGGAAAAAACAATCCTTTTACATTAGTTACATCATAGACCATATTCTCAGCTGCTGCTTCACCAGTAATAAATAAGCCAGGAGTGCCCAGATCCTGTTCCACAACCTGTTTCAGCTAGGGAGAATATCACAGTCCATGTTTGTTGCATAAACAAACTAGTGCCAAGATAATAAATTTACCGTTAACACTCAACAGTGTTCTTTACTTCCTAGCAACTAAGGCAAATGTCAAGAACATAGCAGCTCCAGTATTTTTTTTTGTAACATAGCTTTTATTCATTTTCATATTTGAACTGTTTGACATGGTTGCATTGTTTAAATGAGTGCTTACGGCATGCAACGATTACATAATTTTTAAAAAAATACAACACTCACACACAATTTTGTTAATATATTCAGAAATGTTCATCTAAGTATACATATACCAAAATGTGTAAAGTTGTGACAGATATGAAATGTATAGTAGCGCTTATTGCTTAGATTGCTGACCATAAGTGAATTTATTTTGTATCAACAACAATTAGAAATTATAGGAAGCGGGGGAAGGGAAAAATTAAATTATGTACTTCATGAATGCCAGGCTGTGCTGCAAACTATGGGCACTGTTCTACCATATTGTGTGTGGTATCAATAAAGTCACATCAGACTGCATAAAATTTCACAGAATCTTAGAGTTGGAAGGGACCCTAACCCCCTGCAATGCAAAAATCTCAGCTAAAGCATCCATGACAGATGGCCATCCAACCTCCATTTATAACCTGTTTAAAAACCTCCAAAGTTTGGCCTCTTGCTACTTTTTAATTTGTTTCAGTTTTTTCAATAATGCCATTTGCCAAATTGCATTGTAGTATTGGCCCATAGTTGACTGTAATGATTTCCATGTCCTGGCAATAGTTATTCTTGCAGCAGTTAATAGATGTGCTATACAAATATTATGACTAAATACCGGAAGCTTTCCCTAACTATTGGAATTTATAATCTTTTCGAGAAAGTTTCCTGAAGTTGTTGGGGGGTATGAAAGAAGATTACTTTCGCTTTTAATAGCGCCAGCAATAAGGACAACTGCATTCCCAATTGCTTCCTTAAAGGAAGCAAATAATCTAATAAATAATCTAAAATTTCAGAGGGTTTTAAGTTAGTTCAGCTAATATACTGCCTCAGTATTCGTTGCTTAGGCAAAAAGAGGGGAAAACACAATGAGCTAAGGCCACTGACTTAATGACCTACTTGCGCCTCTACCAAAAGTACGGTACTTGGCTGGCTGCTCTATCAGAAACATGATGCATGATAACATTGGTCCAAGCTGGACTCATGTCCTTATTGCTAGTGGCAATCCATTATAGTGTGACCCATTTCTAGTATCTTACCTAAAAGTGATGGTAAATATTCATTTTCCACCACCAATTCACCTTGTTTTACTAAGATGAAAACTATCTTGATAGTTTTTAAGATACTGGGAAAAAGCCAACATTAACATCAGTCTACTGTTGAACCTAAAACAGTAGGCTGATGTGGAAAATCTTATTTCCTTCTTGGTCAAATGCAACACTTTTCTACTTCACAGAAAATCTGCAAATTAGCCTGTACTAGGAAATACCCATACTGGACAAGATAAAAAAAAAAGTAGGGAAGGGCAAAGAACTAGGATGTTACAACCCTTAAATATGATTTCTCATTTACCTTCTAAAATCATGGGGCTATTAGTCAGAATGCTGCCTATATAGCTAATATATTTAATATTTCAGAAACTGTTTTCCTGATTATTTTGTTCAATGGTTCTGCAGTATTCAAAGCTTCTTGCCAAATTCTGAGTCTCACACAGACCAAGGACATCTGCATCACATGCACTAAGCAGCAAGTTGGCATGATACCAATAAACGTCATTAAATGAACAGATAGCCTCTGGTTGTCTAGCCTCTGAAGATCTAGAACACCTTATCTGTCTGGATGTAAAGTGGTGAAGGTTAAATAGCCACTGGAACAGCACTCCCCACCTGAATATTTTGGATGCCAAAGTCTCACTCAAATGTTAAAGAAATCCTAGCTAAGTAAGCTCTGGGAGCAAAAAGTTGTGTAGGGTCAGCTAGAGTATTATTTCATGTTTGAAGAGCTGTAGCTGTACCAGAAAGGTATAGCTAGAAGTTTACTAGTGTCAATTTACGCATGTCATGGTAAAGCATATACTGTATATAAGCTAGTAAGATTAGAGAGGCAAGGACTTGAGTAATATAACTGAACAGCCTAAGCTCAAGAACGGGGGCAAAATATTTTAGACACTCTTTAGGCATGAAAGGTAGCATGAAAATTAAACACGTGACTTGAAAACACTTAAATCTTAACATTCTTGATCCCTGAACTAAAAGGTACATTGGTAAAAGCTTCAAAGAAAAACAGGATGCATGTTGCTAAGACTGAAATGGTTCAGAGGTGGACAGCTGAAACAATAAATTGCACATTATTGAGATGTGCAGCTGCATAAAGAGCAAGTGTGCAGTCTCTAGATGTTCATAAGTCTGCTTTGCACATTGTGGAGTTATTCATCCCAATAGTCAGGAGCTGATTCAAAAACAGCCAAGGCAACAAAAAGACAAGAACTCTGAATGCATATTCTATCAGGCAACAGAATATTTGATCAGATAACTGTACTCCATTTTTGGAAGTGCATAAATTCTTTAAATATATAAATACACATCTGGATTCAAAGTTCCCTTTTCTGAAAACAGCTGCTATTCCGAGTGCATTTAACAAGTGGCTAGCAAATCCAATTTACACATCATCTTGGCTGTACCAAACAGACTACAAGTAGGGGCAGAAAGAAATGTATTGCAGATTTAAAGGTTCACCATTTACCAGTCCTTAGAAAAATATACTGCAGGGTTGTTTTAATCCACTCAGACTGAGCTGCAGTATTAACTATTTAGTGCAGGGCTGTTGTAAAGCACTCTCTCCTATCCAAAGCTTCTTCAAACCAGTAATATAAAAAACTTTACATGCTTTGAAATTTACAGTAGTAGGATTCTATTTTAAAGGGTTTCATTCTAATTAAGAAGAAAGTGAGAAGGAACAGAGCTCTTTGTGGCTACCTCTTGCAGAGTTATTTTGTTTTGTTTTTTAAAATAATATTTATTACTTTTAAAAGTTACAAAAAAGTAGACGAAAGAGAGAAAAGACAAAGAAAAAAGAGGGGGGAAAACAAGAAAAAAAGAAAAACAAAAACAATACAATATATAAACAATACAAACCCACCCTAAACCCATTAAACTAAATACATAAACAAAGCAAAACAAAAACAATTTAAAAACATCCCTCCTTTTCCATACTCTGTCCTTCATTCCCTTGTTTCCTCGACTTCCTCACACCTCCCTTTTTGTGTCCCACTTCTAGTACTTGTTTCAGCAAATCCTTTCCATCTTTCTCTATTTTCTGTCATATTATAAATAACATATTCTTTAACCTTATTTCCCATTAAAGGTAAATTACTTATATACACCCAACTTCTTATAGCATTTCTGCTAAATCCTTAAAATATCATTCCACCATTTTTCTAACAGTCATTACTTTAACAATATTTCTAAATAAACCTTTTAAATTTTCCAGTAATCTTCCACTATCTCCTCTCCCTGGCTTCGGATTCTGCCAGTCCTTTCCGTCAGTTCCATATAGTCCATCAACCCGGTAATCTTATATCCGGTAATCTTATATCGGGTAATCTTATATATTGCAGAGTTATTTTGGTTGGGGTGGACTCATTGATAACAAATTCCAAAGCTACTTTAAAATCTTGGATTTCTCCGTTATTTTTATGGGCAGCTCTCACCTCTGCCCCTGGAAACATTTTAAAATAGCTTCAGTATGAAGCAGGAAGTGGCCTATGCAGTCCAATTTTTTCTTTATGCTTCATAGCTAGAGTCTCTTCCTTCTTTTCCATGCACTAACTTCCACTCCCCTCCAACCTGGTTTTCTATGATTAATTCCCTGGGTGGAGGTGCTACTGCTTTGTCTACATAAATATAGACATTCTCCTTGGAGATCATAAATAGAATACAAGATAAGCCATGACAGGCAGTACATGCTGGAGTCAATTTTGTCCACCATCATCAGCTTCTCTTTACCTGGCAAGAAGGATCTAGCTGGTTTTTAAAACGTTTTGGTACTCTGCAAACACCCACACCCAGAGAGAGAGAGAGAGAGAGAGAGAGAGAGAGAGAGAGAGAGAAAATCCTTGACATAATCCAAGCTGCAAAGCAGCAGGAAATCAGCCAAATATAGATGCAGCAAAGACTAAACTTTGCATAGCAGTGAACTGTTTATTGTGGGAAAATGTGAGTGTTTACAGTTAATAGTATCTACTCCAGGGGATGTGAAATTCCCTACACTTAGTTTAGCTTTCACAGATGAAATGACACTACTTCACAAGTAGCTGAGATTCAACACACGACAGTAAGTTCAAAAACACTGTACTTTTATCATAAGCTTACCTGGTCTTTCTGCAACTAGAATTATAAAACACCAGAAATGCAAAACTGATGAAACATATCCTTTCACCCACAATTTAACTTGGGTAATGCCAACCAGGTGTTTAGCTAATAATGGAAACTATCTTGAGTATGTAACCCTGGCTATCAGTAATCCCTGGTAATGTCATTGGTTTTGACCAGGGGTAGGCAACCTAAGGTCTGTGGGCCAGATGCGGCCCAACTGCCTTCTCAATCTGGCCCGTTGACGGTCTGGGAATCAGTGTGTTTTTACATGAATAGAATGTGTCCTTTTATTTAAAATGCAGCTCTGGGTTATTTGTGGGGCATAGGAATTCATTCATTCCCCCCCCCAAAATATAGTCCAGCCCACCACGTGGTGCTACCACTGTATTTGGCTTAGAACAAGGAACCCTGGGTTGAGTAGTCTGCTCAACCATGAAGCTCACTGGGTGACCTTGGGCTAGGATCGCTCTCTAAGCCTAAAAAATGGTATCAATGTTGTAGAGAAAAAAAAATGGGAGCAGGAGAAACCATATGTGCCTTCATGGAAGTAGTATATAATCTTAAAATGTACCCAAGGTCAATGGAGTTGCCATATGGCTTGCAATGCTCCACAGTTAACTCCATTAGAAACTAACACAAAATGTGTCCTGACAAGAGTTGTCTGACAACATACTTATCCCAGGGATTTTCCCCAAGCACCTCTTTGCTCCCATTTAATGAATGCAACTTAACCTTGAAATTCTCCCCGCAGTACATACAAAACTGAAAATAGAAGTTTCCCCCCAGGATAACTTTGAGCTCATCTGAAGCTTAGGATACTTTTGTGCAAGTTATCTCTGAAGGACCTGACCCCCCCCCCGAAAAGACAATATACTAGATACTAGGAAACTTTATCCGAATTTGTTTCCTATTTAGTGTTTGTTCCAGTATAAATTAACATGGAGATAACTAAACCAACAAACCCAAACACCAAATTTTAGTAGTGCCGCACAATAATTGTATTTTTATAACAATTATTTGGGATAGTCAAATCATTTTTAATGTTCTTCAGTTTACGCCAAAGCAGAATGAAACTATAAACAAGTAAAACCAGTATGGAACTGGCCGGAAGGGCAAGTTCAAGTATCTGCTTTCATTACTTTGGCAAGTAAAAGCATTGTTTCTGCTTTCTTCCCCCGTCAAATTGGAAGCATGGCACCATTTCTTTTAAAAGTAGCTTCTTACAACATCTTCCATAACTCTAAACTCTGCAATTTTCAATGTATTCTGGCAAGAAACAAGGGATATTTTCCTGACCATTATTCAGCTTCACCACACTAGGTACACAACAGCACCATATGGAACTTTACATACCGGTACCTGTCACAAGTCATTCATTAGCTGTTAAATTTGGAATACAAGATTAACTGGCACCTGCTTAATGTGGGATATTATCAGCCAAACCTAACTAATACCACAGAGCTGTAGGCAAATACTCAGACCATAGAAATACAATGGTAAACAGGGCTCTGTGGAGAAGGGGCATTTCCTCTTTCTTCTCTCTATCCCTTTGACCAGCATTGGATGCAGTCATGCCTCAGCTTTAGGTATACGCCTGAGGCTGGTTATACTGTAAATATGAGCACTTTGCCTGCCTAGCTTTTACTGTTGCCTTTGCATGATTATAAATCTTATTCTTACACTTACTTTACAAGCTGTTGTCTGATTCTTTTTTAAGTGGGGTAATAAAGGGAGAACCAGCTTCATGGCTAGACTTGCTCTAAACAAGGTTTTACAGCCCAATACCCAAATGCTTCAATTTTGCTGCTAAGGATGGGACTTTTAAAACTCTTCATCCCATACACATGGGGGCCTGGAGGTATAAACTGGAATTAAAATATCTTCTCCTACCTATTAAAACCCACCTCACGCTTAACACTCTCTCAATGCAAATATTTTCCTATGCACAGTCAAACCATTTGGCTCACTGCCTGCCTAATCAGGAAGCAGCAATATGCACAAAATTCCAATTCTCCCTTCACAAAGGTAATCTAGAAGATGCACAAGTCACAGGCTTGCAGTTACCCACACATTACTGTACACCTAAATTTATATCATGAGCCTTTGAGCAAAAATACATACAGCCTCTGTCTGAGAAGAGATGGAAAATCCTACAGTGCACTTACATCAGCAGTTATCTGAAACCATCTATTCCCCTATTACTCTTTGATTCCATATGTAGTTAATAGTTTGCTGCAGAATATGTATGAACAGGAGATGTAGGGGTTGTGAAGCAGCGCCTCTTCCATCACAGCATTCCAACAACACAAATTGCCCTCCAATACCCTGCCAAAGACAACCTTCTCTCCTCAATTGACTAAACTCCCTCAGCACACCTGTCTACCTAATGATAAGCTCCTCTGGCATTTAAAAGAAAGCAGGAAATGCCATATTTCAACACTCCACTCTCACACCATTCTTCATTGGCTCTGTCATACACTTCCAAATATCAGCTTTTGGGGGTAGTGGGCACATTTGGGAACCTGAAAAATCCTCAAGGACATTGCAACAACAGGAAGAACATCTTCCTTCAAGAATGTGGGCGGGACTGGGACTTATTTTGAATTTTAAAGCCTAATAGCAGCAGGGGAAGAGCACTGTAGCCAACAGATGGCTTTTTTTTCAAGCCAAGTTGTAGCATAGGTGACATTTTTGGCAGGAGGAGCACAGCTGGTCAAGGCGTTAGCTTATTTTCTTCACACCTCCCTACCCCACAAAAAGCCCCCTTTGCCACAATTAGGCTTGAAAAAATGCCTACAAAGCTTCTTTCAAGCCTAATTGCAACCAAGCAATTCTGAGAGGGAGTCCACAGAATTACACCTGCCTTACACCTAGTGATGTGAGGTGAGAATATTCAGAAATCCTATCCCAACCACACCTACTTAGCACCACCCATCTCTGACCAAGCTACTGTATAAAAGGGGAGGGGGGAAGAGAAAAATTTAATTGGGTTTTTTGTCCCACATGCAATCATACTTTAGTACAATCAAGAATGCAGTTTTGCAGATAGATTTGATTTGTAATGGCAGAGGTCACCACAGGCAGAGAGCAGGTTTAACTCCCATCAGAGGTGCACACCTTTTCTATATATTCCCCTTATAGTAATTAATGGCTGCTATTCACTCTTATGGGAAATATAAAATTGCTATTTTTACAATGATGGCAAAGTCTGGCTGACTTCCTCTTGACAGTGGAAATATAAAGCACACTGAGTGCTTTGCACTATAGGCTTCCTTCCCCACCTACTTTTGTCACAGCAACAGGTGCTTTACTGTAACTACAAATCAATATACTACACGCATATAGAAGAGGTCCTTTCCTCACAATGCTACTTTAGCCTGCACCCAACTCAGATTTAAGGAGCTTGGAGGGAGCAAAGCAGGAAACATCCCTTAAGGAACAAAATGCAAGACTATCCCATGCAGGCTTGAGTCATATCACTTCACAAAAGTTAAACTGGTCTGACATACCTTGGCAGCATTCAGAAAATGCAAACTTATAATTGACCTTATTTCATCCCAAGTATATAAAGGCTGACATTTTAAAATGAAGAATTACAGGGAGAAACTAGCCTCTCTATCAACAAAGCAATATTTGGACAGTAAGGCTACAACCCTTTAAGCAGCCTTACCTGGAAGTAGGTCCCAGTGAGCTCAGTGGAGCTTGATACTGAGTAAACAGATAGCTAGGGAGGGCCTTACTTCGACCACAGTAGGAAAGCTGGTATCAAGCTAATGGTTAAATATGAAGCTTCAACAGGGGCACTTCACCAAGCAAATGTATTTTTTAAAACCCATTATTCAACGACACTTATTTTTGTTGAAAACACACCAACATGAGGATAGATATGACCAGCTACCATCAAGATGTAAATAATTTCATGGTTTCAATGTTTTTTGTTTTGTGCAGTTAAAAAAAAATCAAAACCCCCAGTAATTTAACATTATCAAAAACTAAATTTATCCTTATTCTCTTCCCATGTTTTCTCCTCCTCCCACTGCTGTTACCTTCTCTCCCCCCCCCCTTCCCATCAAGTAAGCTTTTAAGCTCCTGCGGCAGGGACTTTCACTGTACGAAGCACCACACACACGCTGATGCCAGACAAGCGACAAATTCTCCTCCTTGCACACTTGGTGACTGCCCCCCCTCCCCTCAAAGCAAAACAGTGCAGGGGGGGTGTGAGAAAGTGAAAGCGCACCACTGACCGAACTTCACAGCAGGCACACTAACCTACAAACAGGAAAAAGCAATATATTGTTATCCTAAAAAGCAAAAGTCTCGCGGCGTCACGAACACAAGGTTTATTATTATGGTTACACTTCTGCGGAAGCCACGTCCTGCTGATAACGCCAAGGTCGCAGGTTCAATCCCCAAATGGGCCACGTGCCTACTCCTGCATTGCAGGGGGTTAGACTAGATGACCCGGGGGGGAGGGGAACCCTTCCAACGCTATACAGTAGTTCTATGGCTAGTTTTTTTTTTAAAAAAAAAAGCTTCACTTGTGAGGGGCACATACTCCCCAAATAAAGCAGGGACCATCGACCCAACTTCGCAGCACCTGAAGGAAGCAACTCTTCTAAGAGACCTGAAAATTAATCTGCCATGGGTTTCGAGACCCAAGCCTGAGAAACAAACGCCAGTCTAAGCTTTTGTGGAATAAATAAGGAGGTCTATTAAAAATAGTAATAACGAAAGATAAGCATTTAAAAAATAATAGTGTTATTAAAAGTGCACTTTGTCAGGGTGTGTGTGTGTGTGTGTGTGTGTGTATATATTGGGGGCGAGGTGGGCCGGCGTGGGAATGGGGTCCTCCAGGGCTATTTACAAATATATATATATAAATACACACACACACACACACCTTGAGTGTCCGCTCCTGACAAAGTGCACTTTTAATAACACTATTAATACTTTTTCAATGCTTATTTTCCGTTATTATTATTTTTAATAGACCTCCTTATTTATTCCACAAAAGCTTAGACCAGCGTTTGTTTCTCAATCTCGGGTCTTATATCTATATATGTAAATAGCCCTGGAGAACCCCATTCCCACGCCGGCCCACCTCGCCCCCTTCTCCCCACTCCCACCCCGTCCCCCGCGCGCCGCCAGCCAGCCCCACCCGCGAGCGCGCGCGCCTCCCTCCCTCCCTTCCTCTCAGACCAACCGCCTCGCCTGGTCCCCTCAGTCGCCGACCTACCTCCGGGCTGATGTAGGAGACGAAGGAGGGCTTGGCCGGCCTGGCCCCCGCGCCGCCCCCCGCGCCCAGCATGTCTGGCCCCCGCGAAGTCCCGGCGGCGGCGGCGGCGCTGCCAGGGCTCCGGCCGGTGCCGGCGGGCGAGGGCGGCGTCGGCAGCTCCTCCCAGGAGGACTCCGCGGCGTCGGCGTCGTCCTCCAGCGCCGCCCTGCTTCGCCTCACGTAGTTAATCCCTCCCATCGCAGCGAGCGGCAAGAGCCCACAGTCCCGGCGGCGACGCACGTGAGCTTCTCCCCCCGCCCTATTAATGCACGAGCTCCGCCCAGCCATCCGCACCGCCATTGGGCCGGCAAGAGGTCGATCTCAGGCAGAGGTCCCGCCTATCTGCCACGCCCTTTCTCGCTCGCTTTGCAGGGAATGGTCGTTCCCGTAAAAAAGGGGTGGGGAAAAGTGTCGTGGGACGAATCACAATATTTATTAGATAAATGATTTTTAAAAAAAAAATCCGAGGGCTGAACGACAGATACGTTACCCAATCAGCAAATGACTCACGGAACGGCTTAAAAGGAGAGGTGATTTCCTTGTCCCCTCCCCTCCCCGCCGCCTGGAACTCTGAGCTGTATTAACTGTAGTGCCGCCGCACCCGAATCTAGTTTCTCATAATGCAAATTTAGGTTGCACGGTTTGTAAAGTTGTGTGCGACTATAAAATTTCCAGGAATCCAAAAACAAAATCAGATGCAACATGTTTGTTTTAAGTTGTTATGGGAAATGTTAGGATCCTTCTGCCTTGGTCAGACCACACTGGAGTGCTGTGACCAGTTCTGGGCGCTACAAATGATGAAGGATATTGACAAGGTGGAACGTGTGCAGAGGAAGGCAGGCAAAATGATCGAGGGTCTGGAAGCCAAGCCTTAGGAGGAATGTTTGAAGGAGCTGGGCATGTTTAGCTTAGAAAAGAGGAGACTGAGAGGAGATGGAAGATGGAGCAAACTTTAGTTGAGATGTCTGCATCGATGATCCTTGTGGTCCCTTGCAACTCTCCCTTTTCAGGCTGACCAACCAACATCTATGGGAAGCCCACAAACACAATGTGAGTGCAAAAGCATTCTCACCACTTGTGGACACCAGCAGGGGAGGTAGAACAGCCTTATGTTGCCCTTCAGGGTGCAATAAGGATGCAAATCAAAGCAATAAGAACAAAACCACACACACACACCACCACCACAACAACTACATTCCTATTTAATGATATCTATACTGCACTTCCATACGAGTATTTCCGGGGTTGTTTGCAATAACTAATAAACACTTTGCAATAATAAAACTGAGGAAATAATCATGTCCCGCCCCCCCCCCCGCGCACACACCTCCCCCTCCCCGCTGCTGTAAAGTGCCAGTTGAAAAAATTATGTAAAGCACTCAGAAGGGGGCCTCTTTAAGATTTTAATGCTGTATGTTGGCAGGTTGATAATTGCAGGTGCTCATTCAACTACTCAGGTTGTAAGGCTCTTGGGCTGCAACTGCCATCAGCTGAGCTTCCAGCTAGTATGGCCAATAATTATGGTTCAACAATACCTCAAAGGTCAAAGTTTCTCCATCCCTAATCTAGGGGGTTAATAGTAAGTAAATCTATTCTGCTTGGAAACAGAAGCCCAGGTGAGATGTGTTTGCAACACCTGGTCACAATTAATAGCTCAGCAGCTAATTAATTTTGAATTAATTGCCCCAGCTGTTTAGAAAGTTGTTTGAGAGACTTGCAGCTGTTTGGGAGTGGATAGGATGTGTAAGATGTTTTCACTTTTAATTAGAAATGCAAAGACTGAATGTCACCCTGTTGGCAAAGAGCCTTTGTAAAACAAATTATCAATTTATGCAAAAGAACCAAAGTTTGCTGCCACAGCCTTCTCTCACTTTCTCTCCCTACTTCTCTTCTTCCCCAACCTTATGCAGTCTATAACAATGTCTCTCATTGGTGGCCAGATGATGGGAATTGTAGTTCAACAACATCTGGGGGAACAAAGGTTTTCCACGCCAGCTTTATATACTTAACTCTAGCAGGGATTTTGTATGCCAGACGTTGGAAGAGTTAAAAAAGAAAACAACCAAGAAAGAGCCAATTAGGAAGTTATGGGAACAGGAAGGAATACTTAAAGTAAGAACAATCATGGAAAAATAGAAGACATATAACAGAAGTTTTAAATAATTTGGTCCCGTGAGTGATTTCATGATGCCCAATATATTAAGGAAAAGCTATGTGTTTCATGTAGTTTATTAAATGGTATTATCAAACATGATACTGCCTGTCTCTGCTGGGGTTTTTTGTGTTGTTCTGGCAGTACAAACAGTGGTACAGGATTTGTTGGGAGGAGACAATTGTGTTGGATAACAATCTGACCCTAAGTAGCACTAGGAAGAATGACAGAAATCATAAATCTTAAGCGGAGTCATGAGTACCAAGAGCTCAGTCCTGGAATGTGTGCAGTAATACACCTGACTGTATGCAAAATGCCTTTCCCTCCAACAGGTAAAGCTTTTGCATCACAGAACATGACCACCTGATAAGACTTGCACCATAGTGCCTCTTATCAAGCAGTACATAATAGTATTGTAATATTATTATCAGATGTCCAGCCTGTTTCCTGAACAGCAGCCATTATGTCTGAAATTGACTAATTCATTAAACTGGCAAGTAAGGCAAGTCAAAGTTTTACTCAGGTAGGATTACTTAAAACAGATGAGATCTTGTTAACTGGAGAAATTTCTCCAGCAATTAAAAAATGTTTATCACCTTGAAAATCTTGTTCTCATTCTATTGGAATTTGGAAACAGCGTACTTAAGACTTAGGCTACAATCCTGTACCCTTACCTGGAGGTGAACCCTGTAATGTGGGCAGAGTATACCAGAGAATATCTCCTCTAGAATATACATAGCACAAAATAGTCTCCAGTTCGCAGGAAGATGCAGTAGTTAATACCTTGATAGTCCATCACCTAACCTCTGAAAGGTTTCAGTCTCCCCACCTGGATCGGAAATAATTTCAGTGATCACTGCCCAACTGTCCTTTTGTCCTCCAAAGTCCCTCAGCTGACCATCTATTCTGCAACATGAGACCAGAAGTTTTTGCAAGTAGATGCAACAGTATAGGTTCTTTGCATTTTCTTGAAGCAACATTTGGCCTCCTCTTGTTTGTTCCGTCTTTTTCATCATGAACTAGGCTGTTGCGGTCTTGGGTGCGTTCCCTCAGTTGACATTCCCTGGCCCCCCAATGCCTAAAATGACTTGGTTCATGCTATGTGTGGGGGGTTTGACAGAGTAAAAACAAGCTACATTGGGCTCAGGGGACAGCCAGGTAGGCTGGGTGCTTTCAGCCTCCCCTCCTAAGTATTTGCCTCGGATTCCCAAAAATGCTCCCATCTGGGGGTAGAGGGAGCCCAAGCTGGTGTGGTGACGACCTACTTAAGTGCCTCTGGCACAACTGGCCTACCCAGACTGGTAGTCATGGGAAGGAATACAAGGCCCATTAAACACAATGGGACTTTCCCCCAAATGGTCATGTAGAAGATTGCACTGTTAATTATTGCTCGGGTTACCAACACCGTCTTAAATGATGGGCCAATGTTTAGCATACTCAGTTAAAAATAAACAGAAATTTGGCCTAAAATCCAAATGCTGTGGATAAAAAAAAACACTACAACCTGCATGTATTATTATAGTGCATGAGTGTTGGAAAAAATAATTTAAAAATGTTTCTCCACTGTCACAATGCTGAAGAAGCAGCACACAGGATAATGTGAAGGCCCAAAAGAGAAATGTGAAGACATGGAAGTATGTGACCACAGATTTTTGTTGGGGGGTGGGGGGTGGAGGAGAGTAGCCACATGCTATGTGGCCTTAGATAGCAAAATACCCTATGATTAGAAAAGGTGTGCTCTTTTAAAAACATCCCAGTCCCCTTACACTCGGATCACAACCAGCAGCATTTGAGGTCTCTGTGCTACCAAAACTGACTACGTCCAGGTACACTCACAACAATCTGCTAGCCAATATGATGCATCAAATCTTAAATGAGAATAAAATTTAATATTTTAGGTATAGTCATAATGGCTCAAAAGATTCAGCTTTGATACTTCCCCCTTTGTACAATATACTGCACTCAAGTGTCTGTTAATGAATATTAAGAATTTAAAACAAATACAGCCTGAAGGATTTGCAATTATCAAAAATTGAAGAGCGCCAGAACATGGCAGTCTCTGATGAAATCAGTCAACCATTTACAATTTCCTATTTCTCAAGAAGTTTTAGGAACACTGGGCAACATAAATATCACATGAGTTCCCACTTACTGCAACCTCCCCTACAGTCTGGTCTGGAGGGTCCCCCTCAACCCTACAGAATCATATTTTGTACGTTGGGAAGGGACCTCAAGGGCCATCTAGTTCAACCCCCTGCAATGCAGGAATCTCAACGAAAGCATCCATTACAGATGGCCATCCAACCTCTGTTAAAAAACCTCCAAAGAAGGAAAGTCTACCACCTCACAAGGAAGTCTGTTCCACTGTTGAACAGCACCTACTGTCAAAGTTCTTCCTGATGTTTAGTCAGAATCTCCTCTCTTGTAATTGGTTCAGATGGATGACTCTGTAGCAGATTTAGGGGGGAGGAAGGGAGGAAAGAGAAGCTGCCACTGTGGAAATATATTCCATTGGCGGATGGACACCACTGGTTGCCAATGTTAAATCTATGTGCTGAAAACTAACATAATCCACTCAGAAAGACAAAGCAAAGTGTATGTTCCCAGTGTATAATGAATGTTAAGTCATTTAATAGATTTTAGTTTTATTTGCAGATTCCACTGTAGTGTTGTAACAAATCACATCTGTGTACCAGAGCATACATCAACAGCCAGATGTAGACCTGAATTACAGCACTGCTATAATATTTAGTTGTTTGAAGGAGACATAAGCATACACTATGGCCACAAATAATTTTCTGCTATTTTCTTTAACAACCTTCAAATTTCCAGAAAGATTGGTATCTACGTTCAGGTTGTAGACCTAAAATGAAAGTTACTGAATAATTTGGTAAGGAAATAGCAAAAGGAGCAATCTCACAGGCACTGATATAGCAAACAATTATTTTAATCCAGAGCTACCATACTGATAAGCTCTTTGAAAACAAGTAGCCAGCTCTTTACCAAAGGGCAAAATGCCCTCCCTCTTAATGTTTTCGGCAAAATTTCAGAAATTTATTTTTTGGCCTTGCTATATCAAAGTCAATCATACAAAGACCTAGGCATGAAACCTAAATTGATACTTTTTTAAAGCCCTTCTATTAAAAACAAAGTCATGCAATTTTTAAAATCAATTATGCTGTTGCTAAAATTGCAGCAAATCCAAACTGTGTATGTTCAGCATTTATACTGCTAATGCATAACTAACAACAAACCTGATTAGAGTAACACAAATCTGTCTTAAGTACACCATTATATCACTAAAGAGACAAATGCCATGGATTTGGCAGAAACATTTAATTGAAAGCACTTAAATAGCAGGATAAGTTTGTGTTAACGCTTCACATTTAGGAGAAATAATATTGCAGACCCACTTTACAAAAAGTGTTCTTCTATAAAATATTAAGTGAAGGACTGTATTTACCATTTTCTAATACAAAGCAACTTACAGCTTGTGTCAATGGTAACTTAAAATTCTAAATAAAAGAGCAAAATACACAAAGCTACTGAAGCACAAAACACTGTATTAAATACAGTGGAATTTAAGTATACATTGTACTACATAACGTAAAGAAGAGAAAACAAGAATCATACATTAGAAGTTAGAAACTAAACAATGAGGGGTCCGCTAGAAGTCAGAATAGTTTCCATTTGTGATCTCTTTCTACCATAATTAGTCTGCACATCCTAAAAAAAATGGTGTGAATGCCACACAAAAAGTAATTTTTCTAACTTTTCTGGATGTATTTAACAGACATTGAGAAAAAAATCTGAGAACAAATGGCCTCTGTTAACACCAAACACATTTTCTTTTCTTTTTTAGAAGTTATCATAATCTTTCTTGTCTTTCTTCCCCTCAGCTTCAAAGCCATCAACTCCATCACTGTCCCTTCTCCTTTTACGATTGTTGTGAATATTGAAGCGCTGGTTCATCTGGGGCAAGGGATCCATTCCTAAAACTTTGTGTATTTGACGGAATGCAAGGAGTCTCAATGCAAACTGTGGAGGAGGAAAAAGGTTATCAGAATTATTTAAACTTCTAAAAATAGGTGCATGTTCATTTTAGTAAGACACTTTCAAGACCGTACATATGAGTATTTAAAACTCTTCTGTATGTACCATACAGCTTTACAGAATTTCAATTAATGATATAGCTTCTGAAAGTTCCTTGAAAACAAAATGTTAGTTGCATAGTGAAGCAAAATTGGTCCCCTGTGTAGGATATGTTGCAAAATGCTGTATTTCCTCTGCCTTCAGAAGTGAAACTATCTAGAAGAGTGATGGGAACTTCTGCCTCATGGGCCAAATTTGGCCTATCAAACCATTTTCATCCAGCTACCCCACATGTGGCTCACATGTGACACTGGTTGTTGGGCAGGCAAAAACATGGCTGCATACTGCAGTTGGAAAGGACTGAAGCACAGAGTTCAATCCTGCTTGGTTTGTGTGTGTAAACCAGATCAGGTGTGCTGGTGCACCCAAATCCTACAGGAAGCAGGAATGAATATGTTGTGCATCAGCTGATGCATAGGGAGTTCAATCCCACTTGATAACTATCTCCCCAACCAAGCACCTGTCAATGTTGATCTGCAGGGTGCAGAGAGAGAGAGATCTGTCCCACTGGCCAAAAAGGTTATCCAACCCTGATCTATAACATGGGTTGGGCTCTTTCCATATGCTACCCTGAATTGTAACTCCCTGACTAGCCACTATCAATATCGCTCCTGATTTTTATCATTACTTCAAGCAGTTTTTAAAAAGTGCATTTGGTATTAATTTTGACATAGCATTTCCTTTTTCTTTACATCCTTTAAAATGAAAAGCAGTAATTTGTAAAATTGGTAAAAGACCCTAGTAATTCTTCCTCTACTCCAACAGGTGCATCAACAGGGACTAGGGAGGTGGGCTGTGCTGGTTACTGGGTGGGAGTATAGTTTTTTTTCCCTGTTACTCTGCTGCCAGCGTTGTTATTACTGCTATGGTGGAGGGGCTCTCTCTCTCTCTCTCTCTCTCTCTCTCTCTCTCACACACACACACACACATAGAGAGAGAGCGAGAGAGAGAGAAAGAAATGTTAATATGATTCCCCCTTTTCTACTTCAAGATGTATTTTTGTGTATGTTCTTCGGTGTAAGTGCCTAGTACGTTTAATACAAAATTAAAATGGAAAATTGAAATTAAACTACAGCATATAGGAAGCAAATTCATTTTTCAGATTAGGTTCTTTTTTCTTTTTTGAAGTTTGTGTATCAGATATTCACTATATTTAACTATTTTATGAGAACTTTTAATTACCTGTGCACTTGAAGTAATGTCTTCTCGTTGCTGATCTGTCATTAAAGCAAGTGTATCAAAAGGATCTTTTTCACAGGGATCCAGAAGGCCAGGACCACCTATAAACAAAAAAGTAAACTTTATTTTCTTTTTTCTTTTTAATAATTTCATGAAGATAGTATTATTTCATTCTTCCTATACTGTAACAAAATAATGTGTAAAGTAGACAAACCAATCAGTTTAATACAGTATTTCAAGTGTAGACTATGACTGCTACTTACCTTTAAGGATAATTCCTGAAGATATACACTCAAACACTCTTCTTAAGGCATCTCCTGGGCTTTGTGGTCCAGTAGCACTGCTAATTGCCTTCTCTACTAATAATTCCATTGCCTAAATAAAGCAAAGAGATGTAACAATAAACCACTATCCACACTTTAGTTTAAAACACGAAATGTAGAATGCCACCAGCTGGTAAGTAGCACATGATAACTTTATGAGCAATGGCTGTCTGTTAACACAGTCTTAAAACTTTGCAGCTCAGAAAATATAAGCAAGTTTAAACCAATACAGCAACTGTTGACACCTGCAGAAAGCCTTTTAATAAAAAAAGAGTTGCCTATATCAATTCACACTGCCATGTTTCTCTCAGTGGAGGCCACGATAGAGTCTAGTGTTGTTGTTTTTTCATTAAAAATGTGCTTAACCTATAAATGAACCAAGGAAATGAATGCAGGCTGGAATCAGATGCAATCTTGGCATGAAAATGGGGTCCTGCTGCAAAAATATGAAAAATGCTTGGATTGCGAGTTGCCCCTCTGCAGATTTTCACTAATTTCCCCTTTCCCATGTATTCTCCAATGTCCCATGCCATTCCAGAGAGCCCCCTGACCCTCCATAACAGATGGCGGGGGCAAGGGGCTGGAGAGGGAAACTGGTGAACATTGCCTCCCTTCTGCCAACAGGAGCATCAACTAAGTTCCATTCACAAGAAATGAGAATCCAAGCCAAAGGCAACACACACAAATATTTGCATACAGTTTCAATAGTCAGGGGTATATATGTGATTATCAGATACCACCACCTAGCCTTGGTGATACAAAACAAAACTACAAATCTGCACACTGCAGAGAACTTGGGCGGAGATAAATGACTGTCTCTCACTTCATACCAGACTTTGAAGATGCTCAGAAAAAACAAGCAAGAAACTCACAGCTTCAGAGGATCTCTGAAGCTTACTGGGAAATAAGGGGCTCACCCCCTGCTCTTCTAAGGCTTCTGCACATACCAGGGGCCTTGGGAGTAGCTCAGTGGTTACCATAAAGAATGATCATATCCAAGGTTTGCAAGAATCTGTGGAGCCCTATCAGTAACATGGGCTGGATTTAACTACCCCAGTGTGCTAGCGGAAGCCAGCACAGGGAATCCCATTAGTACAAGAGTGCTTTCCCTCCATAATTTGCTCTGCAGGGTCAAGAGAACCCCCAGAAGAGCAAATGGCTGTGGAGGAGGAGATCGTTCCATCTGGACAGCTGAAATGCTTGTTGCTGGCCGAATGGTTGTCATAGCACAACACTGAATTCCACAGGTGAAGGGCCTGTGTTTTGCATTAGATGCAGAGCTTACAGGGACATCTTCTGTACGGCCCACACTCCTTGCAAATTTTCATAAATAAAAGGAATGCAAGAGTCATTAGAAAGATCTGGCTCCCCTCAAATTCTTCAAAATTAATACTTATTTTGTGCACTGTTTTGTAATTGCCCCTGAAGGACAGCATTAGCAATTTAAAATATGTTGGCTATATCCAATAGTTGTGTAAGCATAGGGAAGCTTGCTTAACCAACTTGTTTAATAACTTGCAAGCATTTCTATACTGCCAACATTAAGAACAAAATATAAAATTTATCATTATTATTATTATTATTATTACAAGTGCAAAATCAATACAGCTATTTACCCAGGAAATTCTGGGTGAACAAATAAGTTTTAAGCAGGCACCTAAATGACAATACTGTAGGCGCCTGCCTGATGTTCATTGGGAGTGCATTCAAAAAGTGCAGATACTGCCATACTGAAGATTGACAGATGATGGACCACAGGCGAATATAGCAGTGCTAAGAGTGTCTCTTGTGAAAATCCAAGTGACTAGGCTTAAGGTACCTAAGGTATCATATTCCCTCCCCCCCTTGCTGAATGTCCCATAAACTGCATCTAGAGGGTCAAGGACTCTTCATAAAAAGTGGGGGCACTAGAGGAGGGAGGAATCACCCTAAATCAGGCACAAATATTTTGTGTCAGTGGGATCGGTGCATATAAAAAGGGAAATACACTTCTTTAGCCCAAATGCCTTAAAAAGATAAAATCAAAATTACTGGAAATACAGATTTATGTAATCAACATGTGTGTGTTGTATAAGCACAAGGAGCTCTTTGGATTGAAGCTATGAGGCATCACAACGGCCAGAAAATAAATCTAGCTGCTTAAGTGAAGTATCAAATTCCAAAGTTGCAAGGATATTCAAAAGAATTTCATGCATAATTCTGAGAACACAGAGAATCGGCAATTAAATGTTTAATTGGCTTTTTAATCATTTTTATCGATACTTTACTATTTCTTGTAAATCACTTATAAGTTTCACAACAATCAAATGGTATGTAAATCTTGTTTAAAAAATGAGAATGAGGCCTTCTGGTTCAGAAGCTCTCTCACACATGTTAGCCCTACATCATGGTTCTTTAGAGGAAAATGTATTTCAAAATGTTATGCTTTGTTCTGATGTTATGGATACCCTCACTTCTGAAACAAATGAATGCCTTCAAATAAATTAAGTATGGAGCATTTAAAAGAAATGAGCACCAGAAATCTCTATTGTCATTTTGGTGTCTGTTGAATATTTCCCTCTTTCAACAAGGCTACTAAGCAGATTATTGTCCTAGTCAGTATCTGTATTGGTTTTGCAACTGCTTTTATGTATGCAATTGTTTTATTGCATTGTGAAATGACTTAAGAGATGCTTCATAGGAAACCATTCATAAATGAAATAAACAAAAAGGAAGCACTTACCCAGCTTGGAAAGTCAGACCAAGTGGGAACTCTCTGACAGAGATCACGAAGAATACGTATGATAATGACACACGACTGCAGACCATTAGCTCTAGCCTTGAGGGCAATACAAAATCAAGTTAATCAATCCCAGCACCAATAGAAAATAGGCCTCTTAGAGAAGCTAAAACACCACTGTTCAATGGAAGCTCAGACACAGAAAAGAAACAAGCCACATGAAACATTCCAGGAGCTTCCATTTACAGAAGCATTTTATGCCAAGGTTAGTAATTGAGAAGTCAAGGTGCACAGGTTATACAAGACTAATATCCCTTGAATTCCTGCACACTTTGGTTCATTTGTACAGAAAATACAATTACCTTCCTATAATAGAAATACAGGAGTAAAGAGCTAACAAGTAGAGAGACTGAAAGGCTATGGGAATCTGTTTGGTTTCTCTGTCGTACCTTTGCTGGAGTGCAAAGTCACCAAACCAAATAGTTTCTCACCTTTCATTCCCTACACTTAATAAGCTTCAAGAAATAAAGGGTAAAAGTCTTACATCTAACACACAAAGCTTTAAACACACATTCTGTTATTTAAAGCAAAGTTACTCTGCAGCCTTATGGAACACATTACCAATACAAAACATACGATTTCCCCAAGCGAGTCAAGCTTTCAACTTCGCTATCTTGGTGGCCAGAAAAACAAGTTGACGTCAAATTGGCAAGAACGGCATAAAGCGGTTCTTCTATACAGATCTTCTAAGATGAATTAATTTCCCCCATGTCATTTAATTTTATATATGAGTACACATAATAGATATATATACACATATTTACTATGGGCAACCTTTAGTTTTTCCGCATAGTTTAACATCCAACCGAACAACTGAACTACTCTCTCTCATAAGGCTACAAGAAGAAAGTAAAATGATGTTCCGAACCTGGAACCACTTAGCGTGGCGTAGAGCAGCCAGAGCGTCAAGGCATTTTTGCCTGTCCAAGACGTCCGGTGGGTCTTTCACCATACCCGAGGTTACATCTAAAATGGATTGAATTGGCAAAATGCAGTGAGGAATGGGTGTTTGACCAGGTGAGCAAGACACTTCCTTAAATTAGCTTCCATGTCACACGTGCCATTTATATTGCAATCCCTATCTCCAATGTATTCGTATTCAGTAGTAATAATCCCTTAATCTGTATGTGGTCATTAAGCCCAATACAAAAGGTAATCAAGAGCATAATACAAGGTTAGCTCTCAATCTTATTTTTTTATGTCCATCTATTTGTGAAAAAAAAATCCTCTGGAAAAATAAATTTCCCCTAAAATTAAAATGTTGAAGGAAGAATGGTTGGACACAGTGCACCAGCACAGGAAACACAAGACAGAAGGAACACAAAAATCCACTTGAATGAAGCAAAAGTTACAACAAACTGTGAGCAAAATCTATTGTGAAGTTCTTCTGTGTGGGCCCCACTGAACTGAATGGGCATTGCTGTTAAGTTCCCATCCATTTTAATGGTGCTTGTGCAGAACAACTTCCCAGTGGATTGTGCCCTGTGTTTGTTGGGACAACTTAAAATGGCCGCATGCTACCTCAGACTTAGTCCTAGTTAATGGGTCAAAATTCTTCCTGAGCAGTCAAGACCCATGATGTACTAGGATACCTCCCATTAAGGCAAGGTAAAACTATACTTATAGAAACAATCCAGATTTTTTGGTTTTATGGAGTCTGAAGGGATGTGAAATACTTTGTAAAATTCAAGTCAAGAGCACCTGTACATTTTTGTATTTCTTAAACCCTCTAGGCTCCTATTGCACCAAGGTGCATGCTGTGTATATCCATCCCAATTTCATCCAGGGGTATACCAGAAGAAAACAAGAAAGAGGGGTCTGAAGAGAAGGAAGTAGAGGAAAAATCAAAACCAGGAAAAGCAGAAGCAACAGCAGTGTGATAGAAAGAACAACACTGCATCTGGTAAATTCTTATTTTCCAAACAAGGATTTTGTGTCAGTTATAATTACTGTTCCTAAATATGTTGTAACTGCCTGCTGAGCAGCCAAGAGTATTTCTAGATATTTTTTAATTTTCTGCCAATACAAAATTGCTGTTAAAATAAATGTTGAATGCAACCAGACTTTGCCTGGATTATTCAGCAGATGGGACAATAAAATGTAGTCTAATTTAAGCAAACATACTCAAAACAGCAAATCAAAGACTCATGGAACACATCAACTAGGAAAAGAACGTAAACCAAGATATTAACAGATTTGGCTTGAAGGTCAGCCATCAATGAAGAGAAACAGGTCAGGAGAATGCAAGCCAGATTTTATATAAATTACACTTCCGCTGTGCACAGAATTATTTCAATTTCATTTAGTATGCTATGCCTGAATTGTACACCTCTCATAGGAAATCCATTTGATTCTGCTTATATTAATATTTTACCAGTGGGATATACAAGTCTTAAACATTTTAGCAATGGGATTTATGCCATTTTAACATGGTGAATTTTATGGCTATACAGATACAGTGAAGTGAAAAATGAGTCACATTAGTGAGAGATTTCAAAGCAAATGAAAGAAGACATTAGGATTATAGATGTATCAAGTGAAAGGACAGAAAATTTAAGGGAAAAGAGTCAACTGAGGCCAAAGTCAGCAGTACGATTTGATAATTGACACATTTAAAGTTCAGTTCATAATTCTGACAAAATAGGGAGAGTTTATTCTACTTTATATAGCTTGTGGGAGCAAGCTTTGTTTCATAAAAACTATTTATACTCTCCAAAAAAATACTTGCAAGAAAATAGCGTTAATGACTCAGTTTAATTATCACTAAAGTCCTGGATTATTATTATTTAAATAATCGTATTAAAACACTTGTATTTCGAAGCACTACTTTTTTTAAAAAAAAAAGATGCAATGATCCAGAGACCCATATACAATTGACAAGCAAGATTATGGGTGATCCAGCTCTATTAAGCTTGAGATTTGTCATTGACCTCAGTGGGAGATAGAGTGTACCCATTACAAATCAACCTTGAAGCCATCAGAAGATGCTGAAGCAGCTATAGAAATTGAGAGCTTATCTGGGCTGGATATCCATTTAAAAGACTTTCCTATATGTGGATTTTTGCATGAAGACTCCAAGTGGATTAACCCCTTAAAAACTGGTCCTAAAATTAAATGAATCAGAATTCAAGTGTGCCCTCTTAGCTTCAACCATAGCTTTTTTTTTTAAAAGTGCAGATTATTTTTCTTGTATTCTAAAAATAAGGGGTTAATCTTCAATAAGACATGCTGTGTCCACACTATTTCGTTATTAAAAAGTTAACAGGTATGACATGCGCTTTCAATTCCAGGTGTGAATTAAGTATTACCCAGTCAACTGTTTCAAAGCTAGTGTGAACACTGCTTAATTCTAGAGAAGAGAGAGACAAAGACAAGAAGGGAAAAAAAGACAAAACACAAAAGTAACAGTAAATGCTAGGACTATGCAACCAAACCCCCTCAAAAATATGGCAGGTGTGACATTGAGCTTTAGAAAACCTTGGTCAAAAATCCTTCCGATGTCCTGGCAGCAATCCCTGACAGGATTCAATTGTCTCTGCTAGAAGGCTTTGGACCGGGGCTAGTAAGCTAAGGATAAAAAACATAAACATATACACTTTGCTGAAGAAACACATTCCACAGCATGGGTTACAGAATCTTTATATCCGGAGTAAATTCTGTAAATTGAACTGTTAAGTGCACAAAACTGTAAAGAAAAAAATCCTACATGGTTAACAGTTTTGTGTTTACCTTCTCCTTCCCCTTCAGTTTGCAACTGAATAGGATTACATAAGATGTTATTCAACCAGCAAATGAAATACATCTACTTCAAATTGGGTTCTTCCAGCAAAGCCTTCCTTGCCACCTGAATTCAACTCCCAAAAGCCAGCTAGATTCCATCAACCAAGTTAAGACACCGAGCATTAAGAGCTGCAGTTCAGAGTATACCATTTTTTTTGCAGCACATAAACAACGATCTTTATAAAAGTCTTGTTTACTGCAATTTGCAGTTAAACCACATATTTCAGAGGTAAACTTTTTCACATATTCATTTTAAGCTGCTCAGTGTCTTGGAAGAAATGATTCAAAAATTTTAAAAGCTTTGCTTTCCTCTATTAATATTATCAAACTTAGTATTATCAAACTTAGAATGGCAACTCTAATTAATGTTTGGGTCAGACAAAAAAATGGAGCTTTATTTTCTTTTGAAGTCAGATCATGAAATTAACTGGCACAGTGAAATGGCATCAAGATTGTGTTCAAAATAGTTGTGCAATTTTCTATCCATGTTTTCCTTTTTTTGCCAAATCTTTACAGGTTGCATATAACCAAATGTGATGTCTGACATTCATTCTGTTGTTTGGTAGAGATGAATAAATAAACTGAACTCAGGGCAATCAAGCAAAGTTATCTGTGATTATTTCAGAATTTAAAAGCCAATGGTATTATGTAAATTTAAGCAGTGTTTTAAAAACCAGGAAGAAAAATCCTATGTACATTAATATTCAAGCTTTGTTTTTTTAAATAAGCTTTTTGAGAAAGCTTGCTTCTAGAATAGTTATACTTTTAAAAAATAACATAAGCAATTATTCAAATATTGGAAGCATAACGCTAAGAATGCATTCCACAGCTGTATGTACACAAGCACACTCACTCTACACTAACAAGAACTTAAATAGAGCCTTACTTCCTATACTTATGGATTCTTAGCCAGCAATACCACTGTGCCTGCAAAAAGTTTATTTTGACCAACACAAGACAAAAGAAAACAAAGTTCATTTTATCTGACCTCTAAATAGAGCCAACATATTGCAAACATTAAATTATCATGCTTGCTGGCTTAAAAACATTTGTAGCTTTCAAAGAATTATAGAAGAGACCCTAAAGCAACACTGCTGGCACCAGTAGGATCGCACAGGTCATAAATACATATTGAGTTTTAAAGTTCCAACATCTACTTAACTGAACTCAGCTATCACTCTTTACTATAAACACACTGCATATGTACTGCTTAATTAAGACACTCCAACCTCAATATTAGGAGCTCTTTGTCTTATACTGCATGCCAGAAACCAACCTCAAAAAACTGGAAAAAAATACACATCTTGCTCCAAGCAAAGCCAGAATCACTTTGAACTTAAAAATTAACTAAGTGCCATATAAGTAAAGGCTAAGACTGATCCAGTTTCAAACATACAATATTTTTTTTGCAGCACTGGTGTAGTTTCTCCCTTAGGGAGGAAGCCTTCTTGATTATCAGCTTGCAGGTATTTGAGTCATAAACATTTATTTTTTCCAAAGAAAGACAGGTTTGCACATTTAAAAAAAAAACACCTACATTTTCCAGAAATCTGAGGTTGTTGGTTGCAGTGAATAAGTCTAAAATAGGTTTTGGAAAAACAACAAGACTGCTTGATTTATGAATTGCCATTAAATGTGTATCACATGCCAGCATGTTGCCTTCCAGGATTTAATGCCGTTTATGACAGAATGATTAAGCCAATTAAAATAGAGCATTTTTTAACAGATTCCGAACCTCCATCCCTCATGTTCTCTTCCCGAATCACTGGTGATGTCAACGTGATGGTCACTTGCATTTTAGGTTCCACACAGGAATTCAAAATGATGGATGCTTCTTGTCCTGCACACTTTATTTCATATTTCTCAGGACTTATTACCTAAAGAATGCAAATAAGAAGCTAAATGTTTTCACACAAAAAGGGACTAGTCCAAAATACCCGGAGGTTCATCACAAGTTGCTTGGGAGTTTAGCCAAGGTACCTTGTACCGTACCTTGACTAAATGATGAATTCATACATTAAAGGAAAGTAAGGTGTGTGAGAGAACTGGCTTACTTGAGTCTGTAACAAATTTACAATATCCTGGAGGGAAGGAGCAGGTGGCCATTATGAGATTAAGGCCTTCCCATTGTATATTGGAAGGTTTTAGGACGGAGGAGAAAGAAAGAATAAAGTTCTGCTTCCCCACTGTGCAGAATCCACCCTGCCCCCTGAATGAATATAGCAAAAGTGGGCTAACATTCCTTTCTGGGTAGCCTGGGGGTGTGCCCATTCCAGTTGTGAGAGGATCCAGAGAGAAAAATGGGTCGAGTAACAGGTGCATTTTTTACCTAATTAGCAGGCTAGTTTCTAGACGTACTTTCACACCACTCTCCATCCTCCTTCTAGGCAAGCAAGAAGCACTAGCAGAGTTCAAAGGCACATTCCAACTAATCCAGAACGCAGCAGCTAGACTGGTGACTGGCCGCCGAGACCATATAAAACCGGTCCTGAAAGACCTACATTGGCGCCCGCCCTGTGGAGTGCCTTCCCATCAGATGTCAAGGAAATAAACAACGATCTGGCTTTTAGAAGACATCTGAAGGCTTTCATCGTGTTTTTAATATTCTGTTGGGAGCTGTCCAGAGTGGCTGGGAAAATCCAGATGGGCAAGGTATAAATAATATTTTTTTATTATTATTACCCTCAAGGGGTGTGAGAAGTAGGGCTAGTGAGGCATGTGGCCCAGGGGAGAGTCCTCAGAGCCAGAGAGGCCTGGAGGGCTTCCTTCAGCCCCCAGGCCTGAGGTCCCTGCACCTGCTATACAACAATAAAATGCTCATGTTTGGGGTTGGCAGCCAATCTCCTACGAGTTCTTTAGCACTATATAACACAATGTGGAGTTTTAAGGAGACTGGGAAGGGAAGTGTTCTTTTCTTTCCATCTTCCCCATCCTCAAGGAGTACTACAAGGCTCTTATTCCAGCCTGCCTACAGCCGTGAAGAGGATAGAAGCACTCCTATTACAGGATGGCGGTGCAGCTATGCATTGCAGGCTGAGCACCTATACCTGTATTTAGAAATTAGCTCATTGCTAGTTCACCTACTTCAAAGTAAATTACGACATAGAGGAAATTTGACTGGCAGAGCCCCAGTGAAAAATGCCAAATGTTTTCAAGACCATACATACGGCAAGTTGCTTGGGCAGATTTTCAGCAATGCGACTCAGCAACGTCTTAGTAGGTTTCTCAGCACACAGCAAGACAAGGTTGACATTTCGGTCTCCTCGGAGCAGCAAACCCTTAGCCAACACTCCCACTCGTAAGACTCCTTTCAAAGCCCTGCGCAAAAATGAAGTCTTGGTGAGAAGCAAGGGGTTTCAAGGGCCAAAGCACTCAAAGAAAACAAGTCCAATGCAGGGAGAGTCCTTCATGTGCAACACACTACCCTAGACCCCCGTGAGGGCGGTGTGCATTCTGTCATTCTCTACGTACATCATAGCTTACATTTTAACTCTATGCGGAAAGCACAAAGTTTTGAAAAAAAGATCCAGACAGCAAAGAGGTGCAATGAAAAGTTTGGTATTTCTCACACTGGGTGGAGTTCTGGGCTAGTCCTTCTCTACCATCAGCAAGAGGATAAAGCCTCAGCCAAGGAAAAGTAGTCTGAAGTGCTGCTAAGAATCTATTGCACAGCTAAAGGACTTTTTCATATGAACAAAGTGCAGTTGCTGTTGAAGAAATGCAGTTCCTAGTTGCTTCTGGAGAATGCCAGCTAAGCAAACAACTTTCATTGGCAAAAATTAGGGATCCATTACTCTGATAACAGAATCCAGTATTTCTGGGCGCATAAGTTTAAGAAGTTGGCATGAAGTAGGGCAAATGCTCCATTTTGTCTTAGTCCCTCTCCTAGCACAATGATTTCAAGCAACTATGGCAATAAAACATACCTGTCTTTACCGCCCTCTTTTTTATCATCTCCTTCCTTGCTCTTGTTTTTTTCATTGTCAGTCATATTATCAGATACAAGTTTCAGTGCACGCTCAGTGATAGAAACTATTTTCTGTACTGCCTGGAGTTCCTCTTCAGTTGGATAGATAGCAGCATGTTTGGTCATTACGTAACGGTCATCTGAAGAATCTGGTCGCCGAAGAGGCTGAATGCAGAAAGTGGATTTTAAAAATCAGATACATTTTATGTTTTCCTGCTTTTTGTTCTTTGCTATTTTATTAAAATTATCAAGTTTTCTGCCTCAAAGTGCATTAAAAGAGCTCACATAAAGAAAATGAGATCTTTAAAAAATGTAAATGAAGAATTGGTTGGCATCAAAACCACCCACCAGGGCTAAGGCTCTCCCTGCTCTGGAAAATAAATAGGGTGATACAGACCAAGGAAGGCTTTCAAGGTTTACTATTATTTGTTACAGATTACATCTGATGGTGGAATAAGTGTCCTGATAATGCATGTAATATGATGGTGCCATCATGATGGCTCTAGATTTCACAGTTGGTTAGCAGAAGCCAATGCTTAGCTACTAAGCCTAGGCATAATTTGCAGACCTGATTGACTTACTAGGTTCCCCCCACCCCCAGTCTGTGGCACCAAGTACATCAGGAGGAGAGAGACAATGCGAACATTACTCACAGCTGGTCCCTGGGGCTGTGGTGGCATTCCTGGTCTAACACCAAGTAGTCCAAGAGGTCCTGGAGGTCCATGAGGATATCCTCCATCAGGTATTCTGTGGCGGTCATCCCAATGATGCTGCTCTTCTTCCATCCTCCTCCAGTACATGTCCTCCTCATAGCGTCTAAGTATATGAATTAAATCACATAGGCTTTCAGTTGATGCAGAAATACCTTTTATTGACGATATGTTCAATAATTCAGGTCCCACCAAAATTAATTTTGGAACTTCAAATGTTAAAAAAGATATTGGATGCTGCAGGTTCAATAATTCTGTATTCGCTACAGAATTCATAGTAGGATCTGGTTTACACCCATAAAAAGCCATTCTTACTCTTTATAAATATTTTCTATGCCTGTTTTCAATTATTTATTTAAAGGTAAAATTAATCCAGGCTTTCCAAGGCAAGCATTCATAGGAATATAGTTACATAGAATGGAAACTGATTCAGGTTTACAAAATGTACACTGGTCGCTATTAAAGTCTACATGTTACCTCATTTCCATTCTCCACCGTTCCTCCTCTTCACGTCTTCTCCAATATTCTTCTTTCTGCATCTGCTTCCTCATCTTTTCTTCCTGGATCTTCCTTGCCCGGATGCTCGGCTTCACTTCTACTTGCAAGTCTGGGTTTACTTTTTTCTGTTGTAGAGAAGGAAGATTTTAATTTTATTTTCTTGTAAGATTTATTCTCTGTGGTCAGATCCAATTATTTTCACCAAGACAAAGCAAAAACTGCAATTCAGTCAGAGACACAATCCTTCATATTAAAAAACATTATGAGGAGCAAACAGTAAGCTACAGTATTATCCCTCCTCATACAATACTTTCACTTGCAATACATATAAGTAGCTTAATATGTGGAACAAACACTATATGGCTACCATAGTTCAGCTGGGGGAGGGAACAGTTGGTGCTCAAAATAGATGTACTACCTGCTTAGGTTTCATCCTAGAAGAGACCAAGTAAAACTCAATCACCATCAAATTTACTGAAAGAGACCGTCAGAACTAGACCATTTACGCTTCTACAGTCAACTTGCCTTATATTGTAATCTATGCCGCCTTCCTTTTAAATGCATCTCCTTGGCATTAGGATCATTAAAACTGCATTCACAAAGTTTGCAATGGAAACGAATAACCTTCCCTTCATCATTCCGTACCTTAAAAATAAAGAAAAATCAGTATAAAAATGGTTATTTAACACAATTTGGTTTCATAAAGAAACTGAACTAATTTTTGTAAAATTTTCACACAAAGACATGTTCTGGCATAAGATCTATGCAATAGTGGCAACAGAGAACCTGTATTTACCAGCCATAGCAGACTTCAATTAGGTTAAAAAAACAAACAAACAAACCTTTGACCCAAATATCTATTCTTACTTTTGCTACTGTCTGATATCAAAGTTGAATTACCCATTTTCCAAGTTAATTATTGTGTTCCAGATCAAGTGCAAAGCTTTTTGTTTCCCATAGCCAATAGAGCACTTCTACCCATGTGAGCACCTCTTTCAGAATCTAGATCTATCCTGCGCCGCTGAACTATTTCATATAGCAGTAACTTGCCTCTCCAACCCCCCTTGGAATTTTCTGGAGCAAGTTTGCAATAGTTCTACTTTGGAACACTATGCTGAGGCACTATTCTCAATCGCTGAAGAACACTCTATTACTCCAAAACACCGTTCTGTAGATGTCCTTTCACTGTTAAAATCTTTTCTAAACACCAGAGCAAGCACAGTAACTACTAATGTGTTTTGAATTGGGCTGCCTTTGAAGGCAGTTTGGAAGCTACAGTCCAGATAAAGGTTCGGCAAGGTTTATCTTGCCTGAGTCGGATCAGTCCCGTGGAGATCCCTTCATAGGCTGGATTGCGCACGTGCCGCAATTTTCGGCATCTGCGTTTGCACAGACGTGATTTCTGGCGCTGCGGAAGCAACTCCCCGCACCGCTTTAGCGCAGCGCGCGAGCAGCTCAGTTTGGGGGCGGCTCATGGCCCGGTCAAACGACCTCCATGGGCCGTTTCCGGCCTATGGGCCTTAGGTTGCTGACCCCCTGGTCCAGAGCATAGTGACTAGAATTTTGAACTGAGCAAACTGTGCAGAATATTGATCCTGAAAGATCGACACCTTGCACGTAACGCTTGTCCTCGAAGATCTACAGGGGTTATCTATGCATTTCTAGGCTCACTTCAAAATGCTGATTATGGCCCTGAAAACCCTATACTGAGGTTGGAGAACTAGATCCCGGATGGGAAACTTCCTAGTGGAACTCGCTGTCAGCAAGCCCTGCTTGTAAAGGAACAATCGGGAACTCAAGGCAAATAAACACTGTACTTTTAAAGCAAATACAATGCAAACTTAAGCTACATGACTTCTCCCAAAGAATCCTGAGAACTGTACTTCCCCTCTACAGAGACAGAATTCCCAGTACCCATAACAAACCAGTTTCCAGGATTTATTGGGGAAAGGTCATGTACTTTAAATATGCATTTGATGCTTTGAATTTATGGTGTGGATTTGCCCCTCACTTTAAGCTCCTGATTGTTCCTTTGGAGTCATGTCCTTACCTGCCTCTCATCTGCTGTCACATATGTAACCCATGTGGCAGCTGGCCATGGTCTGGGGAAAAGAGTTTCAAAGGCCTAATCAACCTGTGCCAGACCTATGAGACACGCCCCCCTCAACCTGCATTCCTGAAAGAATGTCCATCTATCCTGCCCTGAGCCTCAGATGTTCTGAGGAAGGTCACTTGTGAGTGTCTCTGCCATTTAAGGTCAGTAGCTATTAAATTTACAATGTTCTCAAATGTTGCCCCATCTGTGAAGCTCCCAGCAGAGTCATTTAACTCCTTTTCTTTCCTGATGGCTTTCCTGATGAGCTTTTTTTAGGATTTTACCCCAGGACATATACTGCCACAGGGGCCGGATTAAATCGAACGGATTAGGCCTCCAAAATGGACTTTGGACATGCCTGTAATATGCCATATCACTTTCCTGTTTTACAAGACACAGCCATCTTACTACATGTCCCAATGATTGCCATCTTGCTATATATCCCACTACCTGTTCCTTTGGAGCTGGAACTCTGAACGGTCAGTTTTGAAGGACACTCCACGTCCTCAGTGATCAGAAGTGTTAAGACAGTCTCAGTATTCACACTCTAGTTTACCTGAAGACAAAGGTTTTTAATTTAATAGCTACTGACCTTAAATGGCAGAGACACTCACAAGTGACCTTCCTCAGAACATCTGAGGCTCAGGGAAGGATGGACAATGCTATTAGTACTCCACTGCAAATTCTTTCATAGACAAAATAGCCAAGTAGTTACCTCACACAGAGACATGAAGCTAATTTAATTATCAGCGTGATTTCACACTTCTGAGCCATATAAAGTAATCTAACACATTAATTGCATTTAATGAACATAGTTTTTGAATGAATACCTCTTCGACATAGTCATGACCCACTGGTTGGACCTCACTTTGCAAAGCAGCAAGAGCTGTAGATGTTACTGATTCAGCAGACATATCTGGCTTAATTTCCTGTGTTTGCACTGCAGCAATAGAAGGAGTAGTTTTGATATTTTCTACTGCTTTTAATTCATCCACTTTGCTTCCTGTTGTCTGTAGCTTGTTACCACCTAATATGAAACATTTCACAAGTGAATATTAATTTTCATTACATTTTCGAGTCACATTTCTTGCCACAACCAAGGGGAGGCTGGCCTACTGCTTAAAAACCTGGATATTCTGTAAGTAATAAACAAGCAAGCAAGCAAACAAACCATAGCACAATACTGTAGTATTTTCCTCAAAGAACAGGTAACATAAACAGTTAAATAAATAAAATACAAGTTCAAATAAACTATACGGTTTGTTTTAATAATGACAGCATGGCCTGGGGCATTCAAGAGGACAGGATAATTGGGTGCAAGACATGAGCCTTGACCAAACAAAACTCTATAGCTATTGAAAATGCATTGTTCATACAACATTAGGAGTTGTGTTCCACGGTAGCCCCATGTTCAGTATTGTAATTTCTAATAAAAGGCGTGTTGGAGTAGAGAAGTGTTGATATAATACTTTCCTAAACCATTTGAGTAGCAATTTGTGTGCATGAGACAAACATTGCCATGAGAGAGACAGTGCTTAGAACGGCAAACAGATGCTTGGTTTGATGGGCTTCATGCAGCCAAACTGAGAGAAAATTAGAATTTCCAGTGGTTGTTAAAATCATAGCAGACACTCATTTAAAACCTGTTCTTGCATAAGTTTATTTAGTGTATCTTGCTGAAGTTCTCACTAAAATACGTCAGTACTTACCAACGAAGTTAATTTTGGGTGTGGATATTTTCTTTACAGCAACATTAGCTGGAACTATTGTTGCTTTGTTGTTGGAAGTTGTGCTAAGTAGCACATTGGCGGAAGGAGTAAGAATTTTCACTGCCAAAGATGAAACGGAAGAATTCACAGTGCTGCTGTTAGTTGCAATGTTTGAAGAGACAGCAGTTGGTTTGGAAGCAGATGTTGCAGACGTAGCCTGGGTCACGACGTTTGGTTCGGTTGAAGGAATGGGTTTGCCAAGTTTAGTATGAAGCTTAACCACCTAGAACCACCAATGAAGAAAGTTAATAGCAGAATCTACAAAACTGTTCAACGTCTATTTAGAATCTTGTCTGTACTTCTAAGAGCATGAAAGTATAAGTTTCAATGAACCTTCAAAAGAATTCGCAGAATTCATGAGCGGAAACTTAATGGAGTCTAATACACACATGAAATACTGCATGAAACTGCACCCCAGCCACACCTGCCCCACAACTGATATACTCCCAACTGTTCCTCTGCAAGAGGTACTAACATTCAGTGCCTTTTACATTTGGCACTATTCTGACACTGCCTCTGTTGTCACCTTCGGAGAAGCCAAAAGAGGCTCTAGTGCATAAAGATCTGATTGTGTTCATGTTGGTAGCTAGTACATGGGACACTATGTAGAGATGTGTGTTTGCAGATTTTTTTAATGTGTTGTAGCTCAGTTGGTTAGAGTGGTGCTGATAATGCTAAGGTTGCAGGTTTTTATCTCTGTAGGGGACAGCTGTAGGTTCCTGCATTGCAGGAGGTTTGACCAGTTGATCCTCAAGGTCCCTTCCAACTCCGTGATTCAGATCAGAGCGACTTATCATTCTGTCTCCTCTCTCTCTCTCTCCCTCGCTCCAAATGCAAGCCTTATTCTGATAGGCTCAATTCAGGAGCTCCAAGTGCAACCAATCCCTGCCTAAGGTGGGGGCTCACGTTTACTGCTGAATGAAGCCTTCGCTTGAATTAAAGCCATAGCTATAAAGGGCAAATTGAGAGCACAATTCATTCATTTGAGGCTGAATTACCTAAAGGCATACTGTGTCAGGTAACTGAAAGGTGGGCAGTCCCAGCCTACTATCAAATGTGATGAATTTTGCCTGCCTGTCAGACCATTCATTTTGTCCAGGGTGGGACACTAACTGGGTATAAAACCTGAGAAATGGGAGGGCAGAGGAAGGAGAGTCTTACTTTTTGATGTTTCGCTCCACGAATATGAGCAGCATAAGCATCAGCTCCTGTGCAAGACACATCACACAGTTCACAACGCAGCTGGTTCTGAGTCCCACGAGCAGATGAACTGTTGCTGGTTGTGTTCTGTGATGCTTTCAATGCTGCTTCTTTCTTTTTATGTTTCTGTCCCTCCAAATGTTCTTTGTAAGTCTGTTTAAATCACCACATGAATAACAAGACACATTAGTTCATTTATCATATTATTCTGTTCGTTGAAAAGCAAAGTGCAAGAGATAACCAACATGAAGTTGATTTGCTGCTGAAAAGTATCCTGAAAATACTTTCCTCCACATAATTATACAGTCGTATCTTGGAAGTTGAATGGAATACATTCCGGAAGTCCGTTTGACTTCCAAAACATTCGAAAACCAAAGTGCAATTGGAATATTTTAAACTGAAATAACCCTGAAGCGAAAAACTTATTGACCCTGAATATTTGGCATATACTAATTGTTTCATTTTACGAAGCAATTAAGTTCATAATCAGAAAGCAGCAATACCTGTGGTCCAGCACAGCTGATCTTACAAACATCACAATAGTGGATCTGGGGTGGTTTGGGAGGCTGTTTTGGTTTCAACTGTTTATTTTGGAATGGTGCCTTTTTAGTGAAGGTGGTCCCTGTCCAGGCGGCTGTCGCAGCAGCAGCAGCAGCTGCCGCCGCCGCCTGTTTCTGTTGCTGCTGCTGCTGTTGATAGTAAGATGATGCAGCTGAATATACTGCAGCCTCATAGCCAGAATACGATGTACCTTTAAATGATCAAAAAAAGTTGTAAGTTGTAAGCACATTAACATTAAAGTCTGAAAATCTAAATGTAATTAAATGCACAGTGCACACGAGAGTATCCCTTAATTAAGGAGAATTTCAGCATTAACATAGATGCACAAAACTTGTACTTAAAAGTAAAACCAATATTCTCAATCTGTACATCCAAGCAATGCTACACAGCCAGAAAAGAGGAGTTTATTTCAAGTTAAAAAAGCAATTTTTTTTCTAGTGGAGCAATGCCAACATCCACAAACATACAGCAAACCTGTACAATCAGTCCAACATAGATCTGTAAGGCATCACCTCGTGCCTGAAAAGGTTGATGATACCTGCTCTACACCAACAGTCTGCCATCAAGACTCTTTTTCACCTGTCCTAAAGAGTCTGAATTTGTAATCATACCATTACCTTAGAGTAAGTCCAACTGGCCATAGTTGACTTACTTCTGAGTAAACCTGCACACAATCAGCACATTTGATAAAGCAAAAGTTCCCAAGAAGTAATTTGAGTACAGAACCTGTCTTTGAAAAATCTAGACATGTTCAGCACAGCATTTGTACCTTTGATCTTACAAAGGCATCTAAATAGTCATTTCTAGCCTCCAATATCCCTTCTTCAAGCAATACTCACCAGAATAAGTAACTGCTGTTGTACTATATGTAGCACTTTGGGTATACGAGGGAACAACGGTAGCTGCTGCTGCAACTGGTTGCACAGTGGAAGATACAGGATATATGGAGAAAGTAGTAGTAGCTGGGCTTGGAGTGGCTGGTTTTATGGCTGTCACTTGACGAGTTTGCTGGGCTTGAGTATACTGAGTTGCTCCTTGGCTATAGCCGGCTTTTGGAGCTAATTAAAACAAAGCACATATTTACATGTATATTTCAATAATCATGTAAACAATTATAATTTAAAAATCAATTGCATTTAATTTTTCACTTTATCTTATTATTCAATAAGGCAGACAATATGGGAATAAATCTCACCCTACACTTTAAGCTCTGCACTTGGAACTTCTATTATAAAAATATCCCTATACTAATGGGATTGGAACCGTTTCTTAAAGCTTGTGCTTTTACTTTCAGTGCAACGCTTAAACTAACACGTTTACCTCCACATTCTTTGAACGCACATAAACCGAAAACAGTGATAAAAAAACTAATTGCAATGTATGCTTATTCCACATTCCTATCTGATATTTTATCCACCAATATGAACTTGGTGCAGCCACAAGACTTATTTATATGAAAAAAAATTCCCACCGACATCTGGTTTAATGAAAAGAGGTGATTAGCTCCCAGTTAGGATGGGGCTCCAATATAAAACGCACCATACAGATATGTCCAGAAAATAAACTAATTTGAGTTATACCAAAAAACTCTCTAGTTAAAAGCAATTAACCCCCCCATTACTCTGCAACAATTTAAAGCATCTGACTCTGCTCCTTTCCCATTTCCTTCACACATAGCCATTTGCTCCCCATCTGAATAGACTAGTTGTAAAACAGCACCAAGGCACATGAGACTACATATGCACAGAAGCATACATTAGAGTGACACTCTCAAAAGCTTTGGACCTTATTTGTGGCAGTCACAAAAAAGGTTGTTCTCCAATGACTTAAAAGTTCAGAATGGCCAGATGTTTTACCTAGCAAACAGACCCTCCAAGTCCTAAGAAGATAAAACATGGCATGCACTCTGTGATGCAGTCGTGTTAGAATCCTTCTTTGAATAAAGCATTTATTCAAGCTAGACAATTGTTAAGATTCGCACATCTGGGCCCTAACTGCTTTACAAACACTAAGTCAACCACCAAACAGTTAACCATTGAAAACCAAGCTACTAACAAACTTTTATTTACTAGATTCTGAGCATCTGCAGATGGCAACACATTTGTGAACTATATCACAACAAAAAAGCTGGAGTTCTCTTTAAAACTTGCAACTCACCTGTTTGGTAATACGATTCAGCCACAGAAGGCTGTGGCTGGGCAGCAGCTGCCACTGCAGCTGCAGTGGCTGTGGGTTGTTGATAGTATTGCTTGCTGTCATAAGCTACAGCTGGGGCAGTAGATCTAACATATGAATAGGTGTCCTTAAGAAGCATGGGAAGGGGGGGAGAAACACATGGACATTAGTTTTTCCATTAAATATATGGACTATTACTGAATTATTTTGATTATTCTAATTAATCAGACTTTAAAATAGTAGAAACATTCAACAGAATTGATAAGCTACATTTTTGAGGATCAAACTATGTATTTTTTGCCTCCCAAGATTGCTAGATTAAATGAAGCTAGTACTAGACATCTTGCATTAAAGAACCAAATGTTCATGTCCTGTTAAGCCTTTCCCCCTACGTTTTTTTAAAATGCTATATCACCATTACTTTACCCACAAGACACCAAGCACAAACCTCTACATTAGGCTGGAGAACCTCCAGTGTTACAAGCCAAATTTATCTCATAAAAAGTTTTCCCCAGACCGCACCGACCTTCCCCATACCAGGTGCCATATGTGACATCAGGTGTGGAGCAGGTAGATATTGTTGTGAAACTGAGCTCTCTTTGGGGGATTCACGCACACAGCTGACCCCTGCAGAAAGCAGTTTTGGCAGCCCTATACTTGGTGCTGGGGCTGCAGGTCCCAAGCACCTGGCAACCAGCTGGCTATCATGTGCTTAGAAAGCACTGCACAAAGCCACCTGTCCATCATCTGACAGCATAATTCCATTTGGTGATTGAAGGGTCAAATTTGGCCTGCAGGGGTGTGGACAGAAAACAAATCTGGCCCACTGGGACAAAATGATTCTCTGCTCCTGCTCTACATTAAGAAGGGTTTTCAGTCTTCAAATAGACACTATTTTGTGCTCCACTGTGAAATGAAAATGTTTGCTAACACAGCCATACATATTTCCACACAGTTGACTTCATACACTCTGTTGCAGGAATGGTGATACTGAGACCTCAGGGTGGTATTCAGTTAAATAAACTTGTGGGCTCAAGCCTCCGTCATTACTCAATGATTTGGAAAAGGTACTCTATGCCTACTCAAAGGCACTCCTATTTTATACGTTCTATGGTATGGCTCAGCACTGGAATTCAAAAAAGGATTTGCAGTTGATATCCACTGCCCTCATCATATGGTTTAATTTTGAGAAATCCTTGGTTTATTTTTTTAAAAAAATTGTAATCCTCACTTTTGGAAAAGGGTTAAAAAAAATAATCTTACAGTATTGCTTTAACATACATACACTTCCTTTCCCTTGTACAATAAATGACATTAAACGATTGACATTGTTCTCATAGCTGCACATTTTTCCAGACATAACCATATGCAGATACAACAAATACAGCAATGTTCAAATACCAAAAATAAAGTAACTTACAATTGCCTTTTATCTCAGGTTGTGTATAATAATCTACTAATATCTCACATATGTTGTAGCCTGCAGGCATGTACAGTGCTAAATAATTAATAGTTCTGCAGCATGCTGATGAGGTGGTTATGCTACAGTTAATAATTTGCTAGGAATGTTCAGTGGCTAATAATTATTGTTACTTTCCACATTAAGTAATGTTTAACATATTTCTTCCCCTAGGTGTTATAGTGCTATCCTCAGGTTTTTAAAAATATATTTGACTATGCGATGATCAAGCTAAAGGAAAAAAAAAGATTTCTGTACTGTCTTACCAAACATATGGGTGCATGGAAGTACCACTGAAGGCATCTACAACAGCAGTAGCACAGGAAGTCCCCCAAGAGGCTATCCCAGGGGCAGATGGAGCTGAGCCAGTCCAGGATGTGCTGGATCTTAACCCAGTCCCACTGTTGTCACTGGACTTGATTTGTGCTTGATCAGTACACCAACTTCAGGCTGGCACAGCGATTTGCCTGTCCCCATGCCCTCTGCCAGCATCAGTGACAGGGCTGAAGATGTGGCGGTGGATCTGCTACCCTATTACATTTCACCGCTACTCACTCAGGGTCTGTTCTGTGAATTACTGGCCTAAACTACATAAGAGTTATACATGCACATTCTTACTCTATATTTAACATATTCTATCGCCCATAATGTTTTAAAAGGTGAAAGACTCAATTTCACAAGTATTATGGTCTATCCATTAAGTACCTGGTAATTTTGTGTAGTGACTGGAGGTGGCGGCGGAGGAGCTTCTTGCTGTCTCTGTGTATAACCATAGTCTGTTGCTGTATGTGCCGTTGGGTAACCTCCATAGGCTGCCGCTGTTGCAGCAGCTGCAACGGCCACTGGAGCAGGCCTTGCAACTGCAACCGTTGCTGCTGCTGGGGCATAGGCAGCAGTAACTGTGTGTGCAGCTACAGGAGCCTGATGGACAGTGTAGCTTGCAACTGTAGTTGGATGGGAATAGGCTACACCTGAAGCTGGCTGCTGGCTGTAATAGAAAGACAAACACAAGAAATATGATGATGTTGTAATGTCAGACACCTAACAGCAAAGCTGCTTAAATTGTCCAAATTTAAGGGGAGCTTAAAAAAGGCTAAACTAAGTCTGAAACACAAGCACAGTGATCAGGAGTTTAAATAAGTCATGGAATTCCCATTTCTCAAAACCTTTCAATGGGGCCTTTCACTTTTATGGTCTTGGAAAAGCTCAGTTGCGCAAACATGAGGCAAACTTCACAAGGTTAGCGAAATCGGCACTGAACATTAATGCTACTCAAAAGCAAAATAATTTAGAGTACAATCCTATGCATGTATACTCATCAGATGTAAATCTCACCGGGAGTTCATTGCCAGGAAAGTGCACAGGATTGCATCCTTAACCAATGAACCATTTTTAACAAAATATAATTTTGAGAGGATATTTTTTGATGTAAAACAAACTTACATAAACCAGAAGTGGAGAACCTCCAACCCACAGGCCAAACCTGCCCTACCAGGGCTCCCCATTTGGTTCCGATGTATTTTTGGGCAAGCCACACGTTTGAAATCCTTTTGCAAGCAACCTTACAGTGCTCTCTGAACCCCTGATATTTGAAAGTTTAGAGAGGGCTGTTTGCAAAAGGGCTTTCAAATTGCCCACACTGTGCTTTAAAGTCCTAAAACCAGGGCTTCAAACCAGTATAACCTAATGACAATGTGACATCAGTTGATTTGACAGGTAGGGAGATACTGGCTAGAAATGCTTACCCACACCTGCTTTAAAAATATGTATAGATCAGAGTCAGGTAATTGGTTTTATAGCTATACTGCATCTAAGAAAAGTACGATTTCACATCTCCATATAAAACAACTACTGTAGAGTAAATGCTTCCAAACACTCTGCAGTGCAATAGAACCAAAGAAACAGAGTCAGATATAGATTCCTAGAATGCTCCCAGGAAATGGAAAGCCTCAAAAAAAGCACACCTGAAAATGTATTTGCAGCTAATTTCCTGCGTGGGAAAGTGTTTTCATCTCCCACACTAACACATACAAAGAAAAGTCATGTAAGCACCATATTCATGTGATTATAAACATTTAGATCACTGGTAAGCAACCTTGATAACTGTGTGGGCCACATTTGGTTGAGGGCCATGTACAAATTAACCCTCCCCCGCACACAGATAGAGGGTGAGGAGGGATGATACATGATGGAAAGAGATTCTGTCATGTGTTTCTCATGCTCCCCAGCCGACTGGCACTGAAAATCATGCTTCCTCCACCCCCAAGCCCATCGAACAGCTGTTTAGCATGCTGTGGGAAGAACAACCGCAAGTGAAGACAGACCCACTGGGAGTCATCCCTGTGCATCTTCTTATCCTTGTAAACTGGGTTCCCTGCAGCCTGACAAACAGCTCTTTGACAGGGTGAAAAGAACATGTGGCAGGAGCTGAATCCCAGGATAGAAGGCTAGGAATTTCGTAACAGGCCACATTAAGGCAGTGTATCGTCAACTTGCAGGCAGGGACCATTTTCATTCTTGTATAGCAATTAGTAATTTTAGGTGCACTATTTTGTATTACAAGCATAGCAATGTTGAGTGCAGTTCAATTCCTTCCCACTCACATTTCTGACCATCCCATTATCCAGCATCCTGGGTCCACCGAACATCTTATTTTAATTGGGCTGTTCAGGGGTGAGGGGCAGAATGGGGTGAGTACTCTAGTGTCAAAGCCAGCTACGTTAAAAAACTGTTTTTCTCCACTGATTTCTAGAGGCAGCTCTTACTTCTATTCTGATGACATTTAAATAGGCTGTTTGGGGGAAGGGGTCCTTTTTTGTAGTTTTGGGGTTAATCAGAGACATGTGTTTGGTTACTCCTTCCTCATGCATGTGTGGAGCAATTGCGACTACATAACCTCAAACATTCAAAAACAAACTGGTATAAGTGTATATATGATATGATAGTATAATTAGAAAAAAAGGAAGATTCAGCTGAATCTACAGAGAAAGTAAGAAGAAAATAATAATAAGCAACATACCCTTCATGAAACAATCATTCTAGCAACCTCCAATGACAACTCCTATCTTGCAAGAATTGTCCAAGAAAATACCCCAAGAGGAAAGTTCTTTTGAAAATGCCATCTTTGAAGAAATGCTTCAAGTAGCAACATAATTATATTTATGCTTAAATATAATGCAAAACAAAAGTAGGCTCATAGAATGCTTAAAAAGTGATGTTAGGAAAGTGAAGCCAACGTTTTCATTATTTTGAGAAGAAAGGCAGTGAAATGTCATTCATTATAATGATGAAGCAGCAAATCAAAAGTATATATACCATTTAGAAATATTTGAAATGTTTCATGTGAAGAAAATGTATTTTGTTATGGCACAGAATGAACAGCCTTAACATTATTCATTCTAAGGCTGGTATAGTTCTGTTACCACATTTACTTTAGCAAACCTGTTCCCCTTGCGTCTGCCACAACCCGCAGAGCCAGTGATCGAGTTTGCAAGATTTTACAAATTGTAGGATTTGACCTCCTAACTCCTGGGTAGAGAAGCCTCCCTCAACCTTGTATTCTGAGGCACATTGGCAAGAACTAGTAACTTCTGCTAATCCCCTTTAAGCAGAAACTGTGTGAAAAGGAGAGAGTTAAAATAGTGTCTCAAACGCCAATTCTTCCCTTCTCTTTGGTCTGAATAATTTCTCATGACAACTGATCTATGCATAGCCTGTTCCTTGTTGACTCCATTCTTCTACTAATCCCCCCACACATACATAATTTAGTACTGAATCAACATTTTTAGAGATTCTTTTCATCTGTGATCATACCTAGGAAGTTGTGTGTCCCCCCCTTTCTAATGGGAATCAGTAGTTCTGTCATTTTTATTAGCAATAAGCTATCACTGTCATAGAAACATGTTGTATCACTATAATACCATGGTAATTCATAGTTCGTAAAATAATTTATGATGCTCTTCTTTATAGCTGTATTAAAGCATGCCTAAACTCTAGAGAAGTTTTGACAGAATGGAGACAACTGTTCTGTTCTAATCACTATTTCTGCATATGGAGTAATTCCATCCTCTACCTAAAACTTTGTTGTATCTTTGCTGTATTTGAAGCTCTTCCACAGAAGTATTCCAATCAATTGTGAAGTTAAGATCTCTTATAAGAAAAATAAGTAATTTTATATTCCTTCAGAGTTTCAAATAAAAAGTAATGTTTTTTTACATAAAATACAGAGTTTGTTGGACATATAGTAAAATCTGGATAAGAAATATAACAGCCCAGATTTTTTATTTTGCCAATGAATAAAAAGAAAGTCCTAACAGATAGGATTTATTTTAAAATGTATCAGTCATTCAAAGATTTAATCTACAAAGCCCTATACAGCTCAGGACCTCAATATCCTCATGAAATGCTTCTCCTAACTTGATCAGGCTGGGAGTGCCTTTCACCAGTTTTATTTGGCATGCCATTACAGTCATCTTGGGGTCAAGATAACCTGGCCACTGTTGTACATGCCCTGCTAACCTTGAGACTGGATTACTATAATATGCTCTACATGGGGCTTCCCATGGCCATGGTCCAGAAACTTAACCTGGAGCAGAATGGAATGGCAATAATGCTGATGGAGGAGGACAGCCAACAGCATGCGACAGCCTTGCTATAAAAAGTTCTACACCAGCTGCTTGTATGCCATAGGTCCAGGTTCAGGGTTCTTGTATTAATCATTATTGAGATAATTTTGTATTGTTTTTACAGTATATTATGTTTTATTGTATTCACGTATACCAGTATATTGCGCACTGACTTGCTATTTTATTTGAGCGGACAATATATAAATAAATATAAAGTACATTCCATATTGTTGTTTTATTGTTAAAGGTGAGGATGGCTTTTTGTTATATATGCCACCTAAATAAGTTTTGTATGAGGCACTAAGTGTTATCCATAGGCTATAGGGCATCTGCGCAGACGCGATTTCTGGCACCGCGGAAGCAAGTCCCTGTGCTGTGCTGGTTTAGCGCAGCGCGCGGGGACTCACCAAGTGGGCGGCTCAGCTCGGGGGCCGGTTAAATAACCCCCGTGGGCCACTTGTGGCCCATGGGCCTTAGGTTGCCAACCCCTGCTATAGAGACAACAAAATGCAAGAAATGAGCAGGGAATTTCTAAGAAGTGGAAACAATATTATTTCCAGTAATTACAGAACTGGAAAATCTATTTGGGCTTTCGACAATTCAGAGTTGTACTTCTTCAAATGGAACACTGGAAAGGAAGATTTGTCAAGTCTGCAAGTACAACTGTTACACTGTGGCTAGAGAGAATTCCATCAAGTTAGAAATCTTACACAGGGAACAGCATACCCATGCATTATTATTAAGACTCAAGACCAAATAATGGAGAAGTCTGTAAAGTATTTTTCTGCTGTACTATGCAAAACGCCGAATCCAGAGAAATAAACTGAAGGTTGGCTACATACCTTTCAAAAATGTTATTTCCAACAATATGAACAAGATCTCAAGCACCATGCAGAATACATGCAGTTGCACATTTCCCCATTTCCAAAAGCCATTCTAATTTCAGGAAACCACTTCACAAGGAGGAAGCATCTTTAGCCCTCTCCCCAGATTTGAATAGCTTTGCACATGCAGTTCTTTGGATCTCAGCCTCTGCTTATTTCAGGAATATAAACTTTTAAGACGGAGTGCCATGAAATATGCAAGTGTTTACCATGAAATAAGCAACTGATTTAAGTTAATAAAATACTGTTCCAATTGTTAAAACCTAAGAGGTGTAGCAATTTCATTTCACATATGACCTAGCAGCTGTAAATAAGCCTGAAACAATAAAAGCATTTTATGTGGATATTTGAAGCAAGAAAATGATTAGACCAGGCATCCCCAACCTTTGGCCCTCCAGATGTTTTCTACTACAATTCCCATCATCCCTGACCACTGGTCCTGTTAGCTAGGGATCATGGGAGTTGTAGGCCAAAACATCTGGAGGGCCGCAGGTTGGGGGTGCCTGGATTAAACAATTGCCATCAATTGACAAGTTTTCAAGTTCAAGGTTTACCTCTAAGACATACTAATTATACAAGAGATCACAAAGTTGGTGAAGTAAACTTATATATAAAGTAGTGCTGTCATTACAGTTATCTTCACTATGCCAAAATCTGACAAAAATACAAATTATTTTAAATTGGAGGTATTTCCACAGTAAACAAAACGATTTAACAAAATGGCCCAATTCTTAAAGAGGAGACAGACTGTCTTTCAGATGCAATAAATGTTCCTTTCACTGGGGATAATTTCAGCTAAGTGAGGAACTGTATGTGCATGCTATTTTGAAGTTATGTAATTAAGAAGTTATGAAATTTATCATCTCTTTCAAAATCATTCCATTTCAAGTTTCATTTGGTAACACCTGTTCCCGAAATTATGAAAAATTGCACAACCACACCATACTGAACATTTAGTTTAAGAGTTCCCCCAAAATAGTGTACGTATTTATAGTTTTTAGAGCCAAGTCATCACAAAGCAACATACATATTTTACAAAAATGTAAAATACATGAGGCACATAATATACTATGGGAAAGCTGCTCTGAATCACACGAGCCATGAATTCTCAAAGTCTGCACTGAGGGGGCCTAAAGGAAACACTGTCAGTTCTTAATAATGAGTAGGTCAGACTATAGCCTTTGCCTTTGTAAACCTTATACTATAAACCACCCTATGATCTTTGGATGGAGGGTGGCATAGAAATTTAATAAATAATAACAAACGTCCATTTTTTTTGCAGCAGGGCACAAATATTCAGCTGGGGTTGGATTCTAACATTCATTCAGGAAGTTCCAGGAATGAAAGTTTCCTAAGCCCTCTTTATTTCTGAAGCTACCCTTAGAGGCTTTGGAGAGGCGGGAACAGGAACCTCTTCTTCCATGAACTTCCTTAACTTATTTTAGGAGCCAAAGCCCTGGATGATAAGCCATCAGTCCTTACAGCCTGCCTATATTTTATACTTTACCTTATTTATTTTGAATATTAAAAAATCGTCTAAGATATCACAGAACTCTGCAATAGGTTTTGGAAGTCAAACATTTAAGGGAGGATACTGAATGCATACAGAACACAAAAGTCAGTATGTAGTGGGAGAAATATAGTTGGAAAATACAGGTTTTCCAAGGCCTGGCTGGGGAGACTAAGGGAAGGAGTGTGGATGCAGAACTGAAAGAAATAGAACGCGTTTAAAGCTGCAACCCTGTGCCTGTTTGCTGGAAAGCAAGTCTCACTGAACAATCTGGGGATACCTAAATATAGAATTGTAGAGCTGCAAGGGATACCAAGGGTCATCTAGTCCGACCCCCTGCAGGAACCTCAATTAGATGATCCACGACAGATGGCCCTCCAACCCATAGCTGCCAACGTTTCCCTTTCTTTAAGGGAAATTCCCTTATTCCGAATAGGATTCCTCGCAAGAAAAGGGAAAAGTTGACAGCTATGCTCCAACCTCTGCTTAAGAGCCTCCAAGGAAAGCGAATGAATCCTTCCAGCAGAGTCTGTTCCATTGCCGTACAGCTCTCGCTACCAGAGTCTTCTTCATTAGCATGCGCAGGACGGGGCTGGAAGGGCGGAGAGGAGAGGCGGCGGCAGAATCACCAGGCTGGAGGGGAGGAGGAGGAGGCGGATCCAGCCCTACGGCAGGACGGGGAGCCCTTATTCCAATGCACGACCCGAAGCAGGCCTGACGACGCCGGCTCCGCCCCCCGTCGCCGCACACAACACGCATCAACACCTCCGCACGAGCATGCACATGCGCCGGCGTTTGCGCGCATCTCCTCTCCAAGGTCTCCGCTGCGCCAGGAAAGAAGGGGGGCCGGGGAAACACCTCCCCCCCCGCCCGCCCGCCTTCTCTTTACCTGTACTGGGCAGCAGCCCCGGTGTGGGTGAACCCGAAGTAGTTGCCGGTGGCCATTTTGGCATCTTCCCCCAGCCGGCTGGGCACTGCAGCAGCGACATGGAGGGGAGAGAGAGAAAGAGAGAGGGGCCTTGTCAAAAACCAGCACACCTGAGGCGAGAGGACGCATTGCCGCCGCCCCTCCTTTCCGCCCTCCGACCGGCTCGCCAAAGCGGCCGTTACTCACCATAGGTGAAAGAGACTACCGGGCATATGGGAATCATGAGTCCGGGCTGACAGAAATGGCGGCGGTGGAAACACACTCTCTACCTCCGGCGCTCGCCCCGCTCCGAGGACGACGCCGCTACTGCTGCTGCTGCTCCGGGTTCACTGATTTCGACGCCGCCGCCACCACCGTCGCAGGCAGGCGCGCAGGTTGCTGGCTCGTCTGGCTCTCCCCTCCCACACGCCGCCCGCCGACCGACTGACCGACCTACGAGGATTCAACGGGCGAACTGAGGAGCCAGGCCTCTCCGTGGCGCATGCGCGGCACTTGCTAGGTTGTAAAACAGGGAAAGGGGACGGCGGGAAATGTAGTTCTTCTCCTTCCTCCCCGCCGTCCTTCCTGGGTTCCTCTTGGTCGCCGCGAGGCAGGAACGTGACGCGGGCGGAGACTTTCGGCGCGTGCGCACGAGGCGTGCGGAGGCTGTCGGGAAACGTAGTTTTCTGGCCAGGGCGCGGTTTCTTCTCCATTCCAGTTCGTTTTCCTTACCCGGCCTTTTACGAAGTGCACTGTGTTGTGTTAGTAAAATCACATGGAGACACTCCAGACTTGTTTGCGGCTCCTCTGCACAAAAGAAACTTGACCCAAAAGTGCTCACGATGAGAAGCCCACAATCCAGTGCAGAATTAACGTTGTTTAAGCCATTGATATCAGTGGGTTAAGTAAGCATATCGTACTTCTGCTGAATTGTGACCCATTTTTGCAATTTAGTGCTCTAATAAAGATATGATCAGTAGGACTAAAATTGTGTTTCTCAGATACATTGCATATGATTTATAAATTTAATTGTTATTGGTAGATCTCTTATTACAGTATTATGGCTATTACACTGTTATTGCACAGCAATATCCAACTCCCCACTTCAGTTGCACATCAGTATTCCTTTGCAGCCTCTCCAGGGATAATAATTGTGCCATTGTTACCAAGCTGCTGTGTGGGATTCAAGGACCTTTCTTCAAGCTAACAGTTATGTTCTTTATCCAGCTTTCAAATCATAATGCGGGTTCTCCTTACGCCCCCACTGCTGAGTCATTTGTGGTGTACAACAATAATCTGCCATCTTCTAGTCAGCACCAGCCTGGAGCCAGAACACTGTAGGGCAGGGGAACCCCATTACCAGGCCCAGTACAGGGAGCAAGGGGAGTTAGTGGAGCTTGCCAAACATCCTGAGACTACACCCTGGAAGATGCTTAATGTGGTATGACTACAGATTCAGACATTTACATGTTTTAACTGGTTCATATAAGCTCCAGAAATTCCACACTTAACCCACAGAGTAGAGACAGTGGTGATTTAGAGCAGAAGTCTAGATCAGGATGATCTGTGCATGTCTGATATCACAAAGCCTCCAACCCTGAACCTGCTCGAGAGAAGGAAACAAACTAGTGTGTGCTCTGGATAGGGTGCAATAAAAGGAAGCAGGTGGTGGAACAGCAAAGGCAGCTATAAAACTGCTCAATTTGGCACTTAATATTGCCAACAAAGGTCCGTATAGTTAAAGCTATTGTTTTCCCAGTAGTGATGTATGGAAGTGAGAGCTGGACCATAAAGAAGGCTGATTGCGGAAGAATTGATGCTTTTGAATTATGGTGTTGGAGGAGACTCTGCAAGAACTGCAAGAAGATCAAACCTATCCATTCTGAAGGAAATCAGCCCTGAGTGCCCACTGGAAGGACAGATCTTGAAGCTGAGGCTCCAAGACTTTGGCCACCTCATGAGAAGAGAAGACTCCCTAGAAAAGACCCTGATGTTGGGAAAGATTGAGGGCACAAGGAGAAGGGGACGACAGAGGGCAAGATGGTTGGACAGTGTTCTCGAAGCTACCAGCATGAGTTTGACCAAACTGCAGGAAGCAGTGGAAGACAGGAGTGCCTGGCGTGCTCTGGTCCATGGGGTCACGAAGAGTCGGACACGACTAAATGACTAAACAACAGCAATTGCAACACCTCATTTTACTCAATTCCATGTCACTCTGTGAAGATGATTTCCTAGCGACTGCATCTTGTCAAAATGCTGCTGGACAGCTCTTTGGTTCTGTTTCTAAGATGGGAAATCCAAGCACACATCAAGGGTGGAAATGGACAATACTGGCACTTAGGGGATATTCTCTATGGCATTGCTGGCAATGAATGACCCAATTCCTCTCCCAACTTCTGAACATTTTACAAACTGTATTTTGTTGGCTTTGCAATTCTCTAGGAGTCAACACCTCAGGTATGCTGTTCCTCAGGTACTCCTACAGACCTTAATTTTAAAAGTTGCAGAAAATGAAACACTAATACCAGGGCTTTTTTCAGGGGTTACTCAACGGTATGCAGTACAGCATCTCTTTTTCTTGTTAAAAAGTGTGGCACTTACAGAGTACCGGCATCTCTTTTTCTAGAAAACAAAGCACTGACTAATACAGTCTGAAGGCTCCTCTACTTATTCATGTTCTCTCAACCTGAGGCTTGGGCAAGGAAGGGGCATTCATATTCCATTCCAGAGTGGCAGCTCTGCAGCAAAAACAAGGGAGTCTTGCAGCACCCCAAAAGACGAACAACTTTTTATAGCAGGAAATATTAATAGATTTTTTTAAATATAAGTTGCAATTATAACAATGTTTACCCGGTAATTAGTTTTTTAATGATTGCATTCCCATGTTTTTAGCTGTTCTTACTTTAAATATAGAATGATGGTGATGATAAACTTTCATAGAATACAAGCTACATGCTTTGAACATACAAGTGGCACATAATACCCATTCCACATTTGTAATAACTTTCAACGTGGCAGCACATTGCACTTTGGAATTCCCTGTCTATTGTATTAAGATCAAGCCGGCGCTATACTCCTTTCCACGCTTGCCGGAAACATTTTAGACAAGCCTAGCCAGAAGCTTATAAAGTTGAGGCGACCTAAACCAGTTTCAGTGTTTTAACCGTTGTATGTTGTAAATCAGTGCTGTGATTTTTTTCTCAGTTTTATCGTGATATTTTTTGAGGGTTTGAAAAATGAATTTAATAAATGAAATCTTCGATTTTTATTTTTTTTAATTTAAGATGGTTGATGCTGCACGCATTTCTACGTCCCACGAGTCACCCACACGCTTAAAACTCCTCTTGCCTCGCCGCGCGCAGCGCGCTAACTTCACGCACGGTGTGCGTGCGCCCTCACGCGGTCTTTTGGAGTGGGCGGGCCGCCGGAGCTCACGTCACTTCCGCTTTTGCAGCGGCGTGGGGCGGGGATAAAAAAGGCAAGCCGAGAGGAAGGCAGTGAGAGCAGCGGGCTCTGAGTGGAACGTGAGTGCCGCTTTTTCCGTTACTCCTCGCGCGCGCTCCCCAGCCCTCTTCCCGTGGCTCTTTCTGCGGGGGCGGGGGGTCACGTTCGAATGGAACTCTCGGCCCTCGCTGTTGCCTGCGCGCGCGGCGCGGCGGTTTGAGCCGCCATGTTGGGCTCCTCGGGACCCGAGTCCCTGAAATGAGAGGCGGCGGCGACGCTCGCCCCTGAGAAGCGAGGGAGCCATGGGACAAATAACTGCTCCCTATCGGTGCGGGTCGTGTTCGGACTCCCCATTCCCTAATTCTAAAGGGGTGGAGGGAAACATGAGGGAGGAGGCGGCGCAGCAGCCCAGAGGCTGCCATGTTGGGGAAGGGAGGGGGCAGAGAAAGCATCCGAGGGAGGGAGAAAATGGCGGCTGGGAACCGCCCCCCAGCTCGACTTGGCCTGGGGGGATTCCCACCTCACCGTCTTGGCCCAGGTCCCCCACCCCCACCCCGGCTTCATCTGCACGCCTGTCTTAAAGGCGCCGTCTCTGGTCCTCCATACTATGGTCTTGTCTGTCTGTCTGTCTTTCTCTCTCTCTCCCCATCTTCATCTTGGCTGGTTACGGGTCCCCGGTCGGCAGAGCACGATAGGGCCGTGGGTTCGAGCCCCACGCTGGGCAAAACGGTTCCTGCATTGTAGGGGGTTGGACTAGATAACCCTTGGGGTCCCTTGTGACCAAACGGTTCTCTGATTTTCTGGCAACCTGCTCCCCTCCCGCTTTTCCTCCACATGGGTGTTACTGGGGCCTTGGGCTGCACTCTCTCTCCTTTTACTCAAATGACGGGAAAACCCCCCCCCCCAACAAAACCATGGCGCCTTCTAGGATACCTTGGCCCCAACAGTGACGCACACTCTGCATTTTAAGTGACCCGCCATCTGCTTTTTCCTGTGTTGTAGCCTCACCTTCCTGTTCCACCCTCCGCCTCTTGAGTGGCCATTTTGTCCCTTGGGTGCCCCATGTGGCACAGGACTTGAGGCACCATTGGGTGGCAGCAAGAAGCTCAGCAAGTAAATGGCAGAGCCAAGCCTGCCCCTGGTCTGTTGCCCCCAATTTGAAGCAGTACCAGAACATAGAGTGTGGGATGGCACACAACATACACTATTGATGTCTTGCTTTAACCATGGGCTTAGTCACATTTTAGCCTATTCCAAGTTCATTTTCCTTCTACATTTACACATGCAGCTGCACTACATCATCTGTTAGTTCCCTCTCCTCTTTATTCTATAGACTTAAATGCACACAGGTCTGTATGCTCATCTTGCCATCACCTCTCTCCTCCCAAATTCCCTTCCCTTTTGCTCTTTTGAAAATCTTGGTTCTTGGTGAATTAAGTGGTAATAGCACATAAAGTTCTCACTGTACCTTCACAGTTCATACAGTGAGAGAATCTCAGATACAGTATGGCTGTAGCACATGCCTCTGAATCCAGAAAGACGGGATGTAACACAGGCGTGTTACTTACATTCTGTCGTCATGTGGGTGGGCCTCAGATGTTCCTGCAAAGAAATTGAGGCCAACAAATACGGGGATTTCTATTTCCTCCAGGAGGATTGAAGTAGTCAGGGAGGAGTTGCAGTTGGGTAAGCTAGTGTGAAAGCCTGTAGTGGTGCAACATAGGTGGGCAGATTTCTTCCTAAACCAGAGGTATTTATGAATGATAGGGCTGTGCTATCCCAGACATTGGTGGGTAGGTTTCTATCAGTTAAGCATAACCCTATGCTCTGCATCTCCCCTCTCCCAAGAATACTACTAGCATTTTTCAGTCTTCACCCTCTTCTCTCAGTATGCCTATCCTGTTAATCTTCCCGCCCCCAGGACTCCTCCCTTGTAATATCCAGGGATCTACCTGTCTTCTTTATACTGCCCTCCATATCTGTATTTCTAGTGTTTGTCTCTTCCTATTTTTTAATCCATTTTAATTGCCTTGATATGGTTTTCCCATTTGCATTGAAACTGCTGGGCTCTGGCTATTTTACTACTTTTTATTCCTTACAAGCTGGTCTCTGACCGTAATAATAAATTATTATTATTATTATTATTATTCCATCCATCTGCCATTTCCCATGTTTCTTATATTTCACTCAAATTTATACCACAATTAATTTGTGATGGAAGAAAGGTTGGATATAATAAATATAATAAATGCCTTTCCCCTTAATTGCCTTAGTGAAGCACCTGAAGCCTGCTTGTTTAATTTTTCTGAGAAGTTAAACATGTCATTGGTGTGGTGTGGTCAAGCAAATATACTTGCCTGGAGAAAAGCTGTATGATCTCTGATGAAGCTGCATATTTAACTGCTTTGTTTTTTTCTCCCATGTGTTATCTTTTGGAGCCGGAATCGGAAGCCACGCCTTGCCTAGAGAGAGAGAGAGCCAGAAGTTCTTTAAAGGGTTAAGTGGGAAGAATTCCTGATATATATGAAAGCAACATTAGATGATGTCTGCTGGATCAGAACAAAGGCTCATCCAGCCCAGTATCCTGTTATCCCAGTGGACAACTAGATGCCTGTGGGAAAGCCGCAAGCAGCACCTGATGCACTTGTGATGAATTTCCTTGCTGTTTATATTCAGAGGCATCTTGCCTCCAGCAGTAGAGTTAGAACACAGCCATCTTGTTTCATTCTGAAACTGGAATAACAAATTGGTATTTCACAGAACATATCCATCGGTTCTGTCATGCCACTTGCAAATTATCACTTAGATTTTGTAGAACATTTTTTCAGCTTTACTCATAAGCAAAAGCATTTATTCAAAGGTGTGATACATTCTGTACTCTGCCACATCTTGTTAGGATTTGTACATAACACCCCAGCTTTGCCTGAGTGCATTATTTACTATTAAACCTTACCACCTGTGAGGTGGATCAGCTTCCTCACAATCCTTGAAAATGCAGTGGTACCTCGGGTTACATACGCTTCAGGTTACAGACTCCGCTAACCGAGAAATAGTACCTTGCGTTAAGAACTTTGCTTCAGGATGAGAACAGAAATCGTGCTCCGGCGGCGTGGTGGCAGCAGGAGGCCTCATTAGCTAAAGTGATGCTTCAGGTTAAGAACAGTTTCAGGTTAAGAACAGACTCCAGAACGAATTAAGTACTTAACCTGAGATACCACTGTACAGGCATTTGCTCTCTTCTAAAACAAATACATTTTTACTTACTGCTGTCTTACTTGCTACGTTGTTTCAGAAGGTGTAAAGTAACCTGATCCCTACTGTTCCTCCATGCAAGTGCTATCCATCTCTCTGCCTTTGCTCTAACAGAGGAATAAGTTCAGATCTATCAGACTATAACAGTATATTCTTCAAACAACAGTTGGATAGGATTGCAATGTGTTAATAGTATTGATTTAAGATAAAGTAACATCCTATATGTGTCTCATTCACTGTCTCATAAGCAGAGAGGACATCAGTTAACCCTATTTAAAATCAAAGCTACCTAACAACCAAGCATTTTGTGTTTCTCTCCATAGTCATTTACTATATATCCCTACTGCCACTTTTCCCCAGTGGTAAGCCCAATGCCAAGATATAGCTCGTATCCCAATTCTTAAATATTACTTTGAAGCCCATTTAATTTCAGTGGAACTTCAGAGCAGTTGTGTGTGAAATGACAATGATGGAGGAGATTGCTTGATGGGAGGGGGTGTGAAATTCTAACAATCACTTAGTGTATGAAGCTTTTTTAAAAAACAACATTTCTTTCCTTCCTAGAATGCCGAAATCAAAAGAACTTGTGTCTTCAAGCTCATCTGCCAGTGATTCGGACAGTGAAGTTGACAAAAAGGTGATTCATTCTCTCTCTCTCTCTCTCTCTCTCTCTCTCTCTCTCTCTCTCTCTGTATATATATATATGTGTGTGTGTGTGTGTGTGTATACACACAAAATATTGAGCAAGAATAAAACAGTGGCACAAGCCACCCAGAAACTAATTTTAAAGTTTATGCTTTCTACTTACACAGAGAAGTGTATAAATGGCTAAGACTTGCATATATGCCTAAAAAAGTCATAACGGTATAAGAGAAATATATCTTCAGGGGAGCTGATTTTACAAATCTACTTTCCTTGTTCTTAAAAAGATAATTAAAATGCACTTCTCTTTAATTGAGTCAGTCTTTTGAGGGCATACTTGTGCTCCTCATGATTTTTTATTTCATTTTAAAGTTATGGAATATTTGGATCAGGATGGATATCTTGATCAGAACTTTTTTATTTTTTATTCTGTTTGTATTTTTTAAATACATCAACCTATTTTAAGGCAATGACCCTTTAAGACCTTTCATTTCAAGTATACCCACAATTCCGGGCACATTTATTTTTCAAGTTCCACTTATACTGGCATTTAGGACCTAGTTAGGCATGTAGAAGATTGCATAGCTCTCTTGTAGCTGAATGCTTTTTTTAGCATGCACAGTCAGTAAAGTGGGGGAAGAATGAATCTCTCAGGGAATTTTTTTTTGTACTTGAGGGGTAAGTGTGATAGGAATTTTATGGTCTTAGATATATGGTAATGTTCATAACCGCACATACATAGATCAGCACAGGAAGACCAACCTGGAACCATTTTGATTCCTAAACTAACCAAATGTTTTCTCTGCAAGGTCAAAATGGAAAAGCCTCCCAATTGTCTTTTCCTTCACAAATCCTGTCTTAAGGGTATATCTGTGTTTGAATAAGGGTGTGAGCCTTATCATTACAAAAGACTGGCCAGGCTCCTCAGGCAATCCAATCAAGTAACCTGCCAGACAGGAAATAAACAAGGACAAGAGAAAAACAATATTGAAATTTCTGTTTTAAGACCACCTTTTCTGTGATGTATCTGAGGGGTGGTCTTAGGTTACACCCCTTCTGTGATGTATGTATGATGTTTCTGGGGGGTGGTCTTGATCTACAGGATGGGAATTTCAAAAGTCTTTATAAGCCCTTGCACAGCATTTTTCTGGGTCCTCCTCCTTTCCTGCGAGTGAGGGGAGCACCCTGTTGCAACAGATCAATAAAGATCGAGCTTACTAGCTGCTTTGCTTCTCAATATTCTCTGGTTGGCCTCTGTTATTTTCTCCTACCAATAGGGAACCTATGTAAGGACTCTATATGGGCTCTTAGAAACCCCATAAGGGAAAAGGGCATATTTTTATTTACAACATAAGTACTAGTCCAGTTGCAGTTTCTCAAAATGTTGACGTATAGTTACTTCACATTTTAAAGAACTTTACTATCCGCATATTTACTAATTTGTGGTGCTTTACCCACTTGCCGATGAGGGGAAATGGAGAAGCATAACTGGTATAGAAGTGTTTACCACTAAATCTTGGAAAGAATGGATCCCTCTAGCTTGCAGATAAATGTTCTGAACAGCAAACTGTTAACCTTAATGTTCAAATGATCAACATCTAGCTTGGTCTTGAAATGTCATCTCTGAGCAGGATTCCATCCCGCCCATGGCCTGATTCTTCTCTCAGCTACTTGGCTGTACTTGGAGAATTTCACAAAGGTGTTTTTGTTGAACTAGTAGAATGTAAGTGCATCAGACTATGCATTCAAAGCCCCTCGTTCTGTCCCAGGCCACAGAAATTTGCAGTTAGGTGAATTTGGCTTTTCATCTAAATATTTTTTAAGCAATTCCCTATGTACCTGTAACTAAAATTCTTTGGGTAGTGGCCCGTTTTTTGTGGACTTGAGGTGTTCAGGATTGCCAACATAGATCAGGGCGGGGTCAAAATCGTTTGGGGAGCTTTTGAGCACAAATGAATTGGGATCTTGGTTTGGCCTTTCTCACAGAAGATGGGACAGAAAGGGCAACATTTTTGAGCTGTGGTTTCAAGTGCTGTTATGTCTGGTATTGCCAGCCCTCAGTCTTTTATACATTATGTTGTAGAAAGTTGCATACATTATTTTGCAATGTTCTTTTGCCTCTCTTTGATCCAGTTAATCTTAAGGGAGTTTACATTTTCATTTGTAAGTTGATATCCTAGCTGCTGGTACAAACAACACTTCTATGGAAGGGAAGTGCCTATTATTTACCAACACAGTTTGCCAAACATTAAGGGAATTCCTGGATATACAGTTTCAAGCCCAAGTTATCTAGAGTGAGATACTGGAGTAAACAAACTCAGGAAGTTTCTCAATACAAAGCAAAGCCAATTGACCCCATTCAAGACTGTTCTGAGAGTTTGCTGCAGTTTCACATTGATTTTATCTGGCCTTCTGTAGACGTAACTTTAATGTGGTTATATTTTAAGTATGCGGTGATGCAAATAAGGTTTCTTTTACCTTTTAAGGCCTGCATCGAACCTTGATAGAAAAAGGTTTAGTTTCCCACAATGAGAAAAATGTAGCTTTTACTTAGTAAAATTGTTCTTTGTATGTAAGTATTGTGTCTCCCCTGTGAACATGGGTACTTTTTTGTTAAATGGTTTTCTGGGGCCTTCTCTGATCAAATATTGAGTACATTTGAACACTCTTCCTACACTGTTGTGGGGGAGGGGGGAGAGACATATTGGTGTAAACTTGAAACTACTACTTCTCCAGTAGGTTCTTAATTCACTTTGATTTTTAAATGTCAAGGTGAAAAGGAAAAAACAAGCAGTGCCTGAAAAGCCTGTGAAGAAACAGAAGACTGGTGAAAGCTCCAAAGGTGCCGCCTCCTCCAAGCAAAGTAGCAACAGAGATGAGAATATGTTTCAGGTAACTGGTGGCTCTTACTTTGAGTAGTTAGTGGGATCCCCAGTTCTTGTGCTGTGGGTTGTACTTGAATTTTACAAAGTGGAAGACCTGTCATCATCAGGAAAATAACTAAAGCCAGTGTTCTGTTTTCATAACTTTGCAAGATTGGAATCCTTAAGACAGTGAGCTAAACCCATTTACAAGCATCTAGTACACAAGCACTGGCAAACAGATTTAGTAGTAGCTTTCCTAAACTGCTATTTATATATGATATGATATGATATGATATGATATTATTAGTATACTGACCTTCATCCAAAGAAAAGCTATATGGACTCAGAAGGTTTATGTTTTCGCAGAAACAGTTTCCCCACTACTAGTCAGTGTCAGTAACACAAAGGGAGTGGCGTGAAGTGGGAGAGCTGGAGAAGTAAAATTGATTTTGTTTAGGATCAGTCAGTAGTGGGTAGGGTCAGGAAGGAAGCTGAACTTCCCCAAGCAACAGTATTTTCCTGTCTGGGTTTGGTGGCCCTGCTTGCTGGGAGCTACTGGACTGAAAGATGGGAGCAATTTTAATTTGACTGGCACAGATATGTCAAGTCATCTTAGCTTGTCTATGAATGACATGAGGAGAAAGCACATTAAATTCTGCTTCACTGAGGAACTAGTCCATGCCCGTGCAATGCTCACACAAAGAAAAACTATATTGAACTTTAATCCGAAAGGAAATGTTGAAAAATTGTACTTGAATGGTACATCTGATTTGCTGCCAAATAAATGAAGATTACTGGATCCCAGATGGTCTGTGTTATGTTTAACACTACTATCTGCAGTGTGATCCGATAGTTGGTTATGCAGCAAGCGTGAAGGGTTGAAGAGTGTTCTTAATTAAAGGTATGCAGTTTAGAAAACTTGATTTTGTAATTAGCCATTCTTGTACTACTTTGGACAGCTAATTGGTAAGCAGTGTTCTGGTTAAGAGCATGAGCTAGGAACTTTTTGCTTCAAATTACAGTACAACTAGGAACTTGTTGGATGACCTTAAGCAAATTACTGTTATAATAACATTTTGCATGGAGTTTTTTTCCCATTGGTTCTACATGTTTACTCTGAGAGTGGAAAGTAATTGAAGTGTCTGGAGGTGCTGGTGAAGATGGCAAATAAGGAGCAGAGATGGGCGGGTTAGAGAAGTGGAGGTAGTGGGCTAGGTGTAGGAAATTTTGCCTATGGGCAGGAACTGTGTGTTTCAAAGTCCTGTTCAGTGGTCATGGGTCATTTGCATGAGATTGGGATGTTGCTGCATGCAGAAAAGGGAAGATTATAACAAGTGAGGAGGCCTGAGCTAGTGGAACTTACAGTTGTGTATGTTGAAACTCTTAAGCATGTAGGAGTCAACATTTAAAAACATTTCAGATGTTACTCCTCGCATTGCAAAATATATTAAGATTATACTATTGATAGCCAAGGCACCCCCAAGATGTTCTTGACATCTTCAGTGGTAGATATTTTGGTAATCCTTTGAAATACAACAGATACAGAAGCTATTCAACCCTGCAAATATGTGTGGCATTTTTTGGGGTCTTCAGACAGTTTAGTAATTTTAGAATTATAGGAAGGTGCTTTTGCATCTCGTTGCACTTGGTGTAATATCCTTGACCAAAACTGTTGCATCATTATCCACCATATTTTTTTAAATGTGGTTCACTGTACTTGTTTTTGAGCTAGGCTTCTGAGAGTATCAGCTGCTATCAATTTTTCTAACTAGTATTCTGCAGGCTGCAGTTTCCTGCTTTCAGAATGTTTTTTTCTCTTGATGGTGCAAGCTGAACACTAATCTTGAAACTGCTTGCATATGGGTTTGGTGTCCTAAGCTAAATATAGGCCTCTGGTTGGAGCCTAGCGCATTTTCACTGTACAGTTGTACCTCATTTTGAGTCCGCCCCGTTTAGGGTCCATTTGATCGAACATCCGCAGCAAACCCAGAAGTACCGGAACGGGTTACTTTCGGGTTTGCCACACATGCAGAAGTGCTAAATTGCACTTCGCGCATGCGCAGAGCGACGCTCTCTTGAGCATCCCTTTCGTTAAGTGTCCGGGGCTCCGGAACAGATCCCGGATGCAAAAAGAGGTACGACTGTACTTGGTTTACAATAGCATATTCTAATAATGTAATGTATATGTTTTTCCTTTTTTCATACCTTGCTGTTCTTGGTGAAATGGAAATCAGCTTGGTTGCCTTTCATTTAAGGTTACTTCCAGATGCTAATCATAATCTCATATATGCATAAGTTTGAAGATCAAAATTTACTGAACTTGTGCGTATCTACCCTATTTTTCAATTTGAATGTGGATTCATATTTCTGAAAGCCCAAGGCTAGGATGATGATTTCGTCCTCATTAGTAAGGTGATTGAGTTTTTTTATATTCCTTGACAATATTTCTATTAAAAAAGCACGCTTTTGAGAAAAAGGAAATAAATCAGTTTGGTTTAGCAATAATTTCTGCAGAAAGATTTGGCTTCTCCTGTCTCTTCGAGCTGTCGTTGCTTGTTAGTTGTAAGAGATTTCACTGAGAAGAAACACTTGATCCCATAATCTCTAAAATAAACTCTACTCTTTGTATCATACACAAGATCTTAATAGTACTTGAAGAGCTGTATCATGTGTTTGGTGAAATAATGATTTAGTTCTCTAATTTGTTGACAGATTGGTAAAATGAGATATGTCAGTGTTCGTGATTTTAAAGGTAAAGTCCTAATTGATATTAGAGAATACTGGATGGATCAAGAAGGTGAAATGAAACCTGGCAGAAAAGGTAATTCTTATGTTGTCTGCATGGTGACTACAGTTTTTGATAATACGTTATGCACTATAATGGGTTCTTGGGCCCCATACCTAAACATCTAAGTCAGGGTAACTAGGTGTATTAATAGTAGTAGTAGTAATAATAATTAATAATTATATATTATTTATACCATGCCCATATGGCTGGGTTTCCCCAGCCACTCTGGGCGGCTCCCAACAGAATAATAAAGGATTGGGAGTACAGTCCATTCTTCCACATCATCAATATTACTTAGATATACCAGACATGACATAGCAAGACACATCTACCAAAATTCCCTGTTCTACACAGCTACTAAAGGCATACAGATTCTGTCCTTTTTCACATTCAGTCACACTATATTTAACTAGTTTGTGAGAAGTGGCCAATCTGAACACAACCAAACATTCCTTTGTTTCCCTGCTCTTGGTTTGCCTACCCTCAAAGTAGATACGGACAGGTTGGACGTAGACCTATTTGGAGGTTTCTGTTTCTCTGGCCCCAGCAGTTCTGGTGCCCATTCAGGTTTGTAAGGTTATTGGCTTAGGAATCTAACTTAAGATCACCACCTGCCTCTCATTTTGCACACATTCCCTTCCATCCCCATGCATTGATGTTTGGCATTGTATATAACTCAAAGTTCTCAAAGTGAATTTTGAGCTGCGTTCAGTTTTGTTTTGTTTTGATCCTGTTGACAGAAATCCTAGGTGATGCCAGGCCTGAGCAGGTGAGAAAGGAAAGAACATCATGCAGTCTTGTAGATCCTTAAACTGTCTGTGCAAGACTTTCAGCTGATCTGTGCTCTAGCCATGCCTACTGAAATACAAAAAGAAATAAATGATTCTGATCATAGAATGCAAATAAATGGGCAGGCTGACTTGCACATCTGTCCTGTATGCCCTTCCTGGTCATACTGTTTGCACTCTGTGTGGTTTCCATTCAAAGAGCAGGAAACAAGTAGGTCAAAAGGAGACAAAGTTCCTTGAATAACTAGCCGTTTGTTTGGATTGTGCTGTCAGTGCTGGTCCTACTAATCTTTCAGTCTGTTGTTTGGATGGTACAGTACTTGTGTGCTGAATCAGCATGTCAGAACCCCTCCAGCTTTTAAGGCCTTTGAGGCTTAGGTATGTATCTGCTTTAATATTCTGTGGCTGTTAATATCTAGGCACTTTTAAACTGGGCTGAGAAACTGCAAGTAACATTTTGATGAGTGTTTGAAGTCTTAACTACAAAAAGCTCTGCTGTGTATAATGTTACAAGTGAGCCATGTCAAGAGTGACTTCCAGGTAACTTGTTTCTCTGGTTTTGTGTAAATACTTGGCTTGGTAGAATTCCTGAAGAGGGATTATCTACTTTGTACTGCATAAATTTTGACTTGGATCATAGAGGCGCTGATTGCCCTTGACCCCCCAACTCTTCTGAGATCCTACCTTTCAAGTTTCTTGTCCTCAAATCAGCATTTTTTAATACAAAAGTTGAGGTTCTCTTGAAGCATCTCTGCATTGTGAATTCTGCAGTTGTGTAAGTGTGTTTATAGCATAAGTGTGAATCTATAATAACCTCCAAGGATTTGTTTTGGTTTACTTTAGGTATCTCTCTAAATCCAGAACAGTGGAGCCAGTTGAAGGAACAGATTACTGATATTGATGAAGCAGTAAGAAAACTGTAAAGATGAGCCATGCAGAAACTCTACTGTTATAGGTTTAAGTAGTCTTTTTACATTGGCATTCATTTTCTAAACTATTTGTTTTCCAAGCTATTGTATATTTGGATTGCAAAACAATTTGTAAGATGAGCGCTTTTTTTAATGTGCATTAAAAGTGTATTCTGGGTGAAGTTACAAATGTGTATACTTTTATTAAACAGGTGTTATGTTCTCACATCATGGTGTAAAATAAAACACATTCAATTAATACTCTGAGTAAGTTACAGTTGTCGGTGGCCTTCTTGACTGAAATACTCTAAAATAAGGGAGATTCCTTGTTTGCTTTAATAACAAGAAACAAAAGTAACCCACTGTAGGCTTAAACTTTTTTTTAGTTTACTTTCCCAGTTAATTTAATCTACTGTGTTGCTTTGAAGATATAATCAATTCCTGTGCTTCTAGTGTACTTTAGGAATTCGGGCCATGTTTCCAGAAATCAGTTTTCTTTTGCAGTGGTCTGGTTATTCACGCTTGTTCTTCAGTTTCTCTGTAACAGTGGTGTCCCCTATCTTTTTTGGCTATGGTAAAACTGTCATTTTGTATTTATTTTAACATAAGGCAATGCAAGTTTGTTTTTCCATGCTCTCCCTGTGGATAGGAGTAGTTTAAGCAGTGGCTAGATGGCCATTTATCATGGATGCTTTAGTGAAGATTTCTGCATCGCAGGGGGTTGAACTAGATGACCCTCAGGGTCCCTTCCAACTCTACAATTCTGTGATTCTGTATTAACACAAAAATGCTATATTTTCTTCTGTGCCATTGGTATGTGGCTGCAGTGTTAGAAACCCAAGATATAAAAGCTAGGTGCCCAATGGCTCCTGAAACCAAGGCTTCAGTTACCAAAACGGAATGTCTAGTAGTCATTTGGGGGCAAAACGGTCCCAAAGCCTTAATTAATCACAGTCAGTCCATCATTTGAAAAAAATATCAGGCAATTATCAGTAGGGACATGGGTGGCACTGTGATCTAAACCACTAAGTCTCTTGGGCTTGCCGATCAGATGGTTGGTGGTTTGAATCCCCACGATGGAGTGAGCTCCCATTGCTCTGTCCCAGCTCCTGCCAACCTAGCAGTTCAAAAACACGCCAGTGCAAGTAGAGAAAGGTACTCCCTGCAGCAGGAAGGTAAACGGTGTTTCCGTGTGCTCTGGTTTCCATCACGGTGTTCCATTGCACCAGAAGCGGTTTAGTCATGCTGGCCACATGACCCGGAAAGCTGTCGGTGGACAAACGCCAGCTTCCTTGGCCTGAAGCAAGATGAGCAGCACACCCCATAGTCACCTTTGACAAGACTTTTAAAAAAATGTCCAGGGGTCCTTTACCTTTACCCTTTTACCTAATTATCAGTTAAACACCTGGCTAGTTCATGAGCTAGCTTAAGAGCTTTAAGAACTTAAAAAAGAGAAGACATTTTATTCAGGGGCAGTCCACATGTATATTGGCGAAGGTCCTGTGTGAGTGCCTGGAGGCAGTTGGAGGATGGATGGCAGCTAATGGATTGAAGTTGAATCCTGACAAGACAGAAGTACTGTTTTTGGGGGACAGGGGGCGGGCTGGTGTGGAGGACTCCCTGGTCCTGAATAGGGTAACTGTGCCCCTGAAGGAGCAGGTGCGCAGCCTGGGAGTCATTTTGGACTCACAGCTGTCCATAGAGGCGCAGGTCAATTCTGTATCCAGGGCAGCTGTCTACCAACTCCACCTGGTAAACAGGCTGAGACTCTACCTGCCCGCGGACTGTCTCGCCAGAGTGGTGCATGCTCTAGTTATCTCCCGCTTGGACTACTGCAATGCGCTCTACGTGGGGCTACCTTTGAAGGTGACTCGGAAACTATAACTAATCCAGAATGCGGCAGCCAGACTGGTGACTGGGAGCAGCCGCTGAGACCATATAACGCCGGTCTTGAAAGACCTACATTGGCTCCCAGTACGTTTCCGAGCACAATTCAAAGTGCTGGTGTTGACCTTTAAAGCTCTAAACGGCCTCGGCCCAGTATACCTGAAGGAGCGTCTCCACCCCCATCACTCTGCCCGGACGCTGAGGTCCAGCGCCGGTGGCGGTTCCCTCATTGCAAGAAGCAAAGCTACAGGGAACCAGGCAGAGGGCCTTCTCGGTAGTGGCGCCCGCCCTGTGGAACGCCCTCTCATCAGATGTCAAAGCGATAACTACCTGACATTCAGAAGACATCTGAAGGCAGCCCTGTTCAGGGAAGTTTTTAATGTGTGATATTTTAGTGTTTTTTGGTTTCTATGGAAGCCGCCCAGAGTGGCTGGGGAAACCCAGCCAGATGGGCGGGGTACAAATAAATTATTATTATTATTATTATTATTATTAGCCTATTCCTGCCCCTTTTTCTTAATGGCGACACAGACCATTCATAATGTAAGACGACTTCACAACTGAGCAAGGCAGTGGGGTGGGGTAAGCGAAGACAAGCTACAACCATTAACTATAACATTGTTTACTGCCTCTCCTCAGGCTGCCCAGAAAAAGCATTTTGGTTCCTGAAATTCATTCTGATTGTGCAGATAAAATATAGCCGATAGAATTCTACAGGATGTGGTATTAGTGTGTGGAAACAGTCAAGTTGCAGTGATCTTCAGGCATGCACCTCCAGACAGTGGAGATGTCAGGCGCTCTCCTGGCACCCACACATCTTCACTTGGCGCCTGGCTAATTTCAAACACTCTGTGGCTGGTGTACAGTGGTATCTCGGGTTAAGAACTTAATTCGTTCCGGAGGTCCATACTTAACCTGCAACTGTTCTTAACCTGAGGTACCACTTTAGCTAATGGGGCCTCCTGAGGCTGCCGCGCCGCTCGAGCACGATTTCTGTTCTCATCCTGAAGCAAAGTTATTAACCTGAAGCACTATTTTTGGGTTAGCGGAGTCTGTAACCTGAAGCGTATGTAACCCGAGGTACCACTGTATTAGGATTCTTAATGCTTTAACTGCCTTTTTGTCCTCTGAGAAGGAAGAGGATCCCTCACTCCTTTCTAACATGAAAACTGACCACATGTTGCTGGTGCACTGATTCTCTGCCCCCAATTGCCTTGAAAGAAGAATAGCAAGTGGATTATAGCAATTTTGTTTCATATATATATACAACTGCTAATGTGTCCAGAATTAGAGTGTTATGTAATAATCTTTCGGCTGAAAAGATTGCTTTCTGACCATATTCAAAGACTACCTCACCTGGACCCTGCAAAGCTTTGCTTTTTGGTCTGCCAGTTTCTTTGGTTCCGTGTCTACACTCCATAAGTCCATAGGTTCCCAACTCTTGATGAGCTGAATACTGTTCTATACAGAAAAAACAGTTCCTGGCATTCTGTCATGTCCTAGGGCAGGCATCCCCAAACTTGGCTCTCCAGATGTTTTGGGACTATTAACTCCCATTATCCCTAGCTAACAGGACCAGTGGTCAGGGATGATGGGAATTGTAGTCTCAAAACATCTGGAGGGCCAAGTTTGGGGGTGCCTGCCCTAGCGTGACCAAGAAACAATCAATATATGCCTATTATAGTAGGGGCAGGCTTGGATCTTAATAGCTGAGTTCAACAGAAAGAGCTAACCTGTCCTAATACAGCCAACCTTTCCCAATTTTTTTTCTTTTAATGCATTCATTTTCTGTAATAGATTGCTCCTTTAAAGATAAAGGTACCCCTGACCATTAGGTCCAGTTGCTGCGCTCATCTCACTCCTTTAGGAGAGAATAAAGTGCCACACTTGGGAACAAGATAGTGGTAAGGTCTTCCACAAACACAACTGGATGGCATCATTTTTTTTAGAGTCGGTCACGACTGGCCCGTACGGGCAGGGGTACCTTTACCTTTACCTAGGACGCGGGTGGCGCTGTGGGTAAAACCTCAGTGCCTAGGACTTGCTGATCGTAAGGTCGGCGGTTCGAATCCCTGCGGCGGGGTGAGCTCCCGTCATTCGATCCCAGCTCCTGTCCACCTAGCAGTTCGAAAGCACCGCTAAGTGCAAGTAGATAAATAGGTACCGCTTTATAGCGGGAAGGTAAACGGCGTCTCCGTGTGCGGCACTGGTGCTGGCTCGCCAGTTGCTGGCCACGTGACCCGGAAGTGTCTTCGGACGGCGCCGGCTCACGGCCTCTTAAGCGAGATGAGCGCGCAACCCTAGAGTCAGTCACGACTGGCCCATACGGGCAGGGGTACCTTTACCTTTAAGCCCTGTAATTTTATCACATCACTCAGTCACAAAGCTCACATTATGTGCATATCTAAATGTTTCTATTAAGGGTTTGAAAGGAGGCTTTACAGTGGGAAATTCCTGAAGTCTTTGACAACGGGGCCAAACTGACAAAATTGATCCAAGGTTTCATGGGCAGAATTTCATTCCGCATATAGCACGTTATCTTTCGACATACATAGCAGAGGCTGCACTAAGGCAGCAGTCCTATGATTGCCACCAAACACATTAAATTCAGTGCAGCTCACTTGCAAGCCTTTACACACACAGCTGGGCTGTCAATTGTGTGACACTTGTGAGAATGTATTTTGTTTGTGTAATTTATAAAGATTAAGATTTTCAATACAGAACTTTGATTTTCAGTTTCATATATGCCAACAGCTGGAGCTCATCATGGCAGCTTCCACAGCGAGCACAACTGGTGCCAGGCTTTGGGAGACCCTTAGCATGGTGCTTATCATGCGCCAGCCTTTTCCCCAAAACCCAGGACAGGGCCTATCTCTGCTGGTGGCTGCCAACACATGCTTTCTCTGTTGCTGCTTTGGTGGTGGCAACATTGCCACTAACTTCCCTCCACTCAGGGCCCAGACACTTTTGAATAGGAGCTAAGCTAGACATCTGAGTGTAATGCAATGCTTTGGTCCATAGATCTATGAAATTGGCAGACTTTATAGTCTTACCAAGGGCTTTTTTTTCAGGGGGTAGTCAAAGGTACACAGTACCGGCACCTCTCTCTCTCTCTCTTTTTTTTAAAGTGTGGCACTTACTGTAACAACCTCATGGTGAGTACCGGCACCTCTTTGTCTAGAAAAAAGCACTGGTCCTACCTGGACTTTAGCTCTATAAATTGGTAAATTTCATAGATCTGTGGTCTGGGACATGACATTTTGGAAAAAGAAAAGGAAATAATATGTTTAGCCTAATTATTTTCCTCATTTGGTGACTCTGCTAATCTGGCAAAGAAACTTGAAAGCCTCATGACTGCTCCATTTGCTTGCCAGAGCAGCC